CACAGCATCAGTGCAATGTCCAAAATTTTGCTCTCGGTATAACTTGATGCAGTGAGAGGGGTCTGAAGCAGTGTCCCAGGTGATGCCTGGTGCGTGTGGGGAAGAAAGTGTGTAAGAAGACAATCCTTAAGGTACTCACATTTCAAGCCTCCTAGTTTTAAACTGCAGCTTATTGAACTGGGCCTGGAAACAAACAAGCAGCAAGTGCAATTCAACTGGAATCGGCACAACATGGTCAATATATTTAGTACTTATGAACAAGCTTGCTGTCGCGTTTTGTTTTGCTTGCACTATCCAGACATTTTGCAGGACAACCCCATGTAGAGCCCATTGCAGTAGTCTAGCAGCTGGGGCATGAATGAACGTTCAGAGTGTTGGCTTTCCCAAGTAAGTTGTGGCTGGAGAGCCAGCCAAAGGTTGAAAAAGGCACCCCTCACAGTTGGCATAGCCCATAAGCAAGTGGTACACCGTCTGTAGCACTTGGACTGGATCATGGCAAGCCCCCAGACTTGGAATCAGATCGTCCAGGGGGAGTGCGATCCTCGCTGGTTGCAAACTCAGTCCCAAATTACATAGGGTATCCAGTACTTGTGTCTTGCCAGGATTGTGATTCAGTTTGTTGTGTCTGATTCCCTCCCGCTGTGGTAATTATGTTGCACGTATCTCCTTGCTTGCTTCTTTCTTAGATGGGTTTTTCATTTTTATCTCTTAAAAAAAATCTGAATCCAGCTGGATTTTTTTTAAAGACTAAAAGGAAATGTTGTGAAGCACACTTATGGAAAATTGCATAAAGAGTCTGTATTTATCTCTCCACTTGTGTTTCAATCCCAGAATCAGTCACTGTTGGTTGTACTAAGACAGTCTGTTTGAAAGAATGATTAATTGGAGAAGTTTTCAGCCCTTGAAAGCCCCTCCCATAGTAGCGCTCACCTTACGTGATGTTCTTGGGCAGTACTTAATCGTATCCCTGCTTTAGCCCGGCATAGTGTATATATTTCATGAATGAAATATGTAAACACTGTAGCACACACACTGGTATGTCATCCGTTACGCAGATCATTTGACATATGAAGTGGTACGTAGCTGCAGAGATGAATGGACGTGGTAAATGTTTTGGCTATCTCGACCAGAACAGTAAACTAACAGAACATTTGCTTCTGAGGTTTACACTTGTAGGAAGGACTCTGCACTAAAGACATCTACTGTATGTCTGGGTTGAAAGGCAGCAAGGACATGGGGATTTGCTACACTTAAATCAGAGACTTCCTTATAATAGGTCAAATCATTAGTTTATCGAGTTAATCTAGGTAAGGACAGTCCTTCAATTATCCTGTACTTCCAGCAGGTAATATCGCTGCTGCTTCTCTGAAAAGGTTCCAGATCTTTGTTCTTCCTTCATTATATCACTGCTAAGGGTGAAATGGCACCATCTGAACTTCTGCATGGTTCTCCTATCCATGCACCTGAATCTGTAGAAAATGTATAATCTGTATTCCTTGGAAAGCAGGCAGAAGGGTAGCTCCATCCTTGTCAGAATTCCACTCCACCTTCTCAAATGGTTTGTGGATTTTAGGACTATTAATTATATAGTTACACATATAGGATGATTGCACCTAAAATTAGTTAATTTTGCTTGCACAAATACTGTGTGTCATCAGCATGATGATTTTTATTACTACTACTATTGCAATACTACACTGCATTTGTATCCCAGTTTTCCTCTTGTGAGAAAACCAAAGTGGCATACCTAGTTCTCCTCCACTCCTGTTTTATTCTCACAACAACAACCCTGTGAGGTAGGTTGGGCTGAGAGGCTTGTGACTGACCCAACGTCACCTAGTGAGCTTCATAGCTGAGGGAGGACTAGCACTCGTATCTCCCAGCTCCCCAGTCCAACACAGTAGCCAGCACACCACGGTATCACAAGAGCTCAGTTGGTGATCATGATGCTGCACCTGCTTTGAAGGCTGTGTTGCGACTCAACTGTATCATGCAACGCAGCTCCAAAAGAGTGAATTCTCAGTCTCGAAAGCCAGGCATTCAAAGCCAAGTTCAGCAGAGTGCATGCCCTTGATGCTTTAGCCCTTCCTCTGTTTCAGCATAAGGACACCCAGGCCTTTCTTTGCAATGTTTCATTAGCTGCTAGCATGAGCTTTCTGTCTCCCGGAAGGATTCAGGAAGATCTGGTTTGCTCCTGTTGGAAACAAAATGCTGCCTGTGGTCTGATCCAGCCAGGCAGCCCACGTGGTCAGATGCTTTCTTTCTTATGGAGGGCATTCTTCTTTTGCCCGTCGTCTTGGCTTACCTCCCTCTTTTGTCAGTGCTTCTTGGGCCAGTTCATATCAGTGATAGTCTGCAATCTCTCTCCAACTGAACTCCTGTTTTAAGGGCCCACCCTCTCTAACCACCATGAAGTGCTTTTGGCTGAGAGAATATGCTGCTTGGGCTGTGTTTTTATTCTTTTCTGGCTGGCTTCTATATTTAATGAGGAAGCATGTTCCAGCAGATCTGCATTAATGTATACACAGTTTTGGCAGGTTTTGTAATTAATGCTGACAGTTTCTGTCTGAATGTTGACTGAAAAAGAAAATGCAAAATATTTAACTACATCAGTTGAAAATGGCTTATACCAGCCTTCCCCAGTCTGGTTGGTTTCCTCCATATTTTGTGTTTCACCCTCAGAAGTGATTCAGACCACTTAGAGAATGGCTGACCTCCATCCCGTTTTTCCCCACAACCAAGATGTACAAGGGAAACTTCAGCTTGCCAAAGCTCTTCAAATTCTACCATGAAGCTTGTTCCATTCATGTCTGTATCAGATTTCAGGCTTTTTGTGCTGCTGCTGCTCTTGCTGTTTCCTTATTTGTGCATAATTGCACGTGTATTTTTCCAAATATACATATCAGTTGCATGCATCTTTGAAAGGCACACATTATTGTTGAACCATCCGGAGAGCTTAGGCTGTTGAGTGGTATATAAATTAAATAAATAAAGCAAATTATGTTCTCATAGATTAAAGCAAGTCTGTGCACAGTTTTCAAAAGTATCTTTATTGGTCTTCAAAATACCAGTAAAGCCCTGAAATGTACAGACATTGTTTGCTGATTGCCTTTAAGGCTGTGTTCAGTCTGGAAGGTATGAACTGAGTAAGTCCTGGTGAACAGCGAACCGCAGCTCGTATCACGTACATCCTTACTGCCAGTGATGGCAGGGGACCGTTTTAGATATTAGACCATTGTTCTCCCCTGCCCCCCTCCACTGCCCATGGCCTGGCTCCTGGCTCTGCTTCCACATCTAGCCCCTTGTTGGAAAAATACTGGTGTGTATGTGAAGCAGATTGTATCACTGTTCTTTGTGTATTTCTGATGGCTTCTTTAAAAATGTGTCTATTTTTAAGCCCTGTGTTTTGAATGAGAGAACAGTGCAGGCGTATGCCATAGAAAGGAGAGGCATGTCTGGAGGGGGAAATGAGTAATTGCACAGATAAAAGCTGAAACATTAAATGATATTATCCATCAGTCTGACACAAGAAATAGCATTTTTGTTGGGTGGGTACACTGGTATTATGCAGTGCAAGTTTCTTGCATGATGTCAACTTTGCTAATAAATCAGCAGCCAGGACATGATTCTGCTTCTTCCCTGGCACCTCCAGAAACGCTTGTTTATTCAGTGCAAATCCCAGTGGAGTGGATGAAATCAGAGGGGAGGGCCTCATCCAGGCAGAACTTCCCCTGCAGATCTCCTGTTGAAATGAATAGGAATTGTGCTGCCATGAACCATTCTTGTGGTGCTTCCGTGTCTCTGTGGGGCTTGTACAGGGGAAGATTCTTAGTGCATTATGCCTGGTATGTTTTATGGAACAATATAAGAAGGGCCATGCTGGATGAGACCAAGGGTTCATCTACTTGAGCTTTTTATTCACACAGTGGCCAGCCAGGACATGTGTGTAATAGCACCCTCCCACCCATGTTCCCCAGCAACTGGGGTACATGGGGATGTTGCCATCAGGACCGGTAACCTACTGATAGCCTTCTCTTCCATGAATGTGTCCAGTCCAATTTTAAAGCCATCCCAACTGGAGGCCATCACTACATCCTGTGTAAGTTGAATTCCATAGCTGATAACCCTTTTATCTGAACAAACTGTCAAATTCTGGTAAGCATAGAACTAAAGCCCGAGGGTAGAACAGTTTCTTTTTAAAGGAAATGGAAGGTGAACTTTGACAAGAAATAGTGGAAGCAAAGGAATTCTCCCAGGCTAGTCCCAGGAACAGTAATTAGCTGCATGAATATCATGGTTCACAATTTACTGTTACTCTGCAGATGTTTGCCGTCAAAAGTTAATTACGTACCTCTGAGTCTGATTGTTAATTACATACTCCTTGCCTGGTTGTTATATTTGTTGGGATCTTTCTCATGATCAAAAGTGAACAAGAAAGGGCCTACAAGAACTAATGCTAACTAAGCTAGCCCTCCTTCCTCTCCCAAAGCAATTATCTAGTTGTGGGGAGGGCAGCCCCCACCCTGAAGGATACAGTACGCGAGGCAATGGGAAGTTGAATCTGAGCACTGTAGAAGTGGAAGGCCTGGGAGCCGGCTCCAAAGAAGGGGCAGGAGGGTTCTGGGAAAGTTCCCTTTTCCCTTCGCTGGAACTTTTTCTCTCAGTCTGTGTAGCTGTCAGGGCTTTCCCCGTCTTCTGATGTACTGCTGTTTGAACAGGCTTTGCACATGTACAGCCCCTGCCGTAAATTATGGTGGACAGATTGTGCCTCTGTCTCCTGCGTATCTGGGGTGGCTGTTTTGACCCTGGGTGACTCCACTGCATTGCCTAACCAGTTGGCATCGTACCACCAACTCTATTCTTAGGAGGTATCATGTGTTGTGTGTGAAGAAACATGCATTATGTTGAAGAGGAGCGTCTGAGCCATCACTCTTTCTGCTGTGCTTCACTAGTGAACCATCTGCGCTTAGGAGTAGCTCATTGCATTGTTTCTTTGACAGGTTACACTGTGACTGTCAGCACAACACCTGTGGAGGGTCGTGTGACCATTGCTGTCCAGGCTTCAACCAATTCCCATGGAAACCAGCCACTACGGACAGTGCCAATGAATGTGAACGTAAGTTTCACAGTAGGGAAAGGGTGAGCTGGCTGATTGCACGCCCCCTTGCTGCTCGCTTGTTTGGCTCCAGCAATTCACGTCACAGGCAGTTACAAATACAGACACACACAAAACCTGCCAGACTTGATGGCTTGTACTGGTTTGTGTTTGATTCACTTGCAAGGCACGAAAGAGTACAGAAATCTGACATGCTTATGTTTCATTTGCTTGCCTTTGGTGGAAGTGGGGGAAGAGTTACCAACGAATGGTGTACCTGCTTTACCCAGCAAATCATCTTGGAATGAGAGGGAAAAGGTTACCCGATGGATTGTTAACTGACTGAAGAAGAGGAAACAGTGGGTGGGAATAAACGGAGAGTTTTCACAACACAGAGTCAGGTGGTAGTATGTGTCTCCAAAGGACCTGTGTTGGGCCCAGTACTATTTGGACATTTTTATTTTGATTTTTTTTTTGTTCTTGTCATTTAGTCTTTGTGGTTTCAGTAGAATAGCCAACAAAGCACTGCAGGAATACTCCAGACGTTCTGTCTTCCTTTAATAGCAGGAACATGTGAGTGATTGATCAGCCTTTTTGATAAGTCTGAATTACCACATTCTTCACTGCTGTGATTGACGCATGCACTTAAGCACTTAATTCTACTACTGCAAAAGGTAGAATGTGTAAATGAGAGGTAAACCATCGTTTGTTCACTTTCTCTTGCGATTTTAGCCTGCAATTGCAACGCGCATGCCTATGATTGCTATTATGACCCAGAGGTTGACCGCCACAGAGCCAGCAAAAATCGAAATGGCCTGTTTGAAGGAGGAGGTGTATGCATTGATTGCCAGGTAAGATCTGTCTGGAAGCGCCGCAAACCAAAGAGCATTTATGTTGGGATGCTATTTGCATTGCCGGCATGAATTCTGCAGTGTTGGCAGTAAGGAAATTCAGCGATCTTAAAAGGAAATGTGTGGCTTCTTAATAGTATCAGACTGTATCCTAATGTAGCCTTCTCCAATTTGGATCTCCCTAGATGTTTTAACTACAACTCCCATCTGCAGCAGCATGGACAATGGCCAAGAGTGATGGGAGTTGTAGCTGATGATATCTGGACAGCCCCATGCTGGGGAAAGCTGTCTTAGAGTGACAGACATGGAAGAAATCAGAAAAGAATGGACAAAGACAGCCCCTGCCTTCTAATATAGTTCATCATTCCATATTATCAAAGCTTACACCTTATAGAATTAGTGAATTCCTACCTACTAAATGTAATTTGGTGGATCCTATAAGTAGGCGTTCCTACTGGGGGTCTAAAACAAATAGTATCCATTAAGCCTCCACCCTCTACTGCCTTCAAATATTTAGTTTTAATTAAAAACTTGAAAAACTCAGTGCATCACTTCTCCTTCCGGCACTTGCTGCAGATCATCTGTTTGCAGACAGACAGAGAAGGAAAGAGCCGCTTTCTGACCCTGCCTAACCCTCCAACCCACACAGCCGGCTGGGGAAAGCTGGGAGTTTTTGGATACCTTTCTGTCTAAACATGCATAGAATTGTATCCTTAGCATTTTAAGACATGACGCACATGAATCTATGGTGTTTGGACTTACAGTGTTGATCATGAAGGGACTTTTGGAGGACAAACAAGCAAGGGCTGCCTGCTTAGATAGTTGCTTTCAAATCAGGTTGTCATAACTAGAGTTGTTGCAAACTTAGAAGAAAACTCCTGCCTACTCATAATTCCATCCATTGTGTTCAGCCGGATTTTATTGCAAGTAGTGGGTATAGGATTGTAGCCATAATGTAACCCTTCCCTTTAGTTTCTCGTCTGTTTCAAGACTATCGTTTCAAATTAATTATAGCTAATAGACAAATTATTTTGCAGCATCACACAGCAGGCATCAACTGTGAGAGATGCAGCCCAGGATACTATAAATCCCCAGACCATCCGATCGATTCACCATACATTTGCTACCGTGAGTATGCTTTCCCATGTGCATTACAGATGTAATGCAGAATACAGTGCCCTACACAGTATTCTTTGAATGCAGAGGTGCAACCGCTTCTTCTCCCAGCCAGCATCGCCCCCTGGAATTCCTCAGCCCCAAAGGTTAGGGATATGTAGGGCAGCAGGCTTGAAGTACACTGCCTGATCAAGCGTACACACGTGTTGGACTGCTTTTCCGTATTTTTTCTTTCTGGATTGTATTCAGACCTGATGTCTGTTCGTTCACATCACAATGAAGATGATCATTATGATGATACTTAGATTTCTGTAAAGCAAACACTGATGGAGTTTAACCTGAGTGGGAAGAAACAAAAGCAGCTCTGCTCCATTCCTTGGTGCCACTTTCCATTGCAGGAAGAAAGTGAGATGGGCAGTGCTCTCCGTGTCTCCTTTGTTCCTTTTGTCGGAGAAACAAAGGGGACCCGGCTACTTCAGCTCCCGCTGCCCCAGCTTCCTCTCCCCACTGCAGGATGGAGGCAGATAGGTTAGTGCCAATGGGCAAACAGCAGGGAGGGAGCTGCACTGGCGTTGCCATATGTAGGACTTCTCCTAGCAGAGAAGACTCGTGTGTGAAGTCTGATCCTTGGGCAAAGCACCGAGATCTGCTTGGTGCTTGAGCTGGGGAACCAGTGCTGCCAGGCGAATGTCACCCTGCTCATCTGATGTCATGGGACTCGTGCAAGTCTGGGGGGGGGGCAGTCATTGCCCCCCCCCCATTCAAACCGGGTGCTACTGCTGTTATGCACTGTCATGTTGGCTATGATGTGTGGCAATCCTATAGATGAATGCCCTCCACAATGGCTTGCCCTTGATGGCTCCGCTCCGCTCTTGTAAACTCAAGGATGCGACTCATTAAGGGAATCGATCCGTCTCCTTGTGGGTTTTCTCCCTCTTTTCTGAGGCCTTTGATTTTCCTTTGCATGATTGTCCTCTCCAGTGAGTCTTGTTTTCTCATGGTGTGTCCAAAGAATGACATCCTCAGTTGCGTCATTTTTGTTTCCTGGGCAGGCTCTGGCTTGATTTGATCTAGGCCCCATTAGCTTGTCTTCATATTGACCCAGGGTATTCACAAAGCACTGTGTTTGAAATTTGTAGCAAGCCCAATTCAACACCCCTGTTTTAAGCAAGGCATACTATTTAGGAAGATGAGCAGGAGGGAAATCTTGGACTTGCGATAGTACCAGGAGAGCTGGCACTTTAACCCGCTGAAGAGAAGCCTTGCCAATCCTCCTGTGATCAAATGAGTGATCCCTGCTTTTGACTTGATCTGGCATAGGGGATTCTTAGTGACGATCTTTCTTTCTAGGTTGCAATTGTGAGTCAGACTTCATGGATGGCACCTGCGAGGACCTCACTGGCCGCTGTTATTGCAAGCCAAATTACACAGGGGAGGACTGTGACGCTTGTGCGGATGGTTATGTGGACTTTCCACATTGCTACTGTATGTATTGACATCATTCGTGTTAGTTTCAATGAGCCTGGATGTCAGTCTTTTTAATGGCAGTGGTGGAGCATATTCAGGGGCCACTCTGGTACCTGTCTCTTCGATTATTTTTAGCAGAGGTAGCTGCTGCCTTCTAAAGCAGCCTTCCCCAACCTGCTGTTTTCTAGTCCTTTTGCAGCAGCCTCAACCAGCATGGCCGATAGTCAGGAATACTGGGAGTTACAGTGCAAAAAAATTGGAGAGCACTAGATTGGAAAAAGCTGTTCTAAATATTCAGTTCTTTCAATATTGTGTTAAGATAGCCAGAGGAATTGGAAGAAAAAGGTGGGATTGAATAATTTTTGAATTGGAGTGTAGTACTGAAATCCCAGAGGGACTTTTGATAGTTTAGATTGGTGTTTTCTGATGAATGACTTTTTCTTGACCTTAGAATTAATGTTTGTACCATCTTTCCCCTCATTTAGCAGTGCCAGTTTTCTCTTACAATGATACTGGAGAGCAAGTCCTACCAGCTGGGCAGATAATAAGTAAGCTTCTGATTTCATTTCTTTCTTTCTGAAACTAATATACTTCCTGTTATTTTGTCTGACCATGTATTATCAGTTCCTCACTGAAGATCGGGATGCACCACATGGACATACAGCTGAATTTCTTTTTCTCCCTCCCTTTCTCTCCCCAAATGTTGCAGACTGCGACTGCAACGTGGCCGGCACCAGAGGGAATGCCTGCCGGAAAGATGCTCAGATTGGGTTGTGCTTGTGTAAACCCAACTTCCAGGGGACCCAGTGTGATCAGTGTGTGCCTGGGTATTACGGACCAAATTGTCAGCGTGAGTAAATGAAATTCAAGCAAGTGCTGTTAACCTGCACATGAGTTTCTTCTCTGAGAGATGAAAGCGTAGGCTTGCCTCATGCAAAAGCCAGGTTTTGAAATGTGATCAAAGAAGAGGGAGAAAAGTGGCTTCAGGGAAGGAATTATTATTATTATTATGATTATTATGATTATTATGATTATTATTATTATTGGCACAGGTAGCATTGAGGTGGAATTGAAACAGAACTGCATGGTTCCTTTCTTGAAAATTGTTTCTCCTTGGTTGTATCTCTATTTTACTGGGCCGGATCCAGGTCTGCTCAGACACAGAGTAAGTTAGGGAGGAGAAGATGCCAGGTGAATGTCAGAATGAACTTAAACCCCATTGATTTCAAAGGATGTAGTTAACATTGGGCTGGCCCTGGATCCAACACACAGTGGGGCTGCTCACACACAACTCTAAGGAACACCATGAGCCTACCTTTCTTTGCTTGTGCCCTGTGTTCCTACCTTAGTGAGGTACCAATTTATGCGTAGTCTGTGCATGGCTCCATCTTCCCTTCAAGTGGTGGCATGTATCCCATCAACCCTCTCGGCCGGGAACCAATCCCAGCATGCACTACCCCTGCCTCTGCTGCCCGCCTCTCCCCCATTGGCCTGCGTGCTCCCCTGGGCATGTTCTCAGCTGGCCGCCTCGTTTTTTAACTGCCTCCGCCCTCCACAGAGCCCTTGTCTGCTCAGTGGAAGCTTCTCCATGGAGCCTTGTTCTACTCATTAGGGTAGCGCAGCTGCCTCTGTGGCTGCAGCTCCTTGTCTGGACTCCCCAGACATGCCCTCCGATTCCTGGGCTGAATCACTCCTCTTGCGCGCAACCTGGCTGGATGGCCAAGATGCCCGGATGGCATTCCTGGCACAGCTGTCACATACAAGTGCACTTTCCAGTCCCACATAAGAGGGGGCACCACATGCTCATGCAGGAGGCTGTGCCCGGAGGGGAGATGGCAGCTCGCCTGTGCCAGGTGGACAGGATGGGCATCTCAGCAAACCGGCCAGGAGGTAAGTAGGAAGGCGACTGGCCAGGCAGCGCACATGGTGGTGGGGCAGCTGGGCATTAGGGAGCAGCCAATCAGGGCTCTGAATGCCGGCAACTCGGTTGTCGCTAGGTGCACAGGGCAGCGGAAAATAGTGGCTGGAATGGCTGTGGCCTCTCGTGCTGTTGAACTCGTTGGCCAGAAGGGGGAAGTTGCAGGAAAACATTGTAACCAGCTTCACATATAATGAGAAGCAAATTGTTAGGTTACCCATAGTATAAATACTTACTCACTCCACTAATCTAATAGGCCCAGTTACTTGTATGCAGCTTGTCATACATTTGTATGCAATTGTCTATCAAGCTGAAATTAAGCTTTCTTTAGAGTGTTCACATTAGATAAACTGTTGCAACTATTTTACACTGTACTGGGGAACCCCATGAGTGGATCAGGAAGGGCGGAGAGCAGGCAGTTCGTTGTGCAGAGCAGTACAGAGCCCCAGGCGGGTGCTGGATGGAAAGTGTGCTTAGTGCGTATGTGACAAGAGCAAGGACGGATGGGCTAGGTCTGCCGTCCAGGTGTGGGCAGCGTGTGCATTCCGCAATCCTCTGCAAAGCAACATGGTGCCGCTTCGTGGTTGGATGCGCTCATGAGAAAAGGAATCCTTGGGGATTGTTCAACGTGCTGCTGCTGGAAGGCATTGGTTTAGAGCTGGAATCGCCACCAGGGCCGAGCGAAACCCACCCCACTAAGGCAGGTACCCCATCGGTCAGCCACCTACAGATTAATATACGATTAATATACTCGCCTTCTGAACAGAGAATGACTTTCCTAGCTGCCCTGCGGGAAGCATGCTGAAGCCTCCACAAAGGGAGGCAAGAGAATAACAAGGGGAACCTCCCAGTGCAGTTCTTTATGTGTCTGTTACAAAGTAAGTTCAGTGTGGCGTTTCCCAAGTAAGCGCATGTGGGATTTCAAGCTGAATCTCGAGTCAGAGATGTCTGATGAAGAAGACGGGGGCACGTGCAGCGCCGTGCGCCAGACCAGCCGCGTGCTCACTTTCTTCTCCCGGCAGCCTGCCAGTGCTCGGGAGCCGGCTTCACTGAGGGCACGTGTGACAGTGAGACAGCTCAGTGTCTCTGCCGGACTGGATTTGAAGGATATGCATGTGATCGGTGTGCTCCTGGCTATTTCAACTACCCACTGTGTCAACGTGAGTTCTCAGATACAAATAACAAGGCCTGTCATAAATATAGTCTATGCAGGCCTATTTTTACAAGGTGCATAAGGTTCTAGACCTCATAGTTGCAAAGGGAACTTTGGACATGTGCAGGCAGTGTGCAGTGAAGTCTCAGAATCCTGGGGGGACTTAAAGTCAGTCGCAGGCTGTTTGGTAGTTCCATCTTTCACTATTCTTTTCCACTGGGCTCCTGTTTCCTTACTAGTTCTAAAATTCCTTCCTTCCCCATCTTCTTTATCTTCCATTTTAGCCAGTATTAATCAAAATGTTCATTATTAGAAAAACATGAACTGGAAGTAAGAAAAAGTATGCCCAATCATGAAATTATAGGGCCATGTGTCTTCATCGACTATGTCAGTAAGAGAGCATGTTTTAATATCCTCAGTAGAAAAGTGGCTTTTTTAGTGGAATTTCATAGATGTGCAATGCATGGAACAGAAGCTCTGCTGCACGTATTGCAAAAGGGCCGGGGCTCCCAGATGCTGCGCTTGCATGCATGGCAGTATCTGGCATCCCCGCAAGGAGGGCCGGTTTTCCTGGGCTCATCCATGTAGCGATGTGGAATTCTCCCCCTGAAATAGCAAGTTTCTGAACCTGGCTCTTCCTTCCATTGTAGTTTGTGGCTGCAGTGCGGTTGGCACATTGCCGGAAGGCTGCGATGCTTCTGGGAGATGTTATTGTAGGCCTGAGTATGACGGGCCTCGCTGTGACCAGTGCAGCTTCGGATATCATTCGTATCCTCATTGTCAAGGTACGCCAGTTCGTGAACAAGCTGGTAGGGAGGAGAAGGCGTTTGTAATTGGTGGTGAAAAATCTCCATGCAGATCAAGAACTCTTCCTGCCACTGCTTTTTCCCAGCATGTGAAATGAGGGCAATGGTGCGGTAGTTTGAACACTATTTGGCATTGCCCTTCTTTGGGATCGGAATGTAAACTGACCTTTTCCAATCCTGTGGCCACTGCTGAGTTTTCCAAATTTGCTGGCATATTGAGGTAGCACTTTTACTGCATCGTCTTTTAAGATTTTGAATAGCTCAGCTGGAATACTGTCACCTCCACTAGCTTTGTTGTTGCTCAGACTTCCTAAGGCCCATTTGACTTCACACTCCAGGATGTCTGGCTTGAGATCAGTGACCACCCCATCATGGTTATCAGGGACGTTAAGCTCTTTCTTGTATAGTTCCTCTGTGTAATCTTGCCACCTCTTCTTAATCTCTTCTGCCTCTGTTAGGTCCCTGCCATTTTGGTCCTTTATCATGCCCATCTTTGCATGAAACGTTCCATTCATATCGCCAATTTTCTTGAAGAGATCTCTGGTCCTCCCTATTCTATTGTTTTCTTCTATTTCTTTGCACTGTTCATTTAAGAAGACATTCTTATCTCTTCTAGCTATTCTCTGGAATTCTGCATTCAGTTGTTTGTATCTTTCCTTTTCTCCCTTGCCTTTCACTTCCCTTCTTTCCTCAGCTATTTGTAAAGCTTCCTCAGACAGCTATTTTGCTTTCTTGCATTTCTTTTTCTTTGGGATGGTTTTAGTTGCTACCTCTTGTACAATGTTGTGAACCTCTGTCCATAGTTCTTCAGGCACTCCGTCTATCAGATCTAATTCCTTAAATCTATTTCTCACCTCTACTGTATATTCATCAGGGATATGATTTAGGTCATACCTGAGAGGCCTAGTGCTTTTCCCTACATTCTTCAATTTAAGCCTAAATTTTGCAACAAGAAGCTCATGATCTGAGCCACAGTCAGCTCCTGGTCTTGTTTTTACTGACTGTATAGAGCTTCTCCATCTTTGACTGCAGAGCACATAGTCATTCTGATTTCTGTGTTGACCGTCTGGTGATGTCCATGTGTAGAGTCGTCTCTTGGGTTTGCTATGACCATTGTATTCTCTTGACAAAATTCTACCAGCCTGTGCCCTGCTTCATTTTGTACTCCAAGGCCAAACTTGCCTGTTATTCCGGTTATCTTTTGGCTTCCTACTTTAGCATTCCAATCCCCCATGATGATAAGGACATCATTTTTGGGTGTTAATTCTAGAAGGTGTTGTAGGCCTTCATAGAACCGGTCAACTTCAGCCTCTTCAGCAGCAGTGGCTGGGACATAGACTTGGACTACTGTGATGCTGAATTGTTTGCCTTGGATTCGAACTGAGATCATTCTGTCATTTTGGAGACTGTATCCCAGTACTGCTTTTCCTACTCTTTTATTGACTATGAAGGCGACTCCATTTCTTCTGAGGGATTCTTGCCCGCAGTAGTATACCTGATGGTCATCTGAATTAAATTCACCCATTCCTGTCCATTTTAGTTCACTGATTCCTAAGATGTCAGTGTTCAGTCTTGTCATCTCTTGTTTGTCCACGTCCAGCTTGCCTTGATTCATGGATCTTACATTCCAGGTTCCTGTGGAGTATAGATCTTTGCAGCATCGGACTCTCCTTTCACCACCAGATACATCTGCAACTGAGCGTCCTTTTGGCTTTGACCCAGTCGCTTCATTCTTTCTGGCGCTACTAGTACTAGTCCTCTGCTCTTCCCCAGTAGCATATTGGACACCTTCTGACCTGAGGGGCTCATCTTCCAGTGTCATATCTTTTTGCCTTTTGGTACTGTCCATGGGGTTTTTATGGCCAAGATACTGGAATGGGTTGCCATTTCCTTCTCCAGTGGATCACATTTTGTCAGAGCTCTCTGCTATGACCTGTCCATCTTGGGTGGCCCTGCACGGCATAGCTCATAGCTTCATTTTCATTTAATTAAGACATTTATATCCCGTCCTTTGCAGTGGCCTCAGGACGGCTTACAGAAATAGAATAACAATATAAATAACAATATGCTCTTATAAATAGCATTAAAACATTGCACAGTAAAACAATTCACAACTTTCTTTTTTCTGTGCTAGCAAGCTTATTTTCCGAATCAGTAATTCCACTGAGAGTGTTTGGGGAACTAGTATCAGCCTATAATTTTTTAAAAGGAGGGGCATTTTGATATATTAAAGCCCCTACAAATATTATTTTCTCTAGGACTTAATGCCAAGTATTATCTGGCTCCGAAGTTACACATATTCATAAATCTTGGTCAAATATTCATAAATGTTAGTTCCCTGGACATGGCACAGATGTAGGAATCTGTCTGCTTGGGAGGAAATGCTCAGCCCCCCAGTAAGAGTTCTGTGACATTTGGTTCCATTCCATCTGGAAAGAAAATAATATTTTTCTAGGTACATGAAGACATTAATGGGCCTTTGCTATCACCTTCTCAGTCTTTGCTGTGTGCTTTCCTTTGGCAGCTTGCTCCTGTGACCCCCTGAGATCCGTGGACAATGACTGCAGCCCCATTGGTCAGTGCCGCTGCCATTCCAATTACATAGGCCACACATGTAATCAGTGTGCCCCAGGCTTCTATGGGTATCCTACCTGTTCAGGTGAGTCAGTTGTCAGTTCCTGCCTTTTTTAAAACAATAATGTTATTTAAAATAATTTGGTCTGACTCTGAAATGATCACTAGTTCTCAGATCAAAGGTTAATGGAACTGGACCGACAAAATGCACCCGTGTTTTGTGTATTTATGACAGTTATGCTTCCCTTCCTCCGAAGATCTCGGGTGGTGTGCCCCGGACTTAATTTTACTTGCTGAATTACTATATCCTGCAGGCAGAAATGGTTTGCATGCAGCTAGCTGAGCACAGCCAGACATGCATTTCACGCTGTTACTCCCGATCGAACAAAATGGATCCTGATTCTGCAATGGCGTCAATTAGCACATTTTCTCATTTGCAGTACTGTATTTTTTTATCCTTATTAATCAAGTCATTGATTTAAAGATAAAATAGTTAATTTTCTACAAAATGTCAATGGATTCACTACTGCAGTAGCATGAGAACATTCCTGCTGGTCACTAGCAAGTTAGCAGGTAACACTGACCTTGGTAGACTTTTCTTAGGTTTGACATGTTAATCCTATTTAAGCTAAACTCTCTGAAATGAATGTGGTTTGAGTTTACAACCCATAGATTGTGAAAATTCAGGGGCTGTCACTTAACTTTAAAATATCTTCCGATAGCTTCCATCAGCCTCAATGGTAATAATTGGTATATCAATAGAATACAATAATGCAGAATATGACGTTCTTCCCTTGTTTTTAGATGATGTAAACATGAGCTGGAGTAGGTACCATCTTAGAACAAGCTTTTCCTTGTGTACTCGTATTTGATGTCTCCTGCTACCTACAGTTCTTGCGTGAAATAGAACTGAGAACCTTAATTTGCATCATAACGTTTTTTGACCTGTCCTGTTTGTTTTCTGGCCAGCTTGTCAGTGTTCCACAGAAGGCTCTCTCTACGGGACCTGTGATCAGGAGACTGGGCAGTGCACCTGTCGTCCTAGAGTAATAGGACTGCGCTGCGATGCTTGTATTCCTGGAGCTTATGGATTCCCACACTGTGAAGGTACCTCAGCCTATCCTTGTGTGGGGTTTACTGTATTACACAAGCCTACACCAAAGAACTGTGCATGGTGGTTGTGTTTCTTTTTAATTCATGTTCTTAACTGTGGGGTTTTTTTCTGTTTTAGTGGGATCTTGTAATCCTGCTGGGCTTGCAAATGAAGACCTATCCCTGCCACCAGAGGTATGTCCCACAGCGGTTTATTTTAGTAATGATCCTTTCTTATTATAATAAATTGAACATTATCTGTAGGGCAGTTTCATATCAGATAATGAATGACACAAGGGATTATAATTCTGTGGGTTGAGAAGATCCTACATTCAAGTCCTTCTTCTCTCCAGTTAAAAAAGATCATTTAGGAGGTGGGACCTCCCTCTGCCTGAGACCCTAGAGCAGAGGGAGACCCTAGAGCAGTGGTGGAGAACCTGTGGCGCGCATGCCACAGCAGGCACGCAGAGCCCTCTCTGCCGGCATGCGGGCCAAGTCGCCCCAGCATTGCCAGAGCATCTGAGCATCAGACAACAGTGCATATAGGGGCCATGTGCATGCTCGGAAAGGAGTCACGGCGCCAGGTGTTGACATTACAAGCTGTGACTCATTAGTCACAACTCGTCTGAGCTTTCCCATGACCGGTCAGTGCACTGCCAAGAATATATATATATATTTGCTTGGACTGGCTGTGACATGTTTTTTCTAAACTAAAACCTCATTTTTCAGGTTTTAATTGTAGTGTTGGCACTTTGCAATGAATAAGTGGATTTTGGGTTGTAGTCTGGGCACTCGGTCTCTAAAAGGTTTGCCATCACTGGGTTAGGCTTAGAAAAATGAGGTATCCTGGCATGATTTTGATGGTTGGAATGTATTTAGAATGGGCAGAAAAGTTGAGCTGTGCAGAAAGAGCAACTCAAGGAAGGCTTTTTCGAAATTGTCCTATTTTCCATGGAATGTTACCCCTATATTAGGGTTAGGGGTGTGCACCAGGGTAGGGTTAGGGTTGGAAAAACGAGGTGTCCTGGCATTATTTTGATGCTTGGAATGTGTTTAGAATGGGCAGAAATGTTGAGCTACTCAAGGAAGGCTTTTCCAAAATCGCCCTCTTTTCCATGGAAGTTTACCCATATATTAGCGTTAGGGGTGTGCAACAGGGTAGGGTTAGGCCAATGGTGGCGAACCCATGGCATGTATGTTCCAGTGGGGAGGCAGACCTCTCTCTGTCGGCACGCGAGCTCGTCACCCCAACCTCACCCCAGCAGCCGAGTGTTGGATAACAGCGCACACAGGGGCTCTGCGCATGCTCGGAAAGGAGTAGCGGCACCAGGCAATGACATCACGTGCCGCGACTCATTAGCCACGACTCATCTGAGCTTCCGCATGTCCAGTTAGTGCACTGCCAAGGATGTATTTGTATATATGCTGGGACTGGGTGTGAGTTGTTTTTTCTAAACTAAAACCTCAGTTTTCAGGTTTTCTTGCAGTGTTGGCGTTTTACGATAAGTAAGTGGATTTTGGGTTGCAGTTTGGGCACTCGGCCTCTAAAGTGTTTGCCATCACTCCCCTCAAGACTTGGGCAAGCTGTTCCCAGTCAGAGCATACTGGGCTTGAAAGACAGATTGGACTTGGTATAAGGCAGCTTCTGTGCGTCCATACTGTGTTACCTTTGATCCTGCTGGATTCTTCGAGAGGGAAAGAGATTTCGAGAGGAAAGGAGAGTCCGCCGACCCTCACCTCCACCATGTTTTTCCTCTGCAGGGTTCCTGTGAATGCCGGGCATATGTGGAAGGTGAAGCTTGCGATAGGTGCAAACCTCTGTACTGGAACTTGACTCCTGATAACCCGTTCGGATGCATAAGTAAGCCGTATCCCTTGTAACGCTTCCAGTCTGGCAGCTTTCCTGTGCAAGCTGCCAGATGTCCAGCCTCTTGCACAGTACCGTAGTGTCTAAGGAGAAAACAGTTCCCATCTCCCTGAGCAGGTTGCAGAAAGGTGCTGCCACAAGAGAGACCTTTTAGTCTGGGCCACAGCTAAACAAAAAGTATATTATTCTGGGATCCTTAAACTTGAATGTAATGAAGATTTAGTCTCCTTTGTAGCTCAGAAAATGGGCTCTGGAGGCATAAAGCTCGGTTTCAATCTAGCAAAAGCTCTCAAATTGCAGGTCTAAGAATTACCACTTCCTCAGTATTTGAGAAGCCCTCAACAAATGGTGTGCTGTCCTTTTAGGACAGTTCCACATGTCTGAAAGGTGATGCCAGGAATGTGGAACTTCTAGCTCAGGGTCCAGATCTGGCCCTCGGGGATTCCTCGAATGGTCACACCCCTTTCCCATTTCCCTTTTCACCCAGTCACCGCTTGTTTGGTACTTTCCCAGCTTTTGTGCATTCCAAAAGGCTGCCTCTGGTATGGCTTAGTTACTGGAAATAAGAACTTCAAACTGCAACATGTGGATATTTAACATATTTTTGGCTCCACCCCCTTTGCCTGTGGCCCTCCCTGCTGGTGGAATGTGGCTTCAGAAGCTTATCCAACATGGCATTTAGCCCTTGGGCTGAATGTGATTCGACATCTTTGCCTACAAAGTAAGAGCAACTATATCAGAAAGCCCCGTTTGTTCTTGCAGAGCAGGAATTTGAAATCACGATGGGGCTTGTCTTTGAGCCTTTCAATTTATTGCTGGCTTCTGCCATCCTGGTGTGCCAGAGCAGCCTTCCCCAGTCTGGAGCCTTCCAGATGTGTTGGACTACAACTCCTGGAGATGGGGGATGTTGGAAGTTGTAGTCTCACATATCCGGAAGGCTCCCTTTTGCAGAAGGCCGTACCAGAGGGTGGGCTTGTTTGTTTATTTCATGCACGCATGTACACATGCAAACACACACAAACATACAGCTTCCTCAAAGAGGTTGACTGGGTCATAAAAATGAAACACGTAACTATAAGAACACAATAAAAGAAGCACTAGTCTGTGGGTGAGCTTCAGGTTAACCTAGAAGTGTGCATCTTTTGCTGGACAGACCATCAGCTCGTTGCTTTCTGTTTCCCCCAGGCTGCCAGTGTGACACAATGGGGACTATTGCAGGTGTGGCTGAATGCCAGCAGGTAAGTTTTCTGCCATGTGGTGAAACCTTTACGAGGCTCCGGCTTGGCCTTAGTTTTTATTTACTTTGAACTGCAGCATTTCAAATATCTCCCTGACAGCTTGGACAGGATGTTATGCATGTTTGCAGTTTTGTAGGATCAAAAAAGAAAGCTGCTCTCGTAACTCAAAGACTCTCTCTCTCATTCTTGCCCTCCTCATCGTTTCTGTTTGCCCAAGAAATACAGTCAAGGTGCAATCCGATAGGCCTGCCATTCCCAGCATGCCCCGGCCATAATTCCTAGGCCTTTTTTTTACTGAACTGGCATAGGACAGTGCCATCCATCAAGAAAGGCTAGCTGCTGTACGTTAGTATCACGAAGTCGATTTCATTATGTGATTGGTGTCTCCTAGGGTAACGGACACTGTTTTTGCAAGCCCAACATCTGTGGCCAGTTCTGTTCAACCTGCAAAAAAGGATACTACAACCTGGACGGTGGGAGTTACTTTGGCTGTCAGGGTATGCCATTTTTTCCTCATATGCTGGCATAGTCAGTGCAAGCGTGAATCATAGCCGCCCTTGGAGCAGTGGTCTCATGTGGGATGGGTCCAGATGCATTGCCGAAGATTTTGCAGCTTCAGCTTTGTATGAATGAGAGTTGAGGAATTGTGTCTCCATTTTATGGAAAAGAAAATATGTACCCAAGGCTGTATCTGTGCCCACTCATCTCTGTTAAATTCTTAAGGATTTGATGAAGAATCATGATAGGATGGCTCTTGCTGTCTCCATGCTTCTTGAGTTGTCTGCATGACTGTATGTACTTCATTGACTTTCCTGCCAGAAAAAGCAGCGCCTTGAATTCTGCCCCAAAACAAACAGGCTGCCTGTTCAGTTGGTATAATATGGTCAACAAAGTGTGTAGAAGAAAGCAGTCTAGCGTTTTGCAGTAGCTGCAGTGTCCAAACACTGCAAGGCAGCTCCATGAAAACTGAGCTGTGGTAATCGAACGGAAGGTGATCTAAGTTATGGCCAGGCCTGTCTTCTCTATGAAAGGGCACAAATCGCCCGTCTACTCACAGCAATAACCTGACCCTCCAGAGCAATGCCAGGTCCTGGGGAGGGTTGCGCGGGGGGGGTGGGGGGGTGGATTTCTAAGCCCAAACTCAAGCTAAGCTCCAAAGAACCATTTGCTTTTGTGTTCTTCCTGTGCGTAATTTTCCTGTCTGTGTGATGTTTTAAAGTGTAAATTATTCTGGGATCCAGTTGGAGTTGGAAAGCAACTCGGGAAGAATTTTATAAATAAATTCTTGCCAAATTTGAACACAGCCATTGGAGCATCTTATTTTTACTACTCACCTGGCCAAGCCTTTGTTTAAAAGTATGTGAAATTTGAAAAATAGAGAGGGTGGCTTTGAAGGGACACCTTCTAAAAACTGATGAAATAAAGAGGTCAAGTGCAGCACAGATCAAAGGGAAGGAAGTGGAAAAGAAGTATCAGGGAAGTATGATGAATAAATAACGAGATACACTGAAGCAGTTTCAAAATAAGATGAGACAGGAGGGGTAAAAATAGTCAAGTTGAAAGGAATTAGATAAATTTTGTTTACACATCATTGCTAAGAAACCTTGCTTTGAATGCTCCCTGCTTTGTCAGACACTTCAATTTAGATCTCGAGAGAAGGGGAGTAGCTTGCAGATCAGATAGCGCACTATATTAGCAGAGCAGGTTGTGAAACTGTTCTTGATTTATAATAGAAGGAGGCATTCTAAAATAGGCTGGATAAAAAGCCCTCAGTGAAGGTTGTTGTTGTCCTTCACCTCTAACATGCACCTCACTGGCTCTGAAAAGACCGGGAGTGTCCCCTGCTATCTATTTTTATTAAGGATACAAGACTGTATCCTTGAATGGGGCTGAGGGACGATAGGCGAGCCACGATGCAAGGCTTAATTTAGGCGCTTGGTGCAAGATGAGCACATGGTTCAGAGCTGGGAGGCAGTGGAAACAGATCCAGGTAGGGCCAGAGGCCAACATGAAAGCAGAGACAATGGAATAAAAATAGGGTGCCACGGTGCTGCCACTCCCTTTGGTACCTGGCTTTGATGGATGTTCTTTGGAGCCCATTCGCAGCTGTGGAATGTAAACTTGTGCTTCCTGTCTGCAGGATGCCACTGCGACATCGGCGGGTCAGTCGGTCCTGTGTGTGAGGAGAAGACGGGATCCTGCCGCTGCAGAGCGAACACCCAAGGCCCGGCATGCACTCAGTAAGAGTTAGTAGACTGCACCTGTGTTACTGCAGGACCCGCTAGGGGGTTCACCTTCTTGCTGCTGGATTTCAAACCTTTCTTTAGCCTTCTGCGTTTTAAGAGTGGAATGGAAGGTATGAGTGGGGTCATTTGGGAAACAAGCCTGTTGACAGGAAGCTGTGCAGAGATGCTAAAGGCAGAGGGTTTGTCTCTGTATGCGAATCTGGGCGTGTGGATTTTTAATTTAGAAAAGAGAAAATATGCCTAAAGAGGACCAGGTTACAGTTCAGTAAATTATGAAGAGAAACAAAGGCATTCTCTTCTCATCCCTAACCCCAAATGGGTTGTCATAAGTTCAGGACACAAGTAAGAGAAAAACGATTTATGTAAACTAATGTACATAAAAGCCAATTATCTGTATTTCAACGTAAATGGGAAAGGGAACTCAAAATAGACCTGCGTAGGCAGAAGTGGGATTCACTCTTCATCCATGTGTACCTGTACCCCTTTACTCTTCCCCATTTAAATGAATGGTTACCACCCTTTCCTTTGGGGAGGGCGCAGTGAAGGACTTGGGTCACCCCCCTTCAGTCTTCAGTGTGGATGGTCCAGGATCACACGCTGGGTGTGTGCGCGAGTGTCTGCTGTGTGTGTGCACACATGCACACACACAGTGTGACCTCTTCCACCTCTTCTGTTCTATGACCCCTGGCTTCGCAGTATACATACTCTTCATAGAGACTCCAACACATAAAATGATGGAATATTTTGTATATTAATTGCCTGTATGGAGGTAATACTTCCTATCTTTTTATCTCAGTTAAGGGATGCTTTAACCAGCAGTTCCCATTCTTATTAGTTAGGGACAGATACCACATCTGCTAGTTTAGATGGCTTAAAAAAGGATTTCATTTATTTTACCTTAGTATTTATATACGGCTCCATTCCATAGAGTCTGGGTGGTATACAAGAAATTAAGGAATAGCTACATTTGGCTATGAAAAATTACACCTAAATATGTACAGCATATCTGTAACTAACATGCTTAGTTAAAAATGTGGACCCTCCATATTCAGAGGCTGCCCAATTTGGGTGGTGGGGGGAGGAGCATGGAGAACAGTTGAAGGGATAAAGCATTTTTCATTTTTCTGCTGTTTTAGTGCAGCGACCCATGAGAGAAATAGCTGCTTTTGCAATTAGTAAGTTCCTGGACATTTAAAAAGAATTTTAGTCTCCCTCACCTCAAATTCACTTCCTGCAAAGGGGATAGCCAGTCTGCGGAAGGCATTTTGTTCAATTCTAGTTGTGCTCCATTAATGACAGAGAGGGCACATACAGAGGGATCTCTGGCGCCATGGTGCTTTCCAGGGGCTTCTGTGGGCAGGCTTCATTTTCTTCTCTGGAGACCCTGCTTCACTCTCTGTTGCAAGGGCTGATGTATTTCATCTGAGCATGCAAATTGCGTAACTTTGCTTCCGTAATTCTGGGCAGGGATTTTCTCGAGAGGAACGCAAACAGTTCAGACTGAATATATTGAACACATACAAGAAAGAGATTTTGTTGACTTGCATAATCAAGCGGAGGCGTTTGTGGTGCAGGTGGAAATGAAGCTGTAAAGTACACACCTCACATTTTATCTGCAGACCAGCAAAGGACCATTATATCCCTGATCTTCACCACCTGAAATATGAGCTTGAAGAGGGAACTACACTGGATGGGAAGCCTGTTCGCTTTGGCTACAACCCTCTGGAATTTGAGGATTTCAGCTGGAGAGGATACACACAAATGTCTCCCATCCAGGTAAGCCTTAGTCCTCCACCTTTTGCTTTGGACAGATGCTAAAGGCATCTTTGAATGTTATGAATTTCATACAAGTAAAGCACTGCTGAATAGCACAAATGTGTAGATCATCACATCTAAGGACCACACATTACTATTTTGCTGCCTGTATACCTACAGGAACACTGTGCTCAGACACAGTTAGTCATCGTGGGTACAAGCTACATTCTTACTCTGAAGTAGAGACATGATCTATGCATGGATCTCATGGCCGTGGATGGGCTTTCTCTGCTGGAAAGTTGCAACATTGGAAGCACCTTTGAAGGGGAGTGCTTCATGCATTTGTGTGTATGTCTGCAGTGGGACCCTATTTGCCTATTAGGAATAGAACAGTTGGGGTCCCATCACCGGAACTAATTAGGTCTGTCTGAAGAGAAAGTGGTTAGGCAGAAAGTATGTAAGGAATTGCCAGTAAGCAAACAAAAGGAGGTCTCCTAGGGGGGAAGTCACCACCCGTTTCCTGTCTCCTTGTTGCAATTCTGCATAGCATCTCCCTCGCCCACAAAGGAAAGGAAAACTCTCCTATCCTTTTTTCCCCCTGCAAAGTATGTGGCTTTAGTTGCTTTTTTGTCCGTTGATGAAGGTAGCTGATTTCTTGCATGACTTGATATGAGCAAATGACAAGGGGCTTGAGACTGTAACATCCACTTTGCTTGCTTTCTGGAGATAAATTTCTTTTTCAAAGTCAGCACAGACCACAAAGAGATTTGCGTGCACGTGTGGTCTGTGTGGTTTGTTGGGAATTCTGGTGATCGGCTTTGTTCGTTGGAGAGGCTTCCCAGAGGAAAGGTATTCATTGCCGGATGCTTGTGTCCTGAGGCAAAAGCTTTGTAGGAGTGCAGAAGGACCTATTCTCCTTTTTCTGTTTAGATTTTGATGGGATGCGCTCACGATTTCTTTTGAGGCCTTGTTAGAACCCCCCTCTGTTTAGTAGCCAGAGCCTCAAAATAGTTCTCATTCCACAATTGAAATGTTGTTTTCAAGTTGCAAGTGAGTTTTGGAAGGTAGACTATTTCCGTTTCTTTATGATAGAAATTGCCACCTTTCCCGAATAAGAATAAGTTTCTAGAACTAGAATAAGTAGTTCCTTGTTTAGCCTTCCTGGAAGCATAGCTTGCGCTAGTGCAGCATAGCGCCACAGGTCGGTTTGCACGTGGCTCCTTAGATTTGCATGAATTTTGAATGTCAGCCCATTGGTGTTTCCATCTGAATTTTAATCAGCCAGTGGAACTGATAAATGTCCCAAATATCCATTCTCTCCAAATCAAGACATGAACATAAAAGTCAGGGAGGGGATAGAAAAGAAAACTAAATTTGGGGCTCATCGTGGTCATATCATTTCTAAGTTCTTTTGAGATATTTGAAAGTTTGCATGCAGTACTAACTTCCCAGCATGTTTTGTTGGTATCAGAACTGAGCTTTCTGCATGATGATTTTAGAGGGTGGGGAAACAGTGAATTCACAGGCCACAGCTGTATTGTGAAAATCATAAGGGTTTATACATCTGAAAGCATTTTATGCACATCTGCTCTCAAGAGAGATGTAGGTATAGCGAACTGCTTCTACGCTCATCAGGCTGATGCCTTTCCAGATTCATGGATACACTTTCCATGTATTAGTTTTAGGAACTAGTTGCTGCAGTGTTCCCATGAGTTCAGTTTGGAAATTAGGAAGCAGCCTTCAGAGTCTGCTGCCAAAGGCCTGTCGTCATCCTGTTCCCCCCCCCCCCCGCCCCCAAAGTGCCAGCCTGGTGCCTGGGGGAGCCCATGTGCAGAAAATGGGTGCCGCTGTGGCCTCCCATTACTGCTAAGAGGCAAGCGGCCTCTGATCCCAGTAGTCAATGCCAGTCTTACCTTCCGTGAACTTGTCTAGTTTCCTTTTCAAGCCATCTAAGCTGGCCACCGTCAATATACCTTGCAGGAACAAAGTACAGATTCCAGCTAGTTTCTGTGTGCTTCCCTTCAGAAATCACCTTCTTTCCTCTTCTCCCTGATCTCCTTTTTCCTTCCCTCCACTCCTGATGGTGGAGCGTGCTTCTCCGGCAAGACGTGAGAGACGGCCTTGCTGGAAGGTGCAGCGTGTGATGGTTTCGCAGGCATCCTTCCAGGCCACCATTTGGCAATAGCAAGATGGGGCTGGCTTTGTTCCTTAACCGCTTTGGCATGCTGCTTTTGGGAGCAGGACTCCAGGACTGCCGTGCTTGAGCTGGTGGCTGGTGGCAGGTGATGGTGGAGGTTATTTAAGGTGTGCTCTGCTTCTCTCCCCTTTCTCTCCCACCAGCCCAAGGTAGTGGTGACCCTCAGTGTGACCTCCCCTGACCTGTTCCGCCTCGTCTTCCGCTACATCAACCGGGGGCCTGCAAATGTGGAAGGGAGGGTCTCAGTCCTTGAGGAAGGAAAGTTTAATGTTTGTGGCAACTGTAAGTGCATTTTTCACTTCTAGACTAACCCCCCCACCAAAATCAACCAGCGAAGGAGCTGAGCTTTGCTTTTCTGCAAAACAGCATTTCCGCTTCCCTCCCCCAAAGCCACTGCCACCCAATTGCATAGATTTTGGACTTCTAGGAACATTGGCAATTGCAAAGGGGCGGGCATCTAGAGAGGCAGACAGATAGAAAGGCAGGGAGGCAAGGTGCTTGGAGCCTCCCTCGCAGTGATATGTGCCCTGTTTGCTTTTTGCCTTTCTGCAGAACAAGGTCAAAGTCACAGTGCATGTGAGAGAAGGAGAGCTCTATCTCTTCCACATCATTCTGAGATATATTAATTCAGGGGGTGGCACTGTGTATGGCAAGATCACAGCTTCTCAGCCACGAAGAAAAGGTAAGGAGCCCAGATTTTCCCCCAGTTGGCAGCGCTGTTCCTTGAAGACTCCATACTGCATTTTGTCCTGCAGTTTCTAGAAGTCCTGCTCTGTACTTTTTATCAGACAGATGTTTTCCGAGGCAGCAGTCCTGTGCATGCTTACTAGAAGTCGCCCTCCTTGAAATCAGTGGGTTGTCTTGGTCAACATGGATAAGATTGTGCAGGAAAAGCATCCCAGTTTTGCTGGGATTGTCAAATGAATACGATACCTCTTGTCTTCATACCCTTGCACTAATTCAGAGTAATTGTTGCTATTCTTTTAAATTAAAGATTTGCCTGCAAATCAAGCAACTTATGGTCACCAGCAGTTCATTCCTATTCATTTCAGGAAATTTTATTGTATAGAAAACAGGAATAATTCTTTACTTTTGTGTTGAAGGGTATGGATTGGATTAGTAATAATAATCCTTAAATTACAGCTTTGACAACACTTTTGAGACTGTTGACCAGAAGATAAGAGAGTTGCTTTGTTTCAGTTTGGTATAAACACGGAAAAATATTGCTAATAAAGAATTGCATTTTGAAGGGCTGAGTATATATATATTTAGATAATAGTATCCAATGCAGTTGTATGCTTGAAAGACAAGAAAATTATTGTTTTAATTCCATGCTTTGATCTCAGGAGGAGTCAGGGAAGATTCCCCTTCCTTCCTTCACAGCTTGTATGAGTGGGATGTAATTTAGCTCTTTGCAAATGTGGAACATGTGAATGTTGCCCAGTGTTGTATTTAGTATAGAATGTGATAACTGCTGCACTTCCTAAGCCCACTTTAAGTTCTCGATTCATGCTGGCAACAGAACAAACTACAAATCCTAGTTGAGTCCTAGCCTTGAAATATTACGCTGGGACAACAGGAAGTTTTCCTGAAAGAAGAAGCATCCTTTTTGTTAATAGAATTTGTTTTAGTTTTTGGCAGTATAATTGCTGTCTTCAGGGGTGCACATTTCCAGTGTTATGGATCCAGAAGAGAAGCTCTTGAGGCTTTTGGAAAATGCACCTTCACGGTTTTTAAGTGGGTAGTGCTTCTTTTATGCAGACTTTCATAGGAACAGTTCTAAAATTCACTGTTTAAACAGTGAATCATGAGGCCTTTTATTCAGGGGCTCAGATTGTTGTGGCTACTCAACTCCTGCAGCTGCCCAGTCAGTTGCCTAAAATTGCTCGCAGCCATCTGCTCACAGTGAAGTGCTCCCCTTGGGTAGCCCAGCAAGGCTTCAACTAGCTTAAAATGCCTTGTCAGAATGACTTCAGTCATTCACCCCATGAAAAAAAAATCCATCAGGTTTGAAGCCAAATGCAGTTTTAGTTGTCTGCCTACATACATCTAAGTGTAAAGCAAGAAAAAGGTGCGTGTGGAGCTGGAACGAACAGCTGTGAATCCTGCTTGCCGTATCACTTGGGTGTGGTCCTTACCAAAAAATGACCAGGCTAGTGGCTATTAACAGTGGACTAGTAAATTGGCTCTGGGTTTAATGTAGTAAAGGCCACCTTTGTTGTTGTCCTGCGTTGTCTCTGACATGGTGACCATATGACTGAGTGCCCCCCAGAACGCCTACCCAGGACAGCCCTGCTCAGCTCTTCTAAATTCCACGCTGTGGCTTCCCTTATGGAGACAGTCCATCTCATAGTTGGCCACTTATTTTAGTAATAACCATTTCTGTAAGAGACTAGGCCTTGAGTGATTCACATGTGTGTTATATGTCTGTTTGTTTGCTGAATCCCTTTAGGGTGTCTACCCTCACAGGGTAGCTTACAAAAACATCGCAAGAGACTGTAAATGTAGTCACTTGCTTCTCCCATCTGCCTCACTTGACCTTCCCTAAAATTTTCTCGAACATGTTTTCATTGTTGACTGTACTCGTGCTTATTATTTATTTATTTCTAGCACCCCACCTTACAACAACCAAACTCTCTGGGTGTTTTACACAGTTCATAAAAACAGATGATAAAAATACAATAAAATCTCATAAAATAAAAGTTTAAAGCAGCTAAGAACAAACCCCAACCCCAGAAACAGACCATAACAATACTAACAACAGCAAAGAATGAGTGACTCTGTGAAATGCCGAGTGATCCCCCCCCCCTCACGCCCACAGCCCCTGGGTGGCTAAGTCTTTAAAAACCTTCGAAAAGAGAGCCACCGTAATCTGATGCTGAAAAGATGACAGATGCTGCACTAACTGGGTTGCAGTGGGAATGTTATTCCATAGATGAGGGGCCACCACCGAGAAAGCCCTCCCCCTGGTTGCCACCCTCCACACCTCCCTTGGAATTAGCACTTGGTGGAAGGTCCCAGAGGTTGAGCATAGGGTCTGGGTGGGTTTGGTTGGGAGTGGCGCTCGGTTAAGTATTGTGGTCCTAAGCCACATCAGCCTTTATAGGTTAAAACCACCTTGAATTGGGACCAGAAGCATACAGGCAGCCATTAAAAGCAGGCCAGAACTGGTCTTAGTTATTCAAAAATGTGAGTTCCGGTTATTAATTTGGCCACCACATTCTGCACCAGCTTCTGAACCATCTTCAGAGGCAGCCGCATGTAGAGTCTACGGCAGCAATCCAGTTTAGAGATTACAAGAGTATAGACTACAGAAACCAGATTCATTCAAAACATCTTGTGTTTCAGGGAGTCTTCATCCTTTTGTTAGCTTTTGCAGAACTATCAGAACCACTTAGACATAGAAATTCTACTTTGAAAGGCATCCAGACACTATTATTTTAAAATGAATAAAATTGAAAGTTGGCACTATAATTTGCTGATGGCATCCTGTTGATGTCAGAGTGGGAATGGGGCCAACGCAAGATGGACGCATGTGGGACATGAGGAAGCTGCTCACCGCTCACACGCGGCCCCTTTCAGTTGGCATGACGGAACTACAGAGAATCACAGAGTGACTGGCCCCCCATTTTGTAGCTGGGGCAGCTCATTCTCAGCTCCTCCTCAGAAATCTTGTACACCTTTCGAAGCCGACTTCAATACCCATTTTTCTTTTCCTAATTACAGGTACTGAGCAAATGAAGCAGATTGTATTTGCACCTGCCAAAGAGCCAACCTTTGTCACTGTTCCTCAGAACAGCTTTGGCGAGCCATTCGTGCTGAGCCCTCAGGTGTGGTCTCTGGTCATTGAAGCCGAGAACGTACTGCTGGTAAGACCATTCATCCCTTTTTCCCTGGGACAGAGGCAAGCCGAACCGCGAAGTCTAATACTCAAACCCTTCCTTCCAGGATTACCTGGTCCTGCTGCCCAGTTCCTACTATGAGGCTCCAATACTGCAGATGAAAGTCTCGGATCCTTGTACTTATAGTCCAGCTCCGGAACAAACAGGTCAAAAGTAAGCTTGCTGTTCTCTTCATGCTCCCAGATTTAGCTTGGATTGCATTTGGGCTCAAGCAGTAAAGCTTACCTCTGTACGACTGGATCCCGCTTCATTAGACTTCCCTACCCCTTCTTCCCATGGCAGTTCCTCCAGCCGCCGGGAATATAATCAGGGACTGTGGCTGGAATGAGCTGCGGTGTGTGTAGCAAGGAAGAGGGATCTCTCGAAATCAGGCAGAGGGTCCTTCTGTGAACGGGCCCTTCCCCTCTCACAGGTATGTTGAAACCAGTATGTTGTACCCTCTCTTCCCCTCTCCATCTCGCAAAAGAGGCAGGTCGTGGATCCTTCACTTAGAGTGGTACAACATACTGGTTTCCACGGGGCATTGTTAAGGCATTTATGGCTGCCTTTCAAAGAGGATTCTATGGTTTTGAGCAGGAGTTCATGGTTGTGATGGGCAAGACCAAATGCCGGGACATTTAGAGTAATATAGGATACCCTACGGAATAGCTTTCCAGAGCCTTTCTTTGGACTGTGAGCATTTATGATATAGAAATGGTAAAAGTGGTGGCTGCAGACTTGCTACTGAGATTCAGGAAGCCTAACTGTGTCCAAGATTGAAACCTAAATGTTTAAGTATTTCTGTGTCTTCTGTGTGACGTATGAAGACTTAGCATTTCCAAAGTAGCTATGAGCCTTCGGGGAAAGGTAACGTGGCCACAGTGTCCTTTTGTCACTGTTACTTGCAAGTTTTTGCTCCTGCCCCAAACTAACTTCAGAAAGCACAATGCATTTTGCTACTTTCCCTCCAGATTAGAAGGGAGCAATTAGTGCTCTTCGGCCTAATTTCCAAAGTCTTCTTTAAGCAGTCAGACCTCTGGCAAGAGCAATCTGGCTTGTCCCTAGTGGCCCAGTGGGCAAGGAGAAGGAAGAAAAAAGTGGGAGGGCAAGAGGAAGAGAAGAGGGGGTGACTCCATCCAGCTCTGGATTTGGCCATACCTGCTACTGGCCTCCAAGAGATTACCCCTGTGGGGATGTGGCTTTCTAAGAATATTCAATAGTTTATTCTAGCAGATACCTTGATACAGAAAAATGTTCTTTCCTGTTCTTTCTAGTTGCCTGCTGTATAAGTTTGTGCCTGTGGAACAGTACCCTTTTGGGTCAGGGGAAGACGCTTTGTGCAAGGTGGACAACAGCTTACCAAGACCCTGCGTGAGGGGGAAGGTCTCCCCTACATCCCCTGACTTGGTGGTTTGCAGTGGCAGTGATGTAAGTGGTTCAACTTGGAATGCCCTTCCCAGCTCGAATCCCCCGGATAGTGGAGTCAGCATCCTCCAAGTGCTCCTCGAATCCCCCGGATAGTGGAGTCAGCATCCTCCAAGTGCTCCTCGAATCCCCCGGATAGTGCTCGTCAGCTTTGTAGGGCAGGAGCGGACAGGAAATAAATCTCTGGAAGTTTTGGACTTCAGCTTCCAGCATCCTTCACCTTCCAACACGGGCTATGCTTGCAGGGTCCTTTTGGAGTTGAAGTGGAGAGCATCTGGAGAGCTGCCCACTGTCCTAGAGGCATCTGCTTGGTCACTGGGAAGCAAGATCCTGAGCTGACTGCCTCGAATTTGCCTTGATCTTGCTGGGTCCATCTTATACAGGAAGCAGTGTCTTTGGTTCAGCCTCACAACTGTAGCCTGCACACACCTGCCTCTAAGGCTGACCTTCTTGATCAGTAAACAAGTAAATTGAGAATTCACAAGTTTTGCTGTCTTCTAGTTTGAGGTCTAAGAAATAGAGTTTGACAGTTTGCCTAAGTACACTTACTATGGAGGAAGTCCTGCTGAACAGAGTGGGACTTTACTTCCAAGTAAATACACATAAGTTTGTATTAAGGGATTGATACCAACAATAACTATTTTTTCCCACAGAAAAGCTTTTATTTACATGGAGTTATTTACACAAAAATCTATATATTGGAGTTGTAATTAGAACAGTTTGCTGAGCTAGATAATTAGCTTGCATCTTGCTTCTGCCTGTTGTTTTTTTAACTAGAAAAGATACACACACTTTTCAGGTTTGGTTCCATGTTCCAATGTGTCCTTCTGCACCATAATTTTCCCAGAACATTTGCTTCTTCAAATGAAAATGTTATGTCAAGAAGTCGCCCATATAAAGTGTCATGCAGCGTATATTGCAAAGCAGAGATTCGGAGCAGAACCTCCTGAGATGTAACCAAGTTTGCTTTACTCCTTAACTCTGCTTTTCCTTGGACGCAGGTGGAAGTGCAGATGTGGGTTGGTGTACCCCAATCAGGAAGGTATGCGCTGCTGGTGGAATATGCCAATGAGAATACTCCACAAACAATCGGCGTGGAAGTGAGGTCACCACAGCATGTCGTTCATCAAGGCACTCTTACTTTGTACACCTGCAAGTACAGGTATGTTCACAGATAGGAAAGATGGGAGAATGTGGACCTACTTGAGGAAGATGCACTCCCATTACATAGTTTGCTAAGACAGATCTTTTGCTACTTCCAACTACTGTTAATATTATTGGAGCAATTCTCAGAATCTGCAGTATTGAGTTGAGAATATGTATCATGAGTTGAGAATATGTATCATGTACAACATTCGTGCTTATAACTTGGTCAAAACAAATATCTGATCAACAATACATAGAAACATAGAAACTGAACGAGTCAGAAGGGGTCTCTTGGGCCATCTAATCTGACTCATGGCTCCAGCCGGCTCTGCTCATGACATGCTAATTTACTTACAGAAATTGTAAGTACCAACTTACAATTTCTGCTGGAAAAGAAAAAGTCCAAAGGAAGGGTGGGAATGACCATTGGCCTTCTGGATTTACCACTTGCTTTTGAGGCTTGTGCCAGAGAGAGATGAACCAAGTGATACAGAAGCTGCAGTACCACCATGGGCAGGACACATTCCCTACAGAATCACTTGGTAGGGTTGGAGAGACAGTGGGTTGATAGTTGGTTGTTCTGTTTCATCACTGAGTATCCACTTCGTGCCTTTGCAGTCTAATGGTCAGAAGTACACTAGCATGTATCGCAGTTTGGCAAAAGCTGTGTGCCATTTAGAGTATCACTGTACCAGAAATCCAGTCCAAAAGTCCACACCCTCGAAACAGGGCCCAGCTTGAGAGGAAAGTAGTTCAGGCATCCTGATGCCCTGTATAAACAAACCAGACAGCACGTATATAAATAGCAGATTGATTACATTGTCTGTGACCTCCATTTTTTAAAAGCCTCCATTAAGACAGTGGCCTTAGTGATAGGAAATGATAGCCTGGGATATCTGTAGGAAGCATCCCCCTTCCGGTATTCAGAAGTATGCCAGGAACTCTTTATTGAAATCTTCAAGGAACAGCCGCATTTGGCAGCATAAGACCATGTCTGAGCTTGACCATCTCTTTTGTCTTACAGTTTCCTTTGCCGTGGTGCAGTTTTAGATTCACTAAATCGCTTGGCAGCTTTTGAACTGAGCACAGAGGCGACAATTAAATTCACTGCTGATTGGGCGCATTTCTTCTTGGTAAGGCTACCCTTGCAAGCGGAGCATGCTTACCTGTGGCAAAGATCTGCAGCAAACCTGAAAATGCTAGGGTGGGTATTTTAGGGTGTTGATGGTGAAGAGCTGTGGGACTGAATTTGGACAAGCTTTGGTAGAGGTTTCTGAATTTTCAGTCTAAACCCAATGATAATAAAAGGCTTTGCTCTCCAGGAACAGTCAACCCGAAGAATGGTTTGTATGCTGGAGGAGAAGCTGAAAAAGTCTTAAGGATCTGTCTTCTGTTGTCCCCATCTTTCCATTCCCTGCTTACCTAGAAAAGAGTCTATTTCCTTCCTCTGCTGTCCATTCCAGCTTGTTCTCTTTAGTCTCATATTCCAGAAATATGTGAATCTGGTTTCTGGGAAATAAATGGATGCTGATTTAATAAAAAACATGCAATCTGGCTGCACAATTCCAGTGAAATTATGGAATTATTGCCTTGAGTGACAAAGCTGCATTCTCTTGTCTGATAGAGGGACTGAAGAAGCCCAAGCAAAAAACACTGCAGCAGGCTGATAAGTGTTAACTTATATTATACTAATATATAATATATTATATTGACTGCCTATATGCATGATCTGCTTGACTGGGCAGTGTGACAGGGCCCAGGCTAGACTGCCATTCATGCCTGTGTCACGGGGGGAAATGACAAGATCGAATGCATCTTGTCTAATCATAGGCGTAGCCACTGCAGCCTTTCCTGTAGCTTTGCTTCAGGTGTTTTATTCATAAACAGCAAGCATGAGAATTTTAAGTGGTCCAACAGAACTATTTCTTCGCTGACTCTTTAGATGTCTTTTTAAACCAGGGATTAAAACACCACTGATTTTCTCTCTCTCCCTCCTCTGCTCCACTTTTCCTTTCTCACAACTTTCAGTACAAGGTCTACTTGGTCCCATATGAACAATTCACTTGGGAGTTTGTGGAGCCAAAGGTCCATTGTATCAGCACCCATGGAACATTCTCACCAAATAGGTAATGGTGTTTAAATACTTGTTTATTATATAAAATAAAGCCAGTTCTTCTTTGTGCTCTTGGTGCATCACACATATGGGCTCTGTGCCTCTCTGGAGCTGGTTGTTGCGAGGATTCTACAGCTAAGTATTAGTTTGGATGGCTTTTAAATAATAGTTTATTATGCATAAAATCAGATAACATGAAAATACTGGACTCCCAGTCAGGAAGCTAACCAGGCCTGTATATTCTTGGTTTTGTCAATCCTGCAACTAGGAGAAGAGGAGAGATCTGTTCAGTTTGCGTTTACCTGGGTGAATGAACTAATATGAAATTTTTGGACCACTGTGGGAAGCAGAAATCAGTTATTCCTCAAAATTTCACACTTTTCTGTATTTTGCAATAATACTTGCCAATAAGAAAGCATGCAAAGTGCATATCTTAAGGAATAATCAATTAAAATGCAGTGCATTAGGAGACATGCTTGCAGCGGTGTATATCATTGCATTGCATTGCATTACACTTATATCCTGCCTTTTTTGCTCTTGTGAGGAATGCATGATGTCTTACATAGTTCCCCTCTGTTTTTTGTATCTCAATGACTCTGTGAAGTAGGTTAGGCTAAGGGTGATTGACCTCACGTCACTCATTGACTTTTATAGCTGAGGGAGGACTAGCACCTGGATCTCCCAGGTCCCCAGTCCAACACTCCAGCCATAATGCCACTCCGACTGTCACATATTAGACAGAGTTCTGGATGAACTGAAGTCTAGATCAATTTTCAGATTTCTGGACAAACCAGACTTAGGTCTGGAAAAATGAAGAGATTTAAGAGAAATCCAAACTGTCCATCTTTAGCTGCAAGGTCAGGGATTCCCAAACCTTTTGCTGAACTCTGCAAACAGCTTCAAGGTTTTCCAAATTGTTATTTAAGGCAAAGCTGCCCCAGTATGAATGCCAGAGAACATTGTGGTGGGTGATACCTCCTGCCTTTAGCTTGGTGGGCAGATGCAGGGCATCCTTTTAATTTAATTCGCACCACCAGCCATATATGGTGCATTGCAGAGCAATATAAGCAAAAGAAGCAGAACTGAGTTTGGAGCTGCTTAGAATCTCCATGTTGAGATGCTAAAGGTGATAATGTAGAGGAGGAGAACAAGGGAAGGACAGCGCTGAGCTGGAAGACCCTTCATTGAGAAACAGTGAAGGGTCTTCCAGCTCTTTTAAAACCAATGCGTTTATTTGGGCATGTTTCTTTGTGGGTAGTTTCTGCCTCATTCGATGCGCAGTGAAGAGCTTGGCCTGATGCTGGAGTTAATGCGTTGGTCTTCACGGTGTCGCAAGACCTTGTTGTTGTTGTTGCAGCAACAGAACAACATACCTACCCCTTGGGAAAGGCAGGAAAGCAAAGGTAGTTGTACGATGCCTCATTGCACTCGGAGATAACGTCTTGCAAGCCTATTTAAAGAGTGCTTGAGAATGTGTACACTTACTAACAGGGTAGCTGTGGGTGCCTAGATTTCTCAACTAATTCACAAATTGGTAAAGCACATACACAAGCGTGTGTGCCCAAACACACGGGCAAAATCATGTTCCATGATCTGCTCTTGGAATATGCTCATTTGATTCGTGCCCTGCCTTTCTACCATAAAAATGGCACTCAAGATAGCTTACAACACCAAATAAAGCTTGGCTAAAAGAATAATAAAAGCAGATGCATTGAAACAGAATGGAAAACCAGAGTCAGTGGTGCGTCTGCATCCGTGCCAGAGCCCTGCTTGAATAAATAGCTCTTTGCCAGCCAGCAGATGCATGGCAGAGAGGAAGCGAGCCAAGCCTCTCTCAGCAGGGAGTTCCACAACATGTCCCGTAAGAAGCCCCTCTCATGCATCAAGCACCGCATGTGCCTTGAAGGAGGCGGCCGTGAGAGACGGGCTTCCTCGGAAGATCTGGGCAGGCTTGTCGGAGAAGGAGAGAGGGCAGCAGCCTAGTCCCAGGCCGTGTAGCATTTCAGAGATCCCAGTTCTGAATTCCGCCTGGAAACAGAGCTGCAGCCAGTCAAGGTGTAGCAACAAGGGAAGCAGGTGTATGCCTGACTGTGGCCGGACTAAATATCTTTAGGAACAGGTGCAGTTGGCTCAATAGCTTCGGCCACACAAAGAGATTCCTGGCCACTGCTGAGACCTTGGCATCCAGTTTATCTTGCTTCATTTCATTTATATAAGACTCAATAATGGAAGTAGCTAGAAGAGTTAAAGCCATTTAAGGCCATGCAGGAGTACACCCAAAACTGTAGGCCGGACTGTAACCGCAGCTGGCTCTGGCAGGATCCCTCTCACCTGAAGTCCCTTTTCATGAACCTGCAGGTGTGGAGGCAGATTCATGCCCACAAAGCAGTCATGACAAAGGCCACATTGCTGTGACCAAGTTGAGCAGCATAAGGCAGCCTACCTGGAGTCTTCTGGAGCTCCCAGATCCTTGCAAGGGCTTACAGGTGTGTTCCTGGTCCTGCAGGCACTTGCAGGATGAATCATGCTGCTTGTCACGGGGGTGGGGGTGGGGTGGGGGCACTGGATCCTGGCTTCAGATCCTGACATCACTAACATGCGTTCCATCCAGATTGGAATAGATTGAGATAACCTGCATCATCCAGCAATCCTGGGAGCTGGAGAAGCCACCTCATACTCTGCCCACTCTCTCCCGAATGGAATATTGGAGATGGGCTGGAAATGATCCTGGCTTGTGGGGTTTGGTTTGGTTGTGTTTTACAAGGCCTTGTACTGCCTCTGTAGGCAAGCCGGTTCACCAGTGTCCTTTCCATTCAGCCAGTTCCCCTGAATCCAAGGGCACAAGTGGCAGGCCTCACTTCCCAATGAATGGTTTTGGTTTATATTGAGCACTTCATTTTGTCTGAATAGAAGGGCTTCTTCACAGATAGGAGGACTTAGTTTGCATTAGAACCAGGTCAAAGCGTGGGGCAGTCTGCCCACTGGTTATAAAGTCATCCTATAACCTCCCATATGACGTGCTTGCCTTACTGGCATTCTTAGTTTTCTGATCCTTCTTCTGTTCCAGTGGGGTGCTAGTTTTTTGCTGGGTTGCACACCTGTTGACGCTTTCTTTTCCACAGTAGCTCCTGTGTCCCATCAAGGTACCAGAAGATTTCACAGTCAGTTGTCCTGGAGGAGGGGCAGTTCCTACCAGTTGCACCAGACTTCCCTCTGATTCATGCCTTTAGTATCCCCCCAGTGGCTTCTCCACCTGTACCTCCAATTCATCCCCCTACCTTGCTGGACTCCTCTGCAGAGCTCATCCTGCTGCAGGCTCCCCAGGTAGGTACAATAAATAGCAATGTCAGAATTTTTTTTTAAAAATGCTAGAAATTACCTTGGGAGAGTAAAGATTACTGTCCTTGAAATGTCAAAGCAATTGTGGGCATGTGGGCACCCAGGAGCATAATGAAGGCATTCATATTCTAGCTGCAGTTTTTATGTTTGTTTTAGAGCTTGTAAGTAAGTTTCGTTTTTTGCATAGTTCTCTGTGGAAATCGCCACCATGCTTTCCAAGTTGGCTCTCTGAGGTTTTCTCGTCCTTAAAAGAGCATCCACTGAAACTTGAGTGGGGGGTCCCACTAAAATAGAGAAATAGCAGGTAGGCGGACATGGTTTGTAGAAAAGCCATCACTGGCAACCAGCAGGAGACAGAAGATAGCCATCCGATGCCCTCAAAAGCATTGGTAGATAGTGATGCCCACCCATTCTGAGGAGACACTTTCATCTGAGAAGATAGGGCGTGAAAAAAAAGGCAGAAAACCCACACCACCCCTTGGACTCTGGTCTGCAGTTCAGCAGACATCTTTCTCATCTGCATGATTTTCAGTATGCAGCCATGAAAGCCAGAATCTCCCTCCTTCAAGTGAGGAACATAAGGGCTCGTAGGTCCAGGGCCATCTTAAGGCATGGGCCTGATGGGCACTTGCCTGTGGGCCCCGTACTAATCTGTGTATGTTACCCTTGGAAAATTGGGGAACGTCCAAAATTAGCAGTAGTTGGAGTTGTCATAGGGGCCCCAGTACACTGCTTTGCCAGGGCCCATAATGCTGTTAAGACGGCCCTGCTTAGGTCCGATGGTTTGCAGGGAAGGCACCCAAACAGCCCATCTTTCTCATTCAGGCAAGTAGCATTAAGCATGAGTTTTCATTGCACATTCTCTTACCAGCGCAGGGGGCGGCGATCATGTGTGGGCCCAGTGGCTCCTTGAAGGGGCTGCACACTCTGGAGTCCTTCTCACTGGAGCGTGGGCAGAGAAACATGGGGGTGGGGGTAAGCCAAGCAGCCAGCTGTTGCGGGGCTCCTTTTTCCAGTGAGCTCCCCGGGGTATGTTGGCACCAAAAAAGCAGGGGTTTTGGAGGTGAGCAGGAGAGAGAGCTTCAGATACAGGCTGTGTAGAAATACAATACATAATAAAATAGTCATAATCAGAGTGGGAATATAGCAGCAACAGCTGGCAGCATTAGTAACTGGGGCAGTGGCCTTTTCTTCATCTGAGGAAAGTAGATGCTAACAGCAACTGATGAAATCTGCTTGTTTGTAGGCGCTGGGATAGGGACCTCACATTCATCAGGAGCCAAAGGGATGCTGAGAATTAGAAATCTATGGCGCAATTATTGTAAGCCAAACAATGACATTTCCCTTTTGCTTTGTTGTAGACTGCCATTGTGTTTCGTGGCCGCGTCCAAAGTCTGGGACTCTATGCCTTCATTTTGCACTGCTACCAGCCCAGTTACCCAACTTTCCCCGTGGAAGTGTTGATCAATGGTGGACGGATTTGGCAGGGTGAGTGGCTTCCAGGTTTAGGGTGGGGCTCATGACGGAGGGCCGGTAAGTAGCTTTTAACCAGCCGGACTCAGAAGAATCAACCGTCACTGATAGCAGCACAAGAAACACAGAACGTGTTGCATTGCATCTTAAAAGCCAAACATTTCTTGTGACATAGCTTTTTATAGACTGGAACCCCAACGTATGTGTTGTCTTGAAGTAGGTGGCTCTATTTTTTCTTAAATTTTATGTAGAATATATGTGTGAGTGTGTGTGAAATGATGCCAATCAAAAGGGAATACAAAGAAAGATACAAAAACAGAACAAGAGAAACTTAAATTGTCTCGGTGACACATACTTTCTGGATTTTCAGGACAAGCTAATGCCACTTTCTGCCCACATGGATATGGCTGCCGAAGTCTTGTGGTTTCAGAGAACCAGACTGTCCTGGATGTGGCAGATAATGACCTGAGTGTGATCATCCGTGTGCCAAAGGACCGACACCTTTGGCTTGTATGTTCCTTCCTTAAAAATGCTCTCGTCCTTATGTGCAGGAGTTGACTGTGATAACTAATATGAGAAGCTACAGTATGTTCTTCCCAACTTTTACAGTGACTTTTCCTGTAAGGCAGAATGCAAACCTTGTCAGACTGAACCCCATTCATGTAGATAACCAGCCTTTCCTTACTTTCTTACATCATGTAAGCCACTACCCAGCCCTCAGTTGTGTGCAAAAAGTTAGAATTGTTTTGCAGAGGGGAAGGCAACTGACTTGGGGCTTGATTCATGTGCTCCCTGAGCTGGCACTGTGCTTTGCAAGATGGTGGAGCGGCCATGTCCCCTTCCTTTCGCCATCTTGTCTTATCTGGGTGTTTCACACAGATGTCCGATTTGGCCGGTCTGTTCCCCTTTGTCCAGGGACTGAAGCATCTATATAATTAGGCAGTCATATGGAGTGCTCTTGTCCCGTGCGTTGTTATCTGAGTAACGGAGGGGAAAAGCACCTGTTTCTCTGCTTGCAGCAGTGGCAAGTTTATTTGCTTGATAAATTTATGTCTATCCCGTATTTTCCTCCAAGGCGGCATGCATGTTCCTTCTCTTCTCTATGGTATTCCCACAAAAATCCTGTGAGGCAGATGAGGCTGAGTTCCAGTGGCAGGGGCAATGAGTCCCCAGGAGCTTCATGGCAGAATGGGAACTTGAGCCAATCTAATACTCCAACTGCTACTATATTCCTGCATGGGGAGGGTTTATTAACTGAGGCTTATAAAAGCAAAACAGAATAACTGAATAAATCATTTAGTTATTTACCATTTCAACTTGTTTGTCTGCTTATAGGACTATATCCTTGTGGTTCCAGAGAGCAGTTACGGCTCCAGCTACCTTTCAGAGGAACTGATGGACAAATCGTATGATTTCATCAGCAGTTGCGGCCTCAATGGCTTCTATATCAAGTAAGATGCAAAACTGGCTTCACTGTACAAGCACAAATTGCTTGCCTCTTGTGCTCTGGACAGCCTGTTGCATCATCTGGAATTTTATCTAGCCGAGCCTTAGCACCAATTCCCAGAGTTGGTTTGAACCTGCTCCTCTAATGAGCTCAGTGCTGCATCCTTTATGGAGCCTTACAAAGTGTTATTTGCTTCCTGGTGGTCGCTTCCTTTAATTTCTCATTCCTTTTCTCATTTTTTGAGTCCACACACACACACAGCTTTGCTGCACAAATACACAACCTGATGACAGGCATGTAATCAGGGCGAACCATAGCAGTGTGGTGTCCTCTGAGTCTCATTTGTCATCTTCATCTGCTTATAGCCATCATGTTTGCAGAAAGGAGCTGCAGAATTGGACTAGCTACACATTTTAATTAAACAATAAAGTATGTAAGCAATGTACCCCTGCGAGACCCAGTGCAAAAATGTCTCCTCCTCTCTGCAGCCCTGCAACTTCATCCAGGTTCTGCCAGGACTCTGCCGCCTCCATCTCTCTTTTTTACAACAACGGGGCCCAACCTTGCCACTGCCACGAGGCGGGTGCCGTTCGAAGTCAGTGCGAAGCGTTTGGTGGGCAGTGCACGTGCAAGTCGAATGTCATCGGGCGAGCATGTTCCCGCTGCGCCACTGGCTACTGGGGTTTTCCCAATTGCAGACGTGAGTCTCCGTAGGGATGGGAAGGAAACTGTGCCATTCCGGATTGGTTTTTGTGTCGTACCATGTCATCCAGGACAGATTCTGAGACTGACTCATCAGCAAGTATATTATACAAGAAGATTGGAGGCAGAATACTGGTGCTTGTGTTTCAGTTGCAATTATGAGAAATTGCACTGAAAAAACAATGTGGAATTTGCACGAAGGGTGTAGGAGTGGGAATTGGCTGCAGTTAACATCCAGCTCACACACCAAGCAAATTCTGTATAATTTCTGAAAGGCTTCCCAGCTTCATGCATGGGAGTAAATTGGAAAATTCTTGCTTTGAAGAATAACGCTACAATGCGAGCTGCAATTACCCAGCTGCCCATTTTATGCATGGTGTGTCTGAGCATTCTGAAGTTTGGAATAGGAGCCATGACGAGATTGGCAGCCAGTGGTCAGTCTAGGTCTATGCAAGGAGAAATCAATGTCTCCAAGCTCATTCTTTTGTGCAGAGCAGAGGAGCAAATGCTTCTAACCATTAGCAAGCCCTTTTCTCGCCAGGGCAGCCTTTCATACGACACCTGCTGTTTCCTCAGCTTTATTTGTTCCTTAAACGTACTGGCTGAGGAACACACGCACAGTCATTTAACAGACTTCTATAGTCGTTACTACCAAGTTCTTTTTATTATGGAAAGGGTGTGGGGTGGGCAGGTTGGATCTGTTGTGGTCGGTGTGTTAACCAGTTCTTGATCCACAATCGGAAGCACCTGAAGAGTCACATGCTCTCCAGAATCTAGTGGTGTTCTGTGCTGCTTACGCCGTGCGCGCGCTCAGCATTGTAGGTTTCTTCCCACTTGCACTTGCAGCTTGCGACTGTGGGCCCCGCCTGTGTGACGAAGTGACGGGGCAGTGCATCTGTCCACCGCACACCGTTCAGCCAGAGTGCACCGTCTGTGAGCCCCAGACGTTTGGCTGCCACCCGCTGGTAGGCTGTGAGGACTGCAACTGCTCCAGCCCTGGAATCCAGGATCAGACGGAGCCAGGCTGTAATGTAGAGAGCGGCCAGTGCAGGTGGGTAGTGATGGGCAGGACCGCCACGCGTCATAAGCCGCAGGGCCGGGGTGCCGTCCCGCGAGACCGTGCCTCAGTGAAGCCCATTCCGACACTTTCCCCCCCTCAGTACGTACTGAAGTTGAAAGCACCCGAAAGCTTTGGCCAGCACTGGTCAAGAATGTAAACTGAGCAAGACCCTATTTTCCCCTTTGCCCGGTTTCTAAAGGGCATTGTGCTTGTAAAGCCGTCTGCGGTTGTACCACTCCACTGTGGCTTTTTGCCTCCCACACACAGTGCTGGCGGTTGTGCATTGAATGTATAATCCTCTGTGTTCCTCTCGGAGTTACGCTCTGATTTTCCTGGGGCCTTTACTGGTCAGAAGCTTGAGTGTACTGCAGGTATTTCATTTTGGAAAGATAGTTTCATTGATCTATGTAATTGTTCCTTTGACCTGTTAGTCTGAAAAGCTTAGAGTCATCTCTGCATTCAGGATTGTCCCTTGAACCCTGAGTGTGTTTTCAGCAGCCACTTGCCTTGACTGGCTGCAGGATTCGTTTTCTTTTTCATTTCTGTGTGAAGCAAAAAACCCCCCCTTTGCTGGCTGAATATTCATTACCTTAGCCAAGCTGTTTGTGTGTTTCTCTCAGAACTCCAGTAATACATGGGAGCATCTGGCTGATTTGGATAAGAAAATATAAAGAAAAGAAATACTGAAGGGTTGAAAAGCAACAGTCCTCATTCTGAATCTTCATGAAATTTTGCATTATGTCATCATAAATATAAGTGTAGTATAATGTGTTTGGCAGGTGTTTTAGAAGAATATTCATATTCCATATGTTCTGCTTTCATTTTGTATTGTTCTTGTAAGGATGTTAATAGTTACACTAGCTAAATGAACCATCCATCTTCGGGAGCATTCTGTCTCCCAAGTAACAGAGATGGGAATTGTTGTCCTCTTCCTCCTTAATTTCATTTCTGTGCTGCTCAATAGCCAAAGTTCCCCAGGCAGTTCACATTAATTCATAAAAAAAACCCAACCGCAAAGACAATTTTAAAAAGCATAGAAATAGCACAAAACCACATAAATTTATTTGTACGCAATATTAAAAAAAATCCACACAATTGATGGTCAAAGGGATTCTCTTGTGTCTTTCTGGCATTGTCTGGAGGGCCATAGGATTATTTGGAGTTTCAACTCAGAGGCCCTCTGACCTTGGAGCTGGGCCCTGGCTCTGCTCCTTGAAGCCAGTATGGAAAGATTTTCCCTGGTTGCTTCTCTGAGGATGCAGCTGGGCCTTGGAGAGGCAGGAAGGGAGTGTGCTGTGGGTCAGGGTGGGGAGAGGCTGGAGCCAGTGGCTAAGGCTGATTCCTGTTGGTGCCTGAAGCTCCTTCCCTCCCTCTCCCTGGCACTTAATTGCTGTCTAGATAAAATGACTGACCTGAAGGTTAGCAGTGGCAGATGGTACTACTACGGTGCTCACTCTGTGTGCATTGGATGCACGCAAGACTCCAATATGGAGGCATACATGCAGTTGAACCAGAGACTGGACTCTGAAACAGTTCCAGTACAGGCTGAGCTATAGCAGCTGACATAAGTGCTCCGTCATGCCATTAGGTATCTTAACTGCCAATAAATGCCTGGGAGAAGAGGATAGTTTTTAACTTGGCACCAGGTGGGGTTCCGTGGGGAAATCATTTGAAAATTAAGGAGCTGCCACTCAGAAGACCACCCATTACTTTCATGCTCTGCTCATGAGCTTTCCAGAAACATATTTTGGCCTGTATTAGAAACCAAATACCAAATTAGAAGGATCCTTAACCTCATCCTGTACAGCAGTTCTTAGCGTTTCATATGCGTACTAGTAGTAGATGACTCTGTCTTTTGACTATTCACATGTTTCAAGCAGCAATTTGTTTTGACCCATTAACTGCTTCATCTTGTGAATGCTTTTTTAAGGTTGCACCAAAAAAACTGTGTACACAAAATTGGGAACACATTCTGTGTACAATTTTCCCTAACAGGCACATTTTTACAAGCACTAATACATGCCATTTGTATTTAAATATTCTTTGTATATACTCTTTAATACATTTTTATCAAAGAATTGCATTGCAAAATTCAAAGAGATGTGGAACGCAAAGGATAATTGCATCCCAGTTGTTAGTTCAGTAACCGTAGATTTAAGTTGGCTTGTGCTAAAGTTCTAGTTGAATGAATTTTCCTTCCATCCTTGTTTTTATGCTGTTTCTTATTCTTGAGAGTCAAAAGCTGCATTCATGTGGTCTGTCTGGAGATATCACAATTACTGTTGCTTTATGGGTGCCTAGGAGGGCACAGGGCAGGGGATGGAAAGCCCTGTAAATGCAGGACTTGGAATCAGCTGTTCAGCATGAGTTAGAAGCCAGAAGGAAAGTAGCAAACAAATATGAAACTTGTCTCTTTCAGATGCAAGCCAAACATAGTAGGACGTCAGTGTGACCTCTGTGCCCCAGGTTACTACGGGTACCCAAATTGCAGGAGATGTGACTGCCACCTGGCGGGGACAAAAGAAAGTGTGTGTGATCCAGTCACAGGGCAATGTCACTGTAAGGTTAGTCTGTCACCCTGGGTCGCGCCTTCCCACCTGCCTGCCACCTGTCTGCACTGGGCTGCTGGATAAGATTCTTGCAAAGCCCGTGCTCAAGCATTATAGAGGGGCGTTCAGTGCTTTCAGTATTCATGATATCACCACTTAAGTGTTCTCTGTACACATAATGGCGCGTTCCATCTAGTAAGTCTTACAGGCTGGTGTTGAAGAACTGGTCCCGACCAGCACAAGTCTGTTGAAGCAGTGGGTGCTTGAAGGCAGCTAGGAACAAGCATGTTACTGAAACACATGTTTGGCCACAGAACGCAATTTCGCCTTGAACCGAGGCTTGGTTTGGTTTGGTTTATAATAAAATATAAAGAAAATAAATAAATGCCCAAGACAGTTCCTTGTAGCCAAGGCAAGTCTGCAGGGCTCGCTTGCAAATAGACACATCCATCCCCAAATACACTCGAGGCAACACTGGACAAATGTGTCTGCAATCTTTTTTTTTAAACATGGGATAATGTATCACTCTGTAAACACAGGTTTTGCTTTTACTTTAGCAGCAGATGATAGATATCACATGTGAAAGCCTTGCAAACCAGTATTATGTGAGCTGTAAAGCACTCCAGGGCAATAGAGCTCTTAAAGAGCAAGCAAAATGTTTCAGTTGATGTAGCATGATTGCTTGTGCTTGTTACCGGTCCCTTGCCTATGCAGTTTTTCTGGAACAGCGCATGTTAAAATACGTATAAAACCTTGAATGGCTGAGCTTCCTGGTAACCACACGCTGCAGCAGAGTACAGGTTTTGCCTAATGTGCCTGTGGTGACTCATGAATTGCCATCTTGGGCTTTTTGGGTCGAGCACCCAAAGAATCCCCTCTTTTGCTCAGAAAGCAAGTGAACAGTTGGGTGAACACATCCTTCTCTCTCTCTGAACAGGAAAATGTGGAAGGTCCAAAGTGTGACCAGTGCCACCTGGGGACTTTCTCTCTGGATGCCAGCAATCCAAAAGGCTGCACCAAGTGCTTTTGCTTCGGGGCAACGGACCGCTGTCACAGTGCAGAGAAGTACCGCGTACAGGTGAATGAGTGGGCTGAGGCTCTCGGGTCAAATGAAAGCTGTAACAGATAGTTTAGATTTCATCTTGAAGGAGGTAGCAGGATGATAGCCTGACTTTACCGTTTGAATATCTGCAATTCCCTGTCTAAACCCCAATGGGTATTTAACCAAAGAAAGAAAAAAATAGTGCTCAGCAAAGAGCCGCTGTTCCAAACCTACTGCCATATTCAGTATTGAACGGAGCATTATCAGCTGACTTATGTCGGAAGGTGTTTACGGTGATTGGGATAAGCAGAACTTGTTACCAGCCATAGGAAGAGCTCTGCTGCATCAGACCAGACATTTGCTCAGTTCAGCATCCCTTTTCAAGTTGTGCCAAAGGAGAAATTTCCACGAAGCCCAACAGCAGGACGCAAAAGCAACACCTTCTAATATGGTTGCCGTCCCAGCAACTGGCAGTGGATGGCCTGCTGGGTCTCAGGCCAAGCGTATGTTCCATAGAAAATTACAGAATTCTGAATTGGAGAATGGCCCAATCTAAGAAGAAAACGGGACATTTATTTTCCCAGATTCTTTTAGGTTCAGGAGCTAGTATTTCAGATTTAACTCATAAGTATGAATTAAAAAGGAATAAAAACCATCATGTTTAGAGCAAGAAGGTTAACAGTGCAAAACCTCAAGGTAGCAAGCTTCTAGGCTATCTGAAAAAGAGTGAGACAGTTTCCAGAAACATAAATTTGGAAGGAGTGAGCACAGAGGTCCTTCTCAGTGGTGGGTCCCCGGTTTTGGAATGCCTTCCCACAGAGGCCTCCCCGAAGCTAACATTGTCATTTTTTCAGTGTCAGGTTAAAAGTGCCTTATAATCTCAGGCATTTAATGGCATGCAATGAAATGTATCGGCTGTTTTAACAGGTCTAGTTCTTACAGAAATTGTTTTATTTGTTTAAACTGTTTTAAATTCCGTGTTCTGAAATTTTACATTGCATTTTATTGTATCTCTGTTTTTATTGTATACATTTTTATTACTGTACCTCATTTTGTGAACATTCTGGGTGATACAGAAGTGAAAACAACAATAATACTTAAACATCTGCTCAGGAGAAATACTTTTCAAACACCATCTATGACGCATCAATAAAGGTATATTTCACATAAATGCGGGGCACAGTGTTAGGGTTGACAGAGAAATAAACTGCTGGGTCATGATTTTAGGCCAATTGGCTGAAAAACTTTAACCTCACATGTACATTCTGTTATTTGCTAATCTGGAGCATTTCAGAGATATTTCTTCCCTGTCTCCTAGTTTATTGACATGAGTGGGTGGACTTTGTTGAGTGGAGACCGCCAGGAAGTCCCCACCTCGGTCAGCCTGGAGGAAGAGAGCATCCATGCTGACCTCCGGAATTTTGCTGGGGACTTCCAGGAACTTTACTGGCATGCTCCCAGACCCTACCTTGGAGACCAGGTAAGTGACCATGACCCTGGCGACTTGCATTATCCTCTGGGGCCTTTTAGAATATATTGTCATTTTTTTTCAAATTATCACACTGGCCTGATGTTAAAAGGCCAATGAAACTACTAGAGAAACTATTCACGTGTCACAACAATCCATGGGTTCTGCAACAGTGGCTGCAGGGGACAAAGAGGAGCGATCAAGTGTTTTTCCTCCAATATGCTTGTCACTTCAACTTTCGATTAAACATCGAACATCATCCTGTACATAAGTTTGTTTGTTTATTTATATGGTGATTTATATCCTGCCTTTTTCCTACAAAGGGCTTAAGGCAGCGTACATCTCCTCCTCCATCTTATCCCCACAACAACAACCCTGTGAGGTAGGTTGGGCTGAGAGTCTGTGACTGGCCCAAAGTCACCCAGTTGGCTCCATGGCTGAGCAGGGACTAGAACCCAGATCCTCTGAGTCCCAGTCCTATGCTCTTAACCACGACACCACACCGGCTCTCAGTGTTACTGGTGAACCAGAACACCCAGAGGATTGATTAATTCAGTATTTTTACTCAGTTAACTCTGGATTTTTTAACCTCTGAGCAACCCAGAGTGTCGACATTCATCTTAACTACCTGCAGAAAGGTAATCATACGTTGCTAGCAGAAAGTGGAAATAATAAGCAAGCTGGAGATAGTGTTGTTCCCACAAATTGTCCCCGTTCTTTCGTGATTTTATTAACCTGTGGCTTGCCATGCCATCCTCCCAGGGACCCTTCATTTTGGCTGCTTTTTCCCTTCCATTTGTGTCACATGATGCTAAAACTTCCAACCAATCTGAGGAGGCTAAATTCCCTGTTTCCATATGGTATTACCAAGATGGTGATACGAAATATCTCCACAATTTTTTAAATCTCAGGGGTTTTAATTTTAAGCATTTTAATTCTTAGCTGTAAAGTCCCATGTTTCAAAACATTTTTGAAGTTAAGCATAATTTCACTGAATTTTAGATGCAAGAGTTTTCAGCCTGCATTGAATATTAATCAAGAAGTCTTCTTATATTTTTCAAAATTTGGAGCAGAGTGCACTCATACAAAGTTAGGGGAATTGATTAATTAACCTATTTTCACAGAATTCACATTGGAGGTTTAAGGTATATTGGGAATGCATTTACCAGATCAGCTTTCCATTACAGAAACTTCCACCACAAAAATTGCCAAGAAAGCAAATACTGCTTTGTCCCCTGGCTGTTGTTGTCCAGTTTCCAGAGCTGCAGCCGAGTCTTTTTTGTATCCATTAGGAAGCAGCACTTTACTAGAAGGAGGACTTGACATAGGTCAGATCAAAACGTCCATTTTTGAAGAACGGGGTTGTGATTTAGTGGGCACAATCCCACAGACCAGTGCTTTTTTTGTCATAGAACGCACCGGAACAGAGTTCTGGCACCTTTTTTCGACAGATTTTCCAAGTTTTAAAAGTAACTTTGGAAAATTTGATGCTTGGTCCACGTGGATTTGAATCACCCTGTCGAGCGTAGCAGGTCGGCGGCAAAATCATTAAAATGGTTCATGTGGGCTGCTTGTGTGTCGAATCCGATGCATGCATACTTCATCCGCGCTGGTTGTGATGGCGCTTCTCGGCTTGTGGTTGGTTGTGCGGTCGCACGCTGAGTGCTTACTGCGGGTGGCGACTGTTATGTTTCATTATACAACTGACGTGTGTGGGTGTGTGTACAGTGATTGACTGCATGTGAAAGGTAAATAATTTCATGAGTTCCGGCACCTTTTTTGTTACAAAAAAAGCACTGCCGCAGACTCAGATGCTCACACCCAGTGCAGAGAGGGAAGCGTGTCCGAAGCAATCTTCTTCTGCCCACTTCTCTTACTCTGCATTTTCTCTAGATGGACAAACAGCCACCTCGTGACGGCATTTCAGAGTAGGAGGGAAGGAAGCTGGAGTGGCTCCAGGACAGCTCATGTCCTGGCCACTCCAGCCGCCTGCTCTTTCCCCTCAAACTCTGCCTTCTGCCCCTGTCTTAGGCACTTTCATGACCCTGGGGAACGCCTGGCATAGGTCTTTCCATGCCATTTGCAAGGAACGGGGAAGAAAAATCAGAGTTCCAATTCCAAAGTATGAGGTTGGATCTGGCCATCTGAGTCATTCTCACACAGTGTTTATGATCCATAGGATTAATCCCTAAGATAATTTCCTTTCTTAGTTTTAGAGAGATATATGATATGTGCAAACCATCTGCCTGGCTATGTTTCATTTCCTTATGGAATTGAAATCTCCCTTTAACATGTTTAACCATGCCAGTAAGGTTACCTTCATTTCATTAAAACATGCCCAAATCTTAAAAGTATAAAATGCCATTTTTAAACCACAGCATGTACAATGCCCCAGATAAGCACATTTGCAAAACATTTTGAGCTGAATTTAATTTTGGCTTGCTGTCTTGATTTTTTGTCTGGTGGAGATGTTTTTATTTTTTAAAAATTCTAGTTGTGTAATACATTTCCTCCAACTGCAGGTTTCTTCCTATGGTGGGTACTTGCGTTACGAGCTGCACTCAGACACGCAAAGAGGAGACGTGTTCATACCCAAGGAATCCCGGCCCGATGTTATCCTCAAGGTGCATTTCAGGTTTTCTTTCTGCCTTCTGCTACATAGCACTTAGTCAAACAGAGTTTTTGTTCTACAACTAATGTGACATTCGTTCTTTCCCAGGGAAACCAAATGAGCATTATGTTTCGTGAAGGTACCTACCCCATTCCTGGTGAAATCTATGAAGGGCAGCTGCAACTGTTGGAGGTCAGTTCAGACTCATAACAGCATGCAAGGAAATTGAGTCCTATTAAAAATTAGTTTTGCTTGCTGCAATCTGTAGAACGACAGCAGTGACTATTTTCCAATATGTTCTATTTGAACCTAGAACTGTGTTCATATTACAACCTGCAAGTATCTTGAAACCTTGGGAAAACAATATCCTTTTTGGAAAAGCTGTTTCAGACCTATTTTTAGGTGTGGTTTAGGGAACAAGTAAGAAAAGTGCTTTATGGATTAGTAATTTGGAAATCCATAGCAAGGACCTAGCTGAATGGTGGTTTTTGAAGGCTGTTTAATACACCTGTATTGATGTTCTTACCATGCAGTGTGGAACTTTGAATAATCAACAAACTTGATCATTTGAATGATTGGCATGTGCCCATATCTTTAGCCCAACCATGAAGAATTGAGTAACTACATATTGTCCTGAACCGAGCAGAAATCTTGCTCTCGGTGTGCCTCTGAGCGTGGCTAATATGCTTACTTAGCGCCTGGCAATGCCCACATAATCGCCACATAAAAAGAATTGGATGAACTTCTCCACAGTAGGGCGACTGGAACTTTCCAGTCAGCTACTCCCTCGCTCAGCAAGTCTGAAGGTGCTCAATCTTACATACCGTCCAGGTGTTTTCCCTCAAGCAAGTGCTCCTGTTTTAGCAATAACACATTTGTCCACCGCTCAGCATGAAATAAGTTTGCCATTGAGGGGAAAATTAAAATCTTCCTCCTGCTAATGAAGCCATTGCAGTTAAGACAATTATTGAGCATAGCTGTGCAGGTGACACAGGTATCTGTCGAAGCTCACCAGTCTCATCACAGATGGTATATGAGGCACCCCGCTTCTTCTGATTTATATCCAGGCTCTGTTGTGGCTCTACATAGTGCTCAGCCTGGGAGGACCTGCCTTCTCCAGCCCTCAGCAGTGCTGAATATTTTATTTATTTATGTATGTATGTATGTATGTATGTATTTATTTATTTATTTAAACATTTCTATGCCGCCCCTTGCCAAGGCCTCGGGGCGGCTTACAACATCGAATACAAAATACATTAAAACAACAATGGGCAACCTGCACTGACCCTCCACTGCCCTCTGGGTGGCCTTGGGAGCCCAGCCCACTCCCCACGGCTGCCCAGCTGATCATCCATTTTGATCAGGATTTCTGGAGCAGGGAGGTTTGTGCCTCCACCTCCTGCATTTCTGAACTCTGGAAGACGTGCAACTGTCGGTATGTGTGGATCGGTGTAGAAACTGTCTGTTTGCATTTTGTGTAGCTTGAGTGTCAGTGAGAGAGCTGAGATTGGCAGCCTTTGAAAGGAGAACTTTGTTCTTCAAGATTGCAGTTCTGATAGAGGCATGTTTCGAGCTAATTGTCTGGATGTGCTTTTTGGCCTTCCCTAAAAAGCAATAAAAATTAATAGCTTACAGGTTTCGAAACAGAACAGTACATTACTGTAGGGCAAAAAGACTATTTCTATTTTGGCTGCTCTGTGGCCGTTTCAGGGCCTATGGAGTGCATGCGCTGTAGTCTGAGAGCTCAGTGGAAAACCCCCTTGGCGGAGCGAGCCACAGTCCTGCTCGTGTTACATTGCAGTTGTGTTCTCTGTCGTAGGACAACTTCCGGCACACCGAGACACACAACCCTGTTTCCAGGGAAGAGCTCATGATGGTCCTGGCCAAGCTGGAGCAGCTGCAGATCCGGGCTTTCTTCTCCCAGATCTCCTCGTCCGTGTCGCTGCACCGGGTGACCCTGGAGAGAGCAACAGAGACTGGTGGAGGCCTCCAAGCCAGTAATGTGGAGCTCTGCATGTGCCCGGCCAATTATAGGGGAGATTCCTGCCAGGTAGGGAAAATGTGCTCCTCCGGATTGGATTAATGGATCCTGTGTGTTTCATAATACCTGTATAAGAAGGGGTCGTGCTGTTTATGGGGAGAAGTCCAAGTATACAGATTTCCAGCTTCAGAGGCAGCTTGCCACTGAATACTTACTTGTTGTGGAACCACAGTGAGAGAGAGAGTCCTTGTCTTCCTTTGTGTGGGCTTCCTGGAGGGTTCTAGCTGGATCAGAAGTAAATGTTTAAGCTCAGAGTGGGCTGGGAAAAGGGAGCTGGACAAATTGAGCTCAAGAGGATTCTGTGTGGGCTGGAGGTGCTCCAAATCTGTGGCACAAAGCATTTGCCCTCTGATAAAGGTATAGCACATTTTATCTCCTTCTGTGCAATTAGGAATGTGCTCCAGGCTATTACAGAGACACCAAGGGTCTCTTCCTAGGAAAATGCGTTCCATGTACTTGCAACGGTCATTCAGATCAGTGCCTTCCAGGATCTGGAATATGCATTGTAAGTAAACAGCATGTTTTTCTAGCTCTGCCTGCCTAAAAGTTTCCTTCTCAGTATTTATTTTATTGTATTATCAAATATAGATTTGTTTACAGGCTCTGAGATGGCAGGGATAGTGTTTCAGCTGTTATCTTGAACCAGCAATCCTTACCTCTTTGCTTATTATTTTGAGTCGCAATTAGAAAGGGATGGAGGATATGTCCGGACATATTTGTTGCTAGAGTCCCTCTTTTGGTGGGAGGTGATCATAATCCAACTGGGCAAGATGGACACTTCCCACTGCGTTTTGTTCACTTAAAAATTGGATGGGTGGCTGGGGCTTCTCAGTGTTTTTGAAATATGGTTTCCTTCTGCATTGCTGATCAGTTAATGTAGAGTGCAGTCATGTGCTTATATAGACAGAACGCGGATGGTTCTAGAACTTGTTTCTGCCTAAGCATGTTCAGGATTGCACCCTTAGATTAAAACTTCTCCCTGTGTGTTTTAAAGAGTTGACATTTCCTCTTTTTTTCTTGTTGGCATAAGAGAAGGGCAAACATCTGTTGCTTGACATTTTGTAGGTCGATGATCTGGGTGAACTGCAGATCCACAGACTGCTCAGGAAGGCCCCAGTGACAAAAACCTGCTGCATGTGTTAAATGACTCTCATTTATTCTCTGTGCAGAATTGCCAGCACAACACAGAAGGTGAACACTGCGACAGGTGCAAGGATGGCTTTGTTGGGAACTTGTCACTTGACGGACGTCTGCAGTGCGTGGGATGCCCCTGCCCCCTTTCAGTTGCATCTAACAAGTGAGCCTCTTCCACGGAGCTGTTCCCTGATTGCACTTTCAGTTTTTGCCCCAAAATAAGCTCGCTTCTTCTCTCTGGGGAAGGGTGTATTTGCCTCTCATGATTGTCACAGTCAATTGAATATTTGAAAGTAGATTTTTTCCTTCATGAACTTGGTTTATCAGGAAGTAAAAGCAGAAAACTGCTGACCAATTCTGCAATTATTTTACATCCTCTCTGCTAGAAGCAAATTTGTTCTCCATGTGTAGATGTTTACGTAACTGAAACAGCACCATATATAAACAACAGGAAAGTAAAAGCAAGCTCAAGGGTTTACAAAAGTACCACCAAACTCTCTAGAGAAAAGAGTAAGGAGAATCAAAACAGTGAGGACTGGGCATATTCAGTGACCATGAAATACTGGCTTGATATTTGGGAGTAGGAAGGTGGGGATGGAAAGAGTAGAATGGAATATCATGGGAATAGAATGGCTGGCTTGCCAGAAACCTGAAGAGTAGCATTCCATACTGCAAAATTGTGTTGCAGGTCTCACTTTTATTATAGGACTAAGTACATACATTGCATATATTATTATTATTATTATTATTATTATTATTATTATTATTATTATTATTAACATTTCTATGCCGCCCCTTGCCGAAGCCTCGGGGCGGCTTACAACACAATAAAATACATTGAAATACAATAGAACATAATAAATTACCATTAAATAAAAATACAAAAAATACAGTCTGCTGGGCATGGGAACCACAGCTGCTTTTCTGACAACACAAATATGCGATAGAGTGTCACAGTTGACTCTGGAGTTCTCATGGAGGGTGCACATTGAATATATATATATATGTGTTTCCTATTTTATTTATTAATTGGTTCTTGGAGAAAGCATGTTTGTTTGTTTGTTTTTTGCTGGGTGTGACCATATGTGTTTTGCCAAGCCATAGAAATTTACTCTCATTCATACCAGCAATAGAATATTTCACTTGCATCCGGTCTCAATCATCACCTCATGGGGTTTGAGCTGCTACTGGCCTCCTTTTATAGTTATTCTCTATTTTTTGTTCGTGAATATTAGAACAGAAAGAGATCTGATGAGAACAAGACTTGGTCCACAGGCTTACAGTCCACTGAGCTTGCTACGAAGAGCTAGCGCCTCTCCTACATTCCTGCATATAGAGTGAGATTTAAATCTTAGCTTAGCCATGAAGTGCCTGATTGGCCCTGAATACTTTATGGGCTGAAGAAAGGAAGCATTCTGTCCATGATCCCTATTTATATATTACTTTTCTATACTGTCCAGCAGTTGGTTCTCTCTGGGAAGTTCGCAAAACAGAGCTTAAAACCTTAAAAGTATAATAAAACTAGTGTAAAACATCCCACTGATCCAGTTACCCCTTTTCTGGGCCTGATCCTGACAGTTTTTCCTCCCTCTCTCTGCCACTTCAGCTTTGCTGTTGGATGCATCCAGAAAGGCACCACGACTCAGTGTCTCTGCAAGCCTGGTTATGCCGGAGTTTCATGTGAACGGTAAATAATATCCTGGGTTGTGGATCCCCCTTGTCTGTCCTGAGCTGAACCTGCAGCCCTAAAGTGAATGGCGAGGGATTCCGTTTCACCTGTGAGCTGTTCAGCATTTCACTGAGCACGTGATGGGAGTCGACAGGAAGTGGGGAACTGAGTGCGGTTTCTGCGTTCCCCTAAAGCCTGGCTTTTTCCTCTCCAAGATGTGCTCCAGGTTACTATGGAAACCCCCTAGTGATTGGCAGTTCCTGCCAGCCCTGTGATTGCAGTGGAAATGCGGATCCCAACATGCTCTTCAGTGACTGCGACTCTTTGACTGGAATATGCACAGGATGCATGCACAACACCGCGGGCCCCCGGTGTGAGGTGTGCGCCCCGGGGTTTTACGGGGATGCGGTGCTCGCCAAAAACTGTACTGGTAAGTTTGCCTGCCCCAAGCCTGTTAGATGTGTTTAAATGGCAATTGACCACTTGGGAAGCTCCTGGGTACAACCTGGAACAATCTTAATACCTGGTGGAGACTAATTTGAACATCTGCAGCCTCTTTCAGCTTTCCAGATGAAGACTGGAGCCCAGTGCAGGATCATGGATTTAACATCAACATCAGGGCACAGTGGGGTGGGGGTAGAATACCCCTCTGAAATGCATTTGTGTGAGAAGTCTATTTGAAATACATAATTACTTGCTGTGAACTTTCAGGTTAGGATAAAGTACAAATAAAAGTACATATTCAGTGCATGGTTTCATTTCTTAATATTTATATTGCTTTTTCCCCATTCTAAATGTACTTATGCCAGTTGCAACTACCTTGCAAGAGAGCTGCTGCTGTTGGGCAATATAAAAATTAAAGAAAGAATTCTGAACCGCCATTTAAAAGAATGTTATTCCTTGCAGAATGCAGCTGCCTGTCCTGTGGAACTGACTCATGTGATCCCAGAACTGGCCAATGCCGCTGTAAACCTGGAGTGACGGGTCAGCGCTGCAGCCACTGCCAGGTAAGAGGAGTTGGGCTTCCTCAGGCCCAAATGCCTCTTGTTCCCACAGTCAGACCACACGTATCGTGTGCTGTTTTGCTGCTTGAACCAAATTGTGGGGTTCATACAAGCTGAAGAAATGAAGCTTTGGTATGAATACTGCACATGCAAACACAGGTACAAGGGTTCTTCAATAAGTTACTGCACTTTTTAAAACTCTATTTATTATTTATTTATTTATTTATTAAAACATTTTTATGCCGCCCCATTTGCCGAAGCCTCGGGGCGGCTTACAACATAGATAAAACAATCAGTTAAAATATCCATATAAAATAATCTTAATTAAAACACACATTATAAAATAAGCCGCCCTGGCCAGATAAAATTCAATTGTATTTAGCATTTAAAATGTTGCTTAAATAAAAAGGTCTTAGCCTGGCGCCGAAAAACAAATAACAACAGCGCCAGGCGGACCTCTCTGGGGAGCGCATTCCATAACTTAGGCGCCACCGCTGAGAAAGCCCTTCTCCGAGTAGCCACCCTCCTAATTTCTCTCATGGAGGGCTCCCGGAGAAGGGCCTCTCCCGCAGATCTCAGGGGGCGACTGGGCAAATATGGATGTAAGCGCTCCTTCAGGTAACCAGGACCCAAGCCTATTAAGAATTTCCAAAACAAGTTACATCACTTTTCCACATTGTCACCTTCCTTTTATATCGTCAATTTTTATATCGTCACTTTCCTTTCCGATGCATTTTTCCCAGCATCGTACCAAGTTTTTAATGCCATCAGCAAAAAAATATAAAATATATTTATAAAATATAAAAATGAGGAAACTTTTTGAAGACTACTCATACGTACAACTAGAAACACATTTAATAGCACATTCTTGTCTGTATCCATATTCAAAGCACATAAATATTTTAGGCATTCTCAGAGCTAATTGCTCATCAGTGTCAGCTAACCAGTATATTGCTTTTTAACTCTTCGTGCTGGGGGAAATTTAATTATTTGCATAATTTTCAATGGAATGTGGACATAAACAGTTTTCAGCAGGTTGGATCTGTATCCACTGGCTACCTGTGGCACATAAAGGATGCCCATTGCAGATTGGTTTCCAAGGTACAGGCACTGAATCTGTTTGCATATAACTAGCAGTAAACATGGGGGTGACCTGGCAGGCCCCACCTGTTGTGCCCCTAGTTGGGCTTCTCATCGGTCTTTGTGCCAAGCCACTGGATTCACCTCTGAAGGGGAGGGTTGGTCTCCATTGGAAAGATCTCCTGGTCTGCCACTTGAAGATAAGCTCATACTGTTCCAGTCCCTTGAAACAAGCTTATCAAAATATCTCTACGCTAACATGCAGTATCCCTATTAATCACCATTAATCTGCCCCTTTTCTTACAAAGTGTGTACCTTTGGCACAGATGTGGGCATTTTGGGATGCCTAGCAGCCACTTTCGCCTCCTACACCACCCTGCCACATGGTTGGGGGCTAACAGTATCTGGTCCACCTCAGATCGAGCTTGTCTCTGAAGGAGGAGGAGGACGTATATCTCTACCAAACCTGGAATTCGCTCTTTTGTCAGCTAGAGAAACGGGACTATTTATTTATTTATTTGAAACATTTTTATGCTGCCCCCATCGCAACAAAGCCTCGGGGTGGCTCACAACAAAAACAAAATATACGAATATAACAATTATACAGCAAAAATATTAAAACTCGGTGCATCTCGGCTTAAAAGATTTAAAATCCTATAAATACCAATAAATTAACAATCAAAATAGGTTTTAAATAAAAAAGTCATAGCCTGGCACCGAAAAACAAATAACGACTATGCATAGATTTGAATATGACTATTGACTGTTGAAATGAGGAAGATGTTAACCCAGTATATCCGATGTCGTAAATAATCGTTTTTAAAGTTAGATTATAGTGAAAACAATAAAATTTATTTTGAAAAAGCATCTAGTCCACCTGTGGAACACCAAAATAGCTGGCTTTTGAGCCACATATCTACAGAGTGCTAACAGGGTAAAAAAGCTTTCAAGGTGTCCTCTCTAGATCCTGAGTTTTTCATTCTTTTTAAAATAACTTTGTGGGATTTGCAGTGGGTTCCGTGTGAGGCTCCAGAGGCTGCATCCAGGACGAATGTTTCTCACCCCTGCCTTAGAGCGATTTAATTGGGCAAAGAGGATCACGACTTGGAAGCTAACTGTGGATTTTCCCCTCTTTCAGGAAGGGCATTTCGGTTATGAAACGTGCTCAGGCTGCCAGAGGTGTGATTGCGATGTTGGATCGGTGAGCACGGACTGCCACGCCCAGAATGGCCAGTGCAACTGCAGTCCGGGCGTAAGTGGCCCCCGATGCCAGCAGTGCATCCCTGGCTACTGGGGGCTCAGCCCACATGGCTGCTCAAGTGAGTCCTTTTTGGCGATCTTTAAACCTCACGAATAAAAAAAGTCCGGCTAAAGGGAGGGTAGAGATTTGGAAAAGAAGAATTGACCTTGCTCACTTCAAAAGGTGTTCCTGTTTAAAAACTAGATGCTGCTGGAGCTATTATAGAGTTACTCTCCAAGTGATACCTTCCAGAATGACATAAGCTATTTCAAGTTCTTTAAAAGAGAAAGTGGGATATAAATCTAATGAATAAATAAGATGATGGGACAGTTGGTGATGTGTACATAGGTCACAGCAGTCTTCCCATAGATATACAGTCCAAGCCATGATTTGGAGAATCAGGACAGATTGTAGGCTTATGTTCTACCTCTTCCCATCCGCTCAGTGGTTGCATACATGCTTTGCATGCAGAAGGTACCAGGTTCAAGTCCCGGGCATCTCCAGGTAGGGTAGGAAAAACTGCTGCCTGAAACCCCAGAGAATGACTTTCAGGCAGTGTCCACAAGAATGGGGGAGATCAAACAAGGAGCTGAATGTGTCTTGAGACAAGGCTGCTTTATCCTTCTTTTGGCAGAATGTCAGTGCAATGGAGGCTCCTGCAACCCCTGGACTGGGGAATGCACCTGTTCCAATGGCCTGACAGGGAAGCAGTGCGACACTTGCGTGAAGAAGCATGAGATCCCGGTGGTGGATGGCCCAGACAACACAAGATGTGAAGGCAAGTCCTTGGATGCTTCCCTGCCTCCTTGCAAGTTTCTTGGTCCCAGACATACTGGTTAGGCACTTCTTTCTGCAGTAATCTTTGCAATGGGTGGCATTTAAATTATGAACTTGGAACATTTTGCTCTTAAAAGCAAACTGGAAGGTTGCTGGGAAACCTTGCATATACCTTGTGTATTTGGTGCTATTTAACTGATATATTGGTTACACTGGCTACCAGTTTTGCTCCAGGCCCACTTTAAGGCACTTGTGTTAACATATAAAACCTTAAATAGCTTGGAACAGGATACCTGAAGGACCGCCTGCTCCCATATGTACCTGCCCAGTCCCTAAGAAGGCGAGGAGGCCCTTCTGAGAGCCATCCTCCAAGAAGATAAAGAGGGTGGCAAATAGAAGAGGGGATTTCTCAAAGGTTGTGCCCCATGGAATGGCCTTCTAAAGCAATTTGCCTGATACCATCTTTACAATCTTTTCAGCACCAGGTGAAAACAGTCCTCTTGTCCAGATATTTTAACAATTGATTTTATATTGTTAAATTTTATGCTGTTATTTATACTACTTTCAGTTTTAATATATTTTACCTTACTGATATTTGACCCTTCAGCTGCACATTGTCTGTTTTCTTGTGTGTTAACATGAAATGTTGTTTTTATGTGAAATGTTGCAATCCACTTAAACTGTCTTTTGGACTAGGTGTAGTGGAAAATAAGTAGAAATGATGATGATGATGTGGTGGTTATCTGGACCAAAGCATAGGACTACCAAAGAAAACTCCAAGAGGGATTGCAGCAAGCTGCCTCGAAGCAAATAGTTATGTAGGACCCATGCAAGTGGCCCAAGCTGCAGTATCTGAACATTGCACTGTATGTAGCCATATGAAGGCCTGGAGGAGTGTTGTCCATGGGTTGTGATGGGTCAGGTACAACTTTGCAAGTAAACACACAGTCACATGAAGTGCCAAAAGAGCCAGTTCAAAACTGACATATACTTTGCAAATCAATAAAGAGACGTCCGTTTAAGAACATCTGATGCACTGTAAACTCAGCTGCATGCTGTGACTGCCCATAATTACAGGTCAGCCCAGACCACGCACCGCTGTCATCCATATTCTCATCCTCGTGACCCCGATGCTGTTGTCTTGATTTTATTATCCTCCCTGGCATTTGGGTCTGCCATGGGCATTCACTTACAGCTCAGATAATTCTGTGACTTTTTTGTGGATGTTATCTAAGAGGTGCGCACTTGCTGTTCTCTCTCACTCACAGCTTGTGACAGTTGCGTGTTGCTCCTGCTGGAAGATCTCCAGAAGATTGGAAGCGCCTTCCCTGCCCTCAGGCACCAGTTGACAAGCCTCAATGCCACCTCCATAGCCTGGGCCCGTCTCCATAGCATCAACGGCTCCATGCAGGCCATCGCAGTATGTGGAGTTATCCAACTATTCTAGTGGTGTTTGGAGGGTTTTTTGTTTTTCTGTAGGATTTTATGGTTCCAGCTTTATTGTTCATTTTCTCCTCTTACAGGACCAGCTGCATGAGTATCAACGATCCACGAACAGGGCCAGGCAACAGGCGGATGAGCTGGAAGAGGAGAACACAGACTTTGTTCAGGATTTAAATGCACTTCAACACAAAGTACAGTGGTTGTACTCTCTCTTCCCTAACTGCATAAGCACCAGCAATGTGCTAAGTGGACTTCTGAACTCAAGTTAAATGTTTTTTGTTCAGAAGAGTTTGACTCACTTCAATGATCCTTCCTTCCTTCCTTCCTTCCTTCCTTCGGTTATCCTAGTAGGCTGCTTTTTGAGTGTTGTACTATGTGCACAAAGGGCAGAACAATATTTACTTGGGAGTAAGTGCCCAAACCTCTAAATAAAATGAGAAGCTCATTTCACAGTAAGGTAAAGGTTTCCCTATGACATTAAGCCCAGTCGTGTCTGAGTCTAGGGGGCAGTGCTTATCTCTGTTTCTTAGCCGAGGGAGCCCACATTTGTCCACAGTTTCCATGGTCATGTGGCTGGCATTACTAAACACGGAAGGGCACAGAATTTGCTTGCATTTGCACGCTTTCAAACTGCTGGGTTGGCAGAAGCTGGGAAAAAGCAACGGAAGTTTACCCCGTCATGCAGATTGGAATTACTGACCTTTGGATCGACAAGCCCAGTGGCTCAGCAGTATAGCCCACTGCACCACCCATGGCCTTTACTTTTCAGAGTTGGAAGGCCCTAATTTAGAGAATCCCTAATATGGAGCCTTTAGTGTGTCTCCTAGTGATGTAGTACGGACTGTATCAGTTGGCCATAAGATTGGTCACAACTAAGGCAGCCTATGCAGGGATATCTTTAAGTCCATATTTGACAAGACATGGTAATTTCAGGAATTGGAAATTTCAGGAATTGTCAGATAACTGTAAATTGGGCTGGAAACTTCACACATCTTTGGTATCAGAGACAGAGATCCTTAAATACTTTCTTTACCTTTTCATTTGCAAAGAGTCAAAGATGTCAGAGTTAGCCCTTTGCTTCAAAATCTGTGGGTTGTATCCAGTGGCATCCTTCTGCCAGCTGAGGATGCGATACGTGGGCATCCACAGGCAGTCCCCAGTCCAGGTACCACCAAGGTTCTTTAGCTTTGGAAATGGAACGACATAAAGACTGTTATTCAGCCCAGAAGAACTCAGTACAACTGTACGTGATTTGAAGAGAAGCATTTTCAGCACAAGATCCCAAACCTGCAGCGTCTTAGGTCCGTGTCTAAGCCAGCCATTTTTGTGTTTTCAGGCAACCATGACCCAGAGAAAAGAAAAGCAATTAACAGTCAGCACAGAAGAGAGCTACCAGCAAGCAAAGAGCCTTGTTCTTGATATCAGTAAAATTCGGAACAAAATTGATGGTGAGGCAGCATCGTGTTCAAAATCTTCCTGCTTTGAAAAGATACCATGTGGGGAAACCTCTAGTCTGACACCATCTGTGAGGCCCCAAAACAAGCTGAGTTAACAACCAGGTTCCCTGTCAATATTGTAAGCGATTTTAGTACTCCTTAAATGTTGTCCTTGCTGTTTGTGAGGCACTATCCGTGCAGCTAGGATAACATAGGGAGAAGGATGGTAGGAGTGATGTGTGGGTCCTGCTAGGGGACCAGCAGGGATGCAGATTCCGTGGGAAGGGCTCACAGGCTGCACACGCATGTGTTGGGCCGTGTAAATGCTGCAGGAGCCACTCATGAGGAGCCCACCCCGGTAGCCAGGGTGCTATCCCGAGATCTATACCAAGGTGTGGGAACATGTTTTGTGTAGAGCTGAACCTGATACACAAAAAGCTGTATGCAGCTTATAGGAATGCTACAACTGACAAGTAATAACTATATTATTATTTCTTTTAGTATGTAAGGGTCATTAGCCTTTCAGCTTCCCAATAAGCAGATCATGTCAAATGCATTTTTCCAATGAAAACCTTCTTTAAAATTCTTTTTGTCATGGTTAGGAGACTAGGAGGCATTGGCCACAGAACAGAATCTCAGAGCGCCAGAGACCCAAGCTACTCAAGGAAGGAGATGTTCAGAATCCAATTTCACTGTCATTCAGATTGCAAATATTGCAATCTGGAAAACACCTACCCAACCCTAGGCCTGCGTGAAGCCATGGCTATTTGGAATTCCTTCTAGAAGTTTGGGCATGTCTAACTTGTGATTTCACACAGATCTAAGCTCTTCCCGCATCATCATTTTTTACGCATGGTAGTGCACTCCTCTGAGTGAAATCATGGCCTTTTCCTTGGAGAGGTCAATGAACAGAATGAACGGGGAAGAGGGCAGAAATACAATTAGACACCCAATACAGAATTTGGCAACTGCAGTGCAATTAAAATTGTTGGATTTTCTTTAGGCAAGCTGCTTGCCATCATCCATGTGGAGATACGTTTGAGTTCATAGCAATTTCCCACAATTTGGATGTGACATAAAGCTTCCCAGGTGGCCCTCAGAACAAATCTCACCCTATCCTACTGAACAGTATTGTAGTAAAGGTCAGATGAATAAACCCATTTTATCCTTTGTAATCCTAAACTCCTTGGAGAAATGGTGGGAAAGAAACGTTCCAAAATAATAAAAAACAAGAGCCCTTTTTATATACTGTTGCATTTATAGCCTGTGGTTTTACCTCTTGCTGGGAATGCAAGGTAGCTAACATGATTCCCCCCAGCCCCATCTTGTCCTTCCAACACCCATGTGTGGTAGGTTAGGTTGAAAGTTGCCCTGTGAGCTTCATTGCAAAGTGGGGACCAGAACACAGAACATGCGAGTCCTAGCCCAACACTCTACCTTTATGCCTGCATGAAAAGGATTGGCTTGTCTTTTGTACAGCACTTACTTACCAGATGGGCACAATTACCACTACAAACGCCAGTGCCACTTCTGCGGAGGAGTTCCGGCAGAAGATGGCTGCAGTGGATGCAATGCTGAGGTCCATGAAGGCTACTGATTTTCGTTTCCAAAGAGCAACAGCTGCTGAGGAGCATGACGAAGCTCAGAAACGTGAGTGCACGGAGTGGGCGTGGGCGTGACGGTCCTGCTGCAACGTGGGGTGCAGCTGTTGGCTGAAGGTGTGACGAGGGGTCCTTAGCATTCTACGCATCGGGCTAAATTGGGATATTGCAAATTGCGACATCCTTCCCAGCTGCTCAGGATAACTTAAAACAACCTTCTCCAACCTAGCACCCCCTCAGATACATTGGACTACAACATTCATCATCCCTTGTCAGCACAACTACTGGGTGAACTGGCTCGAGATGATTGAAATAGTCATCCAACGCATCTGAAGGCACCAGCTTAGGGAAAGCTCATTGGAAGGTGCAGGATATAAAGCTGAAAGGAACCTGAGTGGTCATCTTATTGGTTACAATAGCCTACCACCCCAGGAACACTAGGCTATTTACAAAACCATGCCCCCAGCCCAACGGACTGAATTCTAAGGGTACAATCCTATGCATATTTGGACAGAATCAAGGCCTTCAGCCCAAGGCAGCTGTGTTGACTGAAGCATTTTGGGAGTTGTGGGCCTTTTTGCTTCTTAAATTATTGGAAGAGCCCAAATCCTTGTGCTGAAATAGCATCTGCCAAGCCTAAAGTAGATGCACAGATGTTGACAGAAACTAGGCTTCGTCTGGAGACAGTCTAAATTCCTAGAAGGTATGAATTCCCATGTTGAGAGTTTGTTTTTTCTAGGAAAACTTCCAAGTTCCAAATCTGTGACCAAGTTGAGAAAGAGACAATAAGGATCTTGAAAAAAATGGGAGCTGACAATCCTGGTTGCTTCTGACCATGCTCAGTTTTTGAGACACGGGGTTGTAATTTTTGTATATGTGCGAAGGATCTGAATATTCAAGAAGCAGCATTCACATCTGTTGAGGCTTTAGCCACCCCTCAGCTTAATAATTGGAGGCAGAGAACCCAAGATAGTTTTTAGCCTCCCCACATCATCTTAGGTCATCTTCCTTCATTGAGAGAAACCACAAATAATGATGGGCAGTGTGTTTAAACAGTACGGTCCATGAAGAACAATGTCTCCCCTCTCCCTAGCATAACAGCATAACGCTTGGTGAGACTGTACATGCAGGCACAAAGCCATCTGTTTCAGTCAGTAGCTGTTTTGATCTCTTGTCCTGTCAGTGCTGGATCGTGTGAAGGTTGAGCTTCTCAGCAAGCTGGAATCCAACCAAGAACTGGTGGATCACATCAACAGCCAGTTGGATCGATACAGCTCGGAGCTGATGGACCTGCGAGATGCCCTGAATGAAGCCGTGAATAAAACGCGCCAGACGGAGGACCTCAACAGCCTAAATCGTAATCACCTGGAGGAAACCCAGGTAGATGGAAGGGGGCCACATTGCTGAATGAGCTTCTGTGCCTGAGGAATTTCATGTTGATTGTGGAAGAATTGTGCCTTCGGCGCACTGCATCCAAGACATGTTGCCACTGTCTGCTTAGATTGCCCCTAGCACATCCATGGTGTGTGTGTGTTTACCAGTCTCGAGACAAATCTGCCCACTCAGGTAGAGACTTCCAATAGATTTTGCAGCTTCAAAGCCAGTTGGGCTGGAAACTGCATTTGCAGCCTGAGGCCTTCTTGAGACCTGGAGGAATCGGCTGCTGTGCAACAACCATTTGTTCCACTGTAATTTCTGGGGTTTCTTTATTTCCCTCCCCCACTCTGGTCTCTCCTCTCTTAATGAGGAGTTAGCATCAATCCTACAGCCACAAGTTTACCCCAGACAAATATGCATATTTCTTCCCATTTCTCTCTAAAATGACTAAGAGCACAAAGCTGTGCAGATGTAGACATAAAAAGGCCAACAATTCCCTGTTGCTCGGAGTCATATGCTGTTTTTTCCTGTCTAAGCATGTGTAGCATTGTGGCTTAACTTTTTTTCTCCTTTGCTGCTCCCCACCCCATATTGGAAGAAAAACTTGCAAAATGGAATTTGCTCATCTCTATTTAACTTGCTTAAATAGATAAGCCAGTCTTCAGTTCTGATCTGGTATGCCATCCTTGCAAAAAATCATGTTTTTTAAGTAACTTTGGGCACAGTCTTACACCCCCCCCGCCCCCGTCCTCAGTGCTTGTACACCTCTGAACTTGCACATCTCCTTTGCCCTGAATTAGGTGTAGTGGCAACTGTTGCTATTTAAATGAAGTGCCAAAAATGGGGAGGGAAGGGCACTGATAGGAATCAGTCTAAGATCTTGGCCTCAGCTTCCTCCTCTTGCCATTCCTTGTCATGCCTGTATTTCTATGCTCAGGCAAGTTGGCAACCTTGGGAGAAGAAGCCCAACAGTTCTTTTTGTGCTCGCTGTGAATGGGGCAGTGGCTTGGCCTTTGGAATCTCAGCTCTGAGGCCACAGGATCTTGGCTTCCAAAGAATCCTGTGCCCTCCCCCACGTGATTGCTTTGGAAGGCCATAGGATTTTGTCCTGGTTTTGCATAAGCCTGAAGATTCAAAGGCACAGGTTTTGTACAATACAATCCTATCACCATAAACGCTGTTTGGGGCTAAGTTAATGCTTGGAGTGCTGACAAACCCAGAGGGCTACCTTTGCTGGTACTATTGGGGCTAACTTAGGCTTTGTGAGCCAGATGTAGTCACTCATAATCTTAACAAAAACAAAAACCCAAACATAAGCAACATATGCAAAAAAATCCCATATATTCATGTGCATTTAAAAAGTCAGGATTCTAATGTGTTTCTCTTGGTGTTGATTTTTAATATTTTGGGATTAGCCCCAGGACACCTGACCATCCTAGCAGGCCAGGTAATTCAGCTGGTGAGAAGAGGCTTGTCATAACATGGCAAGGGACTACCACTAACCCAAGAGAAAGAAATGAGTTGAAAAACATATAATTATGTTTAGAAATTGCAGGACTCGTGCAGACTGAGATCTGATGGCAATCTCTTCCACCGTTCTAAAGGTGGCCACTTCCAACCCCTTAGGGCACAGGTGGCTTTTTGAGGAAATGGAAAGGACTGCTCATGGCACATGTCATTGCAGTCATGGATGTTCTGTGTGAATTCTTCACGGGGACTGTGGCCTGGCACCATGCAAGGGAACTGATCAGATCGGGTATCATTTCAGTATATGGGCTCAGGCTGAGCAAGTTTTGGGAGCTACGATAGTCCTGCTGGCACAACCAAAGGGGTGACAAGATGTGGACAGGTGTGCATTTATACCGTATGTCGATGGCCCTTGAGGAGTATAAGATGCTGACTTGCTGTGCTGGGCTGCAGTTCCTCACTAGTTTGGGTATCTCATCTGTGACAGCAAAAGAGCAAAGAGCTGCAGAAACAGTACGGCACCATTCAGGAGACCTTGCGCATGGCTGAAGACTCCCTGGCCCAGGTCTCCGACTTCCTGCAGATAATTGAAAGTATCAAGGAGGTAAGTGGTGTGAAGCTCAGGTTTTGAAGAGGGGGAGAAGCAGGAATGATTTGTGCGACTTTCAAGGACCTGTGATTTGGGAAAGTACTGGTGAACATGAACAGATGCACTATTAGTAGTGATTATCATATGAATATTAGGCACAAAAGAGAATTCTGGGTAAAAAAACACAAAGCAGACAGCATCCAGATAGGTCAGCTTTCTGAACAATTTCAGGACAAAAATTGTTCGGAAGTGCCTTTGGGGCAAATCCTAGCCACCTGTTGTTACCTGCCTCTTCATTTTCCTTGGGGTGTGACTAAAACGCACACTACAGGTAGATACAATTCTCCGTGTTTAATGAGCATTCACAGGAGCTCTTACGCTTCCATGGTTCCCATAAGCTGTTCTTTGCAGCTTCCCCAAATAACTTTTCAAGATGGGTGGTGTGTGTGTTTATATAAGTATCCTTCTGTGTGTGTGTGTGTGGGGGGGGCTCTTTGAACGATGTTTAGGTAACTTTTAGAGAAGAGCTTGAAAAGATGTAACGGAGCTATATCATCAGTTCACCCTAAGAAACCATTCGCAAACAGTTCAGAGGATGGGGAAGCACCGAGGAAACAAATATTATTATTTTCTGGTGCCACCCACATATTTAATAGCTGTGGGGGAAGGCATAAGGCGAACTGGCTCATTGCTGTCCCAGGCTTCATGTCACCAGTTTCACTGAGAAGCATCTATAGCCACTGAGAGAAGTCATGGAGAAATAAGGGTAATTAATGCTGAGAAATGCTTGCTATTACATTCTAGGAGTCAGAGAAGTTAGCAGCCCAGCTGGACGGAGCCAGATACACTCTTTCAGAGAAGGCAAAGGAATACTCCCTTGCTAGCACCAAGATTCCCATTGTAGAGAAGGCTGAAAATCATGCAGAGCTTCTGGACAAATTAGCACAGAATCTTTCCAGGTAACTCTGTCCTGTTAGCTTTTCTTTGCTGGTACAACTGAGATTCTCCAGCTGGATGTGAGCAAGGCCTCCTGTAGCACCCAGGAAAAGCAGGGGCCATGTGGCTAACTCTCTGAATATTCCGTTGGTCCCAGGTGTCTTCTCCCCAATCCATCCCTGCTTTTCACCCAGGTCAGAATGAACTCTCATCTCCTTCTGCTCAGAACCTCCACACACTTAGCTCTATGTTTAGGGCTTCTGCTCTGGGATAGGTGTAAGAGTCCTGCCCTATATAATGACTTTTCTTGTTTATTTCTGGACACAATCCAAACTTCACTGTTTTTCTCTGCAAAGGTGAGGGCATGAGCAACCTCCCCCCATAATGCTTGCCCTAACCAGAGAGTTTCCATAGTCACTGGTTCTCTTTATCTCTCCTGCAAGTGGCCACGAAGGAGAAATGAGAGATTTCGGGGCTCCTGCAGCCCTTCCCTGCCCCCAGCCTGCCCAGGCTTCTCCAAATGCTAAGAACAGCAGCCAGGACATTCCATTTTGCTACTTTTAGAAATGGTTTTCTGGTGTGAGTAAACTGAGAGGGTCTTCAGGAAGCTGCCTCTGGTCAGGGCTGTTGAGAGAAGAATGTAAAGCGCAGGAGTTTTGAAATTCCCACCTCCCTCGCCCTGACCTGTCATCAGGACTTGAGGGGGCCTCTTGGCAAACGCTCCTCTATCTCCTCTCTGCCTTGCCCAAGTAGCATCATCCATGGCACAAATCAAGATGGATTTATTCAGCGAGCCGTCAACGCCTCCAATGCCTACAGCAGTATCATTGAAGCCGTCCGGAATGCGGAGCGCGCAGCCAATGAGGCGAACCGTGCAGCGGATGAAGCAGTGATGGTACGCCTGCAGCTGATGTGCCTGCCAGAACCTTGTCAAGGGGTGCGGCACAGTTCCATTCATCTGTCCTGTGCTCAGTCCTTGGCCAAAGTTGTGTCTTGTCACCTCGGGGAGAACTGACTTCCTTATGACATGAATTCGCCCCTGTTTCTCCCAGGGCCTTGCAGATAGTTGGCCTTTTGCAAAAGCGCTAACCTGGCGAATGAAGGGAGGAGGAACCCAGAAAACTGATAGCCTTTTTGTGGGGGGAGTTGGGGAGCCGCAGTGGCTGTTGGCATCCAGTGTGCTCCCGGCTTTATCCTCACCTCGACCATGCGAGCAGGTGGCACTTATGTCTCCTAGTTGCATTTACTCAGTTTAGTGAGTTAATTGAATGTGGGTCATAAGGTCATGCTTATTTATTCAGCAGTAACAAAATTGGCAAGAGCAGTTGAGAAAATGCCACCTGTTCCAGAATAAGAAATCTGTCCATATCGAAAATAGAGGATTGTGAATCACAGAACAGTGGAGAGCATAAGTAGATAATTATGGACTAATATTGGTGAGGAACAACCAAGAGAATTTAGGATCCTTTCATCAATGCACAGGTTCTGGGAAGTTATGTTAGGGTTAAATGGTGGGGAAGTTTTGCTAGCCACCCAGAGAACCTTGGCTATGGGGCAGTGTAAAAATGAAATAAACCACTAAGGTGTGAATGTTGTCCTCTGTGTTGATAGAATGTCATCTCGGAAGGTCTTGGGACAAAGTCAGAAGAGGAGAAGAGGAAAAGCAGCGCCTTAGAAGAAGCTGTAAAGAAGGACCAGAGAAAGCTCAGTAGAGGTAAGAGAGAGAAACTGGCAGCACCTTCCAGGGACCAGCCTAAACCTTGCAAGGGACATTAGAACACACACACACAGTCGTAATACATTGGCCCTGCTGTACGTCTGGGCCTCAGTTTCCACCTTCTTTCCACAAACTATGCTGCATACCAGAAATCTGTGGCTGTGATGAACAGGTGGCGAACTGTTACTCTTGATGGCCTGGTGCCTACTCAAGTGTCCAGAAATGGAAGGACAGAAATCTAACTTGATGCATAAACTGCATTTTTCAGAAACGAGGATAGAAAAGTACTTTAATTCCTTTGTCTTGAATGAGTGTGGAAATGATAACATGTTGGCTGTAGATGTAAAATTCACCACACTTTATAAGAATGAGAATGTATCGCATCTACTCCAGGGCTACCTCAAGCCATTCTTGGGCCAGTGTCTGTGGAGTGAGAGACAAATGGCCATCGCTCTGCCCAGCCTCTTTGAATTGCCTTATTGCAGTGGGCCAAATCCCTGTTTCCAGTTCAGTGAAGCAGAGGTGGCCATTAAATATAGGAACACAACTGGAAAGAAATGCAAGAAAGGGAGTGACAGTGACACATTTTTCAGAAATAACCGCAGGGGCTAAAGAGCCCAATATTGGTAACGCTTCATCCTTTATCCCAGCATTCACAGCACCACATTTTTTCCACAGCGGTAGTGATGCACATTTTATTTCAGATATGCTGATTGATACCTGTGTAACTCTATTCTTCATTTATTTCAATTGAAGAGATCAAGGGAGCCCTGCAGGCTGCCAAGAACAGACTGGCTGGCCTCCAGACAAAGAAGGAGCAACTTCAGAAGCAGCTGCAGTCCGTGAAAAACACACTGGACATGGTCCAAGGTCTGTGCAGGTTGCACTTCCTTCACTAACTCCCCATATAAACGCTCCTGCAGTTTCCAAAATGTGTAGCCTCTGCCAGGGTTAACACTGATTGTTCCAGACATGGCACATGCCTGTCCAGTCCAGCAAGTTGCAGTGCTTCTAATCAAAAGCCATCTTGAAGCTGGCCTTTCACTTCTTTTGTAATGGAAGTGGTGGGAACACCTGGGAGGGCTACAAGTAGAAGATGCTGGTGTTTGGGCCCGCCATAAAATTATGTGAATCAGTTGGGGTGACTGCAGAATAGCAGCCTCATTTGGAAGCATCTGAGCGTGAGAAAGCCCATGTCAGTGTTCAGATTTCACCACCAGACGCCAAGCAGTGCTTCCTTCAAGATGACGCAACCTTGCATGTATCAGGTTAATTGAACCTGGCATGATGTCGTCCCACAAAAGTTTGGCACTCGTGACCGTATTTGATGGAGATTTGTTCCCCCCATGCCACTCTTGCTCATTTGTCCTGCAATTTTTTGTTTGCAACTTGCCGTCTTTCTTTTGCCAGATGGCACAGCAGAGGCAATCCAGAATGCTAAAGATGCTGCCATGAGAGCCAATGAGACAGTGGCCAGGATGGAAGGCAGACTGAGTGACATGAAAAGCAGTCTGGATGAATGGAAGGAGCGATACGGAGACCTCAGAAGCGAAGATTTAAATCAAGCAGTTCGTGATGCTAAAAATACCGGTATGTAATTCTCAGACTCACACATCTATTTTTCTAGGGAAAACGAGACTGGCCCAAAGATCATCCTTTAAGGGAACTGCTGTTTGAAATAAGCCGAACCCGTTCCTATTACTGTTAACATTTTTTAATTTAACATCAAGTATGAATGGTCATTGGATTCCTTTCATGTCTTAACTGATTTTTTTAATACGAATATCCCAGTGGTGGTTCCTCAGTGTCAATTTAATTGAATTGTTTTGTGAGGCAGAATGCTAAATTGAAAACGATAGCAATGCCTCCCCCGCACACCCTTTGCCTTGTAGCCTCTCTTCATAAGCTAGTCAGGGAATTAGTCAGTTGCTCTGTACTATGACTTCTGTTTCTTTGATATCCAGTTCTTTCATATGTCATTTACCACTGTAATAGGCAATCAGTTCATCAGAGCTGTCAATTAATTTTAATTTTGCTGCAGAAAATGAAATCAGCAACTACAGTTGCTTCTGTCATCAGAAATGTGACAGTTCAGTGGAGTTTTCGTTTAAGACAGGCTCTGGACCAGAATTATGCAATCAAGACAATAACATACCTGGAGAAGAATTTTCCAGTATTGTGTGAGGTTGCAACTGCTTGCCTTTAACAGCCGCATCCAAATGCAGCAGGAGGGTGGCTAGAGCTGACTCTGTTATCTTTCAGTTTGAGATTTTAGCAGTCCTAACAGTAGCAAAGGTAGCTTCAGTTTCTGAAGATAATAGGCATTCTTAGCTTTCGGCCCGTGGAGCTGAGAGTGGTAGCCCATGGGGCAATCTATGAATTTGTTTTTGCTGTCGCCTGGGACTACCAAATGGAGGAAGGAAGGACTCAGAAAATTGTCCATTCCTTCTTTGAACACGATATCTGTCATTAGTAGTTTTCCTGCTCTGTAGCTTTTATCTTTGGCTTCTTTTATTTCCCCATGGGTGAATTTCGGCCCTCTAGTATCAAGCCTGGAAAGTACCCTCCCAGAGCTCCTAGGAAAGCTAAGCAATCTGGAGAATAGGAGGAGTCACAACGCAACCGTTTCAGACAATATCCTGCGAGTGCGGCAGCTGATATCATTAGCGCGGAATGCCGTCAGTAAGGTATGGATGCCACCTCTGATAGCTCTTTCTGTCTGTGCTGGTGTGAGATTCAAAAACAAGCGTCTTTGCCCTATTCCGTGGCTGCTGAATGAACCTTTAGGAGCATATATGCCAAAGGCATGGCTTGGAACTTGCTTGTGTTCAGGCTGATGACACAGTAGTTGCATATTTTAAATCTGCAGTACAGAAACGAGAGCAACTCTATTAATGAAGCCAGTGAAGGGACTGGCTTGTGGCAAGCAGCTGTGGCCCTGATTAGCAGGAGACACATGATGCCAGCTGGGAGGGCATTGAAAATGGGCTTCCTGAGAAGCATGTCAGAGGTAGTGACTCCTGCCAGTGCACAAGGTCCTACATCCTTCCCCAAAGACAGGTGGAAAAAAGAGCCAGCGGTGATGTGTCATTTTCTGTTGGTTTTCTTGGCTTCTAGATCAAAGTGCCAGTGAAGTTTAATGGAACTTCAGGTGTGCAAGTCCGGACTCCTAGCAACCTCCAAGATTTGGCAGCCTATACCTCCCTCAAATTCTTTATCCAGAACCCGGAACCCAAACTGAGACAGAAGCGTCAAAGTGGAGATGACTTGGGACGCTTTGTGTTGTATTTCGGATCCAGAGACGTAAGTACATGTGTCAGGAACTGGGGGAAGCTGGGAAAGTCTTACTGGAATGGTAACAAGAGCAGTCTCAGTTTTAGCAAGCTGAGGTCTCTACTGTTAGAAGGATGTGGCATCATAAGAAAAAACAAGGATAAGAACAGGCAAGTTTTGGCATGGATAATATGACTAGCAGCTCGTATATAAGCAAAATTAATGCAATCAACATGCTGTGTTGGTTCAGAGCTTACAATTCCCTAACTGGCGTTACAGACCGTCATCAGTGCCAAGCAGTTTGCCCTTGTTCTGTGCATATCCAGGCCACCGGTGACTACATGGGAATTATTCTGAAAGATCGCAAGGTGCAATGGATCTATAAACTGGGGGATGAGGAACCAGCGTATTTAACAGTCAACGAAGAAATTGGGGACCAGTTTGCTGCAGTCAGCATCAACAGGTATGGCAAGGAGAACCATATTATTTAAAATGTAGTAGGTTGCTTATTAAAGAACAGAATAACTGTTGATATGTAGGACTATCTATTCTGCTGGGCAACTTCCTTAGCAGTGTACCTAAGAAAGGAATGTATTTTTTCCTGCTCTTGACATTGTGTGGTCCATCGTTTCCCTTGCCTCTTCGTAGGATCTTGCAATATGGACACATGTCTGTGACCATGGAGAAGCACACCTTGCATGAAACAAAAGGCGACAGTGTTGCCAAAGGACAGCAGGGACTGTTCAACTTCAAGCCCAGCAACCTGGTCTTGTACGTGGGCGGCTACCCTTCCAGCTTCATGGTGAGATGGCCTGGGAGAGCTCGTCGTGGAGGGCATGGCAGCATCTTCTCGATTTGCAGGATCCGCTCTCAAGCACCCAAAGCCGCAATATCATTTGGGTCAGACAAGCCCGTCCCCTCACCCCTAAACTTTCCTTAAAACTACGGAGGGAAGTTTCGCACAGAGTATTATTTAGCAAGACCCTACGTGATCCATGCTAAAAGCAAAAGCGTTTCTGTTTTAAGCCCCTGATTTAAAAGTGCTCATTGAGGAGTCGCAGTATAGGGCTCCTCGAACCCTGAATCTTTCTGTCAACAGCCTCCTGCACCCCTGCGTTATCCTAACTACCGAGGCTGCATCGAGATGGATTCCCTCAATGAAGAGGTGATGAGCCTGTACAATTTCCAGCGTACCTTCCACCTGGATACGGCTGCTGAGAGGCCTTGCACAAGGTGAGCTGGGCAGTCCAGTGCCCGTTGCTTTTCATTTTGCCCCCGGCTAGTTTAGACATTGGCGAAAAGGGGTTGAGTTTCATAGATGACGGGAATGGTAATGATGCATTTTTATAGTGCCTTCTCGTTACAGATTTTGCCCTTGCTGAGCTTTTGCAAACTATAGTTCTAGTTAACTACCCATAGCGGATCACCAAGAATTGTTAAGTGATTTCTGTTTTAGTTGTGTACTGACAAGAATTAGTAAAGGAAAATTCTTCTTGATTCTTTTTCTGCTTTTCTTAGAAATATGCTTGCATCAAAATAGAACTTGCATAAAATGAAATAAAAGCATATTTGTTGTTGCACGGGCCTGGTAAGAGTCGAATACAAAGCTCCTGAATTCTAAAGCTGCATGTACTGCTATTTGTTTCATGTCAAAATGAGTGTTATTTACTGAAAATTGAGGTTCAAATTCATTGTTATTAAACATTCTCCAGAACATGCAAAAAGGGCTTACTTTTTTGTCTACCCGCAAGGCTAGATAAAATCAATTTTTAATTATATTTCTAAGAGAGTTATGTTTTACCTAAATGGTGTTAATTAAACTGAAATCTGTAGAAGGCTAGCATCTGTAGTCTGTGGAAAGGAGGAAGGGAGACCAAAACCTCAAACTGAGGGGGATCTTTATTCCCCCTTCTCAGCAGCGGAACAGGATTCATCCCACCAGCTTTCCAACCCTCCCAGCTATCTCAGCTTAGCAGATTCCTTCCAGTCAGTTACCCTCCGACCTGTTGTCTGTCTAACTATCTCAGGAAAGAGGGGGCCATCCTCCTAGCTGGGAATGGGTGAAAGCATTTGGCCTTAAGAGTTGAGTAGCTCAGCCCTGACTTTTTAATAAGCCTAGATATGGCCTGGCCTTTACCGCCATCCCCAGAAGAGAGGCCTTGACAAGGGAAAACCCTCTTTTCTCTCTGAGGCAGGAGTCCTTTCCATTTCTCACTGAATTGTATTCCCATTAGGAGTCGTAGCCGTAGTCTGTGTTATTTCCGCCACCAGTCACAAAGAGCTGTTGTACTGTGGCAGCATACAGTGTGATTGTCAGCCTGCAACTTCCTTGTCTTGCATCATTACGGACACCCCCCCCCCCGCCACTCCCCATGGGACACCCCTGCCAAGGAGGTTGGATCAGAAAACGTTGCCGTCTTTCCTTTGAAAAATATTCTGAACATTTTTCCTTTGAAAATATTCTGTCAGTCATGAAGCTGCTCTTTAATACATATAATTTCTGAATTTTTAGAGAGTATATCGGGCTTGTCTGTTGTCATTCTTTTAATTTCTCCTTTCCATTAGGTCTAAATCAACAGGGGATCCCTGGCTGACTGATGGGTCCTACTTTGATGGTACGGGGTATGCAGAAATCTCGTTTGAGAGCCAGATTGGTACTGTCAAGCGCTTTGAACAGGAAATGCGACTGGTGTCCTACAATGGAATCCTCTTTTTCTTGAAGCATAAGGCAAGTTTACCTCTGCATTGGTTCTGCCTGTAATACTCCCATGCTGAGAACGGGGCTTCCCTGCACAACATTTGTTCTTGTTGTAAGTGTTGTTAGAAGTGTGTGAGAGCTTGAGGAAATTGCATGCGCCACAGATTGTTATGGCCACAACCACAGTTTAGATAGGACTTTATGTAGTGTTGTGTTTAATTAATTTGAACTTTACTGGGGGTTAAGTGGAGTTGAAACCCTAAGGAATATAGATTGTACCTGGGCACTGCCTGGGTCTTCTTCTGCTTTTTAAAATTAATTTTACTGTGAAATTTCAACAATGCAAATCCAAGCGAGAAAAATGTAGCTAGGTAAATTTGAAGATATACATTTCGGTGTATACATGTGTCTGTGGGTGAAAATATGGCTAAGAAAGATGCATAAATTTCAGCAAAAACAGAACAAATAGCAAATCATAGGTAGTGTCCGTATGTAATCAATTAAAAGTGTAAGATCTTCATCCATTACATTATAAGAGATGGATGTTTATCAGTCCATTGTTGTATTATTGATCCATCTGCATTGACTGTGCAAAAACTTCTGAGATATGGATAGATAATATAAGAGAACATGTCTATCAATCCATGAATAAAGTGTTCCAGTACAAAGTTTATCTGTATCTTAATTTTGTTCCCAAAAGAGGCAATTATTAGGCATGGCCTAGCCATTAGCTATGTTACACCTCCAACTGACTTAGACAAGCTGCTGTTAAAGAGATAATTGACACAGAGCAGGTCTTTTTGTGGAAAAACGTGTAACCTGACATCGAGAGATGCTTCAGGTATAAATGCTAAAGCAGCAACACGCAGAGACAGTCCGGTTCCTTATTCCATTCTTGCTTATGACCCAGTATATCAAAGTTCTTGACTGATAATATGTATTTATAAACATGGCTGTGGATCAGAATAACTAACCATCCTTAATAAACACTTCCAGTGGCAAAGGTTACTCTGAGGCTGTAAAAGTGAGACCATTAAACTTAGATTCCAGCAAATGTTGCAATTGCCGGTACTGCTATTTGGCTCTAGCTGGTAAGTTGTGTATGGTACACAAACCTGAGCATGAAAACACTCATAATCTACATGCACTAGTTATTCCAAATTTTAAAAAATCAACTTATCTACCACAAAAAGTTTTTCTTACCAATGTTTAAATCTTCAGGCTTTCCCTGTGGAATCAATTTAGCATGAACAAATGGGCCAAAATGCAATCAATATTGCATTTATATGTGCCACACATCTCTAAAAGCTGAAACTGTGGGAGAATCTTATTCATTTTAATGTGATAAGAACCGAATGCCATCCATTTAAAGAGAAAATCCAAACAAGAAGATTCTAAAACTGACCATGATGGAAAAATGTGATCTAATTAGAAAAGACCAAAAATTAGTACAAGGCAAGAAAAAGGATTGATGGTATAAAGCAGGATCCGGGAAGCCAAATCCATCTTCTTTTATTGGAAATTGCATCCTTCTTGTTGATAATCATGACTGAGGAAGAAGCCCAACACAAAGAATTGACTTTTTTAAATTGTTACTTGTAAAGAAATACCAAATGCAGCATAAACCATCAAAGGTAAAATATTAATCAAGAGTGTATTACTCTTACCTTTCCAAATTCCATGCAATCTCCTTAAACAACTTAGTCAAATTGAGCTTCATCATTTGATATAGGTCCCTGGGAATAGCTGTTCCTAAATAATAAATAATTTCTGGGCACTATTCAAATTTCCAGTTAGCGAATACACAATGAGATAAAATATTTGCAGTCACTTGTGACTAGTTAACTGAATAGCCAGATGAGTTACCAGAAGCATTAACCACATTCCAATATAAACAATAAAAAGATCATGAACATAAGGAATAATTTTGCTTTCTAATCTGTTATGCACAAAGTCATGCATTCTATTTTCTGTCTAATGGCCCAAGACAGTAGTTCCAAACAGAAATCAGAGGAGAAAGTGGACATTCTGTCTGATACATCTTCCCAGTGAAAGGAACACCAAAAAAAAGTATCTTAGTCATAACTCTGGTTCTTGGAGATAAATATAAATTTCTAACCAATTATAAAAGTCCTACAGGACAGCCAAAATCACTCAGTCTGTACATTCTCAGTGAATTGCGTTAAATGTCTTTGTGTCATCCTCCAAGGAAACACTAGTTTTTTGCTGCTTGAATAGTAATCGTGGGCAAGGGGAGTCCAGCGTTCAGGATCAACTGCTTGAAGGGATCTCTTCATTTTTCTTCCACAGAATCAGCTCCTGTGCTTGGCGATTCGAGAGGGGAAGTTGGTGCTATACTATGATTTCAGTGAAGGCCTCAAAGTGGCCCCTCCATCCAGGGACCCCGCCTCACTGATCGTCAGCAGCAATACAAATAAAGCGGTAATGGCACACAGGAGTCCTTTGCTGGTCGCTTGGCTGCGAACGGGGGCCATCTCAGCTCTGTGGTGACACCCAGTGGGCTCTGGAATATGTTCCCTCACGCCAGTGGTGGCGAACCTGTGGAACACGTGCCGCAGTGGGCGCGCAGAGCCCACTCTGTTGGCACGCGAGCCAAGTCACCCCGGCATCTCCCCAGCAGCCGAGCATCGGATAACAGCGTACATAGGGGCCACTGCATGCTCAGAGAGTAGTAGCCAGGCGATGACATCACAAGCCGTGACTCATGCGAGCTTTTGCATGGTCAGTCAGTGCACTGCCAAGGAGAGGGAGAGATTTGCTTGGACTGGCTGTGAGTTGTCTTTTTTCTAAACTAAAACCTCAGTTTTCGGGTTTTATTGCAGCGTTGGCACTTTCTGATAAATGAGTGGGTTTTGGGTTGCAGTTTGGACACTCAGTCTCTAAAAGGTTCACCGCCACTGGGTTAGGGTTAGAAAAAGGAGGTGCCCTGGTATGATTTTGATGGCTGGAATGTGTTTAGAATGGGCAGAAATGATGAGCTGTGCAGAAAAACTATTCAAGGAAGGCTTTTTCAAAATCGCCCTCTTTTCAATGGATTTTAGCCCTATATTAGGGTTAGGGGTGTGCACTAAGGTAGGATGAAATTTTTTTTTAGGTTGAAATTTTTTATTTAAATAAAAACATGCTACAAAGGTAGGGTTAGGCCAGTGGTGGCGAACCTATGGCACGGGTGCCACAGTGGGCATGCAGACCCCTCTCTGTCGGCACGCGAGCCAAGTCGCCCCAGCATCACCCCAGCAGCTGAGCATCGGATAACAATGCACACGGGCTCTGCACATGCTCGGAAAGGAGTAGCAGCACCAGGCGATGAAGTCACGAGCTGCGACTCATTAGCCGCCACTCATCTGAGCTTTCACATGGCCAGTCAGTGCACTGCCAAGTGTGTGTGTGTGTGTGTGTGTGTGTGTGTGTGTGTATTTGCTTGGACTAGCTTTGAGGTGTTTTTTTCTAAACTAAAACCTCGGTTTTCAGGTTTTATTGCAGTGTTGGCACTTTGCGATAAATAAGTGGGTTTTGGGTTGCAGTTTGGGCACTCGGCCTCTACAATGTTCGCCATCACTGCCTCATGCTCTTTATGGACTGCAGAGTGTGCCTCTTGGAGTTCCATCCAGTTATTTATTTGCATCATCGCAGAAAAGATACGGCCCATTTCTACTCTGACACTGATGGCAGTGCCTTTATGCAGACTGAGAGAACCTCAAGCCCAAGAGCTAAATCCAGCCCTCTGGGGGTCCCAGTCCCACCCCTGGCCTTGCCCCGTTCCCCCTACCATTGAGCATTTGCTTGTTTCCCAACTTTTGTACAGTTTTTACCCTGCATTGTAGCAGGCTGCAATGCTGTCCTATGGTTTACTTACTGCCAGGAAAAGCCTTAAGTGAAAAGATGCTAACGTTTTGGCTCCACCCAACACTGGGCTGCACCCTTTGGAATGAAAGAGGTCCCATTTCCTGCTTTAAAAGTTTCTCTCCCAGCTGGCCGAGCCTGATGACAGTCCTTACAGGTCCCTTCCAAATGGTTCCGTGCAGGAAACATTTGGGATTGTAGTGATGATTGTGCAAGCTCATTTACTCACCCTCCGGGCTTGGGAAATCTCTTCAGGGACGTTCCGTCCACATCCGAGGGATCCTTGATTTCTGGGTTGGTTGACAGAGCCACACACTGTGCCCCTAGTTCCAGAGACCGCATTCATGGTATGTATGTATGTATGTATTTATATTCCATTTTTGTCAAATTCCAGATCCAAATATTCCTCCTCAAAATGAATTCTAAGGATCGCATTCTGGTGCGTCTGGAACAATCTACAGTCTTCGTGGTGGAGCAGCAAAACGCCTTACAAAACGGCACCTCCTATTACCTGGGTGGCGTGCCCATGTCTATTCTGCCTGAAAGGTAAACCTCTGCTTCCATCAGTAGCCAGGGCAGGATTCCGCTCCCGTCTGTCTGTTCTCCTGTGGACTTCAGAGTCCTGAACCACCCTGCGCTGCTCAGTGTCCTAGACCAATGCACTTGTGCTGACACACATGCTGTGGACATTTTTGGAAGGACGTATAGCCCTTCTTGTAAGTGCCTTTAATGCATACACCATGGTTAGACTTCCTGGTGCCCTCCATGTCGTTTGGACTACATCTCCCATAAACCCTGCCTGAATGGGCAGTGGCCACATATTACGAGAGCTGTGGTCCAACTTGTCAGGAAGGACGGTCTAGTATGGTAGCAGCTTTCTGCCATCGCAACATCGGAGCTTCCTCACCACCCCCATCCCAGCCATGCTCTAAGGGACCCAGCACAATGTCACCCCACATCTAACATTTTCACTGCAACCTGCTTTGCAGTCTGAAGAAAATATTCCCCAAAGGCGGATCCATCAGGGGCTGCATGAAGGGCTTGAAGGCCCTCGGCAAATACGTTGACTTGAAGCGCATGAACACCACTGGAGTGAGCTATGGGTGTACCTTGGACCTGCTGGTGAGTGAGACGTCGTCGGGGCCCCTTGCAGGTGCTGCACATAAGAACAACTGTGTTGATCATCCCAGAGGTTGAGAGGGGCCAGCCAAAAGTGCCTGGGAAGCCCTTCTGCTGAAGCCCTTCAGTCCGAGGGCCAACGTCCATTTTGGAGAACAGGGGAGAGGCCCTTCCACTGGTGGGTGACCCAGGGGTGAAAGGGGTGTGTCTGAATTGGATGGTTGGTTTCATTTTTAACCCACCAAATAGCCGAGGCTCTCTGGGAATTAACAAAAGTTTAAAACACACAAGAAAGCCCTCTTTAAAGGAGATAAAAAGAGCAACTACCTGGAGCAGGGCCTTCTCTGTGGTGGCGCCCAGATTATGGAATGCGCTCCCTGGAGAGGTGCGCCTGGCGCTGAGTTTATATTCTTTTCAGTGCTAGGTTAAAACCTTTTTATTTAATTGCTATTTTAAAAATTAATATTTTATCGTTAACAGTCGGTTTTTTTGTTTTTATATAATTTTATGGAATTTGTTATTGTTTTAATTGTGCATTTGTGAGCCATCTCAAGATGCCGAGGCATGTGGTGACGGCATATAAAGTTTTCAATAAATAAATAAGACAGACAGACAGATGAAAACATAAGTTAATAAAACCACAGCAGTTGCAACTGAATTAGTATTGAGGTATAGCAGTGGTACAGGATAAAATGCAATATTAAAACTAAAGTTAAAAAGTTAACTGTTAAAATACTGGGAAAATAAAAAGGTCTTCACCTGGCACTGGAAAAGATACAAAGTAGGTGTCGGAGCTGCTGCCATAGGCAGGGTGCCACCACCAAGAAGGCCCTTCTCCTGCTGGCCACACTCCGCACTTCCTTTGGAGGGGGCTTTTTGAGAAGGACCCTCAGAGAGGACCTCCGGGTCCAGGTGGCTACATGTGGGACGAGGCAGAAGGGGGAGGGCCAGAATATCAACATGCTGGCTCCATCGAGCTGAGCGTTCTTCCTGCCAGATCTGAAGCTTCAGGAGAGGCATCTGAAGCTTTTAGAAAGGGGGAAACATGAAAAGCCAGGAAGCCAGAAGAGACCTGAGGCTCGGGGTGAGGGTGCAGGGCCCTCTGGGGAGCCTGGAGGACTGGTTTGGCTCCTGGCCCTCTGCGCCGTTGGGGCACGGCAGTCACCGGAGAGCACAGTGATGAGCGCCGTGCTATCGGCACGGCGGGAGGAAACTGGCACTGCTCTGCGGTGCCAGACGGGGAGCAGCTGTGCAAGATCTGAGTCCGTTCCCCTGCAGCCTCACAGAGTTGTACTTCTTGGCGTGCGGCACCCTCCCGTGCGTGTTGCAAACATTCTGTCACGTCACAGGTAGCGCGCTCGGTTAAATTCCATGGCCACGGCTTCCTGACGCTGTCGCTGAGGAATGTCCCTTCTTTGCAAGATTTCTACACGGGTTTCGGCTTCCGCACCAGCCAGAGCCATGGCCTGATGTACCATCATGAGACAGAGGTATGCTCTCGGCTTGCTGCCCAAAGCGCCACCCGCCAACTCTTGTGCATGGCTCATGAGCTTGACTGTGGGACTGGTAATGACTGCTGGCAATGCCTGCTACTAGTAATGCATCCCATTGGAAGTGAAGAGTGAGAGATGATTAAAGGCCATGAAAGGTACACGTCCCGGCCTTTCTCTGTGCAGGCAGTCGGCCAGGATGTCCTTTGCCTTCTCCAGGCATCCAGTGAGCCCCAGGAGCTTGCCTGACCCATATCCCAAGGGGAATAGCCACTCCTGTCCTTCCCAGCCCTACTCAGGGACCGGCTCAGGCCTCATCTGTTGTGAAGGGGGCTTTTAATTTTCCTGCCTTTGTGTTCTGGATTGGAAAGATAGCCCCGCATGCTGCCCCATGTGGAAGCCCGTGAAGAATGGCCCTAGTTTAGGATTAGTAGGGGCGAGTTGTTCTCAAGGAGCCGAGTGTCTGCAACACGCACCACCTGCCTGTCTGTGTCTCCAGGAAGGGACCTGCCAGGTGTCCTTGCAGAATGGCAGAGTGTCCGTCAGCCTCCTGTCGACAGAGCTCACCACCAAGAATGCCTACGCGGACGACGTCGGCCACTACGTTGCCGTCTACAGCAATGCCACAGGGTACCTTTGGGATCCGCTCTTTGTGGTGCCCCCAGGAGCCCCCTTCTGCCCAGGCACAGGGAGAGAAGTGCCTGCGGGGGGTCTCCTGCCTTGACAACACACGCCTTTCCGTTGCAGCATCCAGCTTTACATCGATGACCAGCTCCAGGAAGCCAGAGAGTGGTCCGATCGCCGCAGGATGCCGAAGCAGCAAGATGAGCCGGTGATCTTCCAGCTGGGGGGCCTGCCCAGGGGCAGCGGAACTGGCAACCTCACCGGCTGCATCGGGAACGTCTTTGTCAGGAGGTGCGTGCGGGCAAGGCAAGGAGCACCTTTGCTCTCCTTCCCAGGAGGAGCGAGTCTCCCGTTCCGTCTTTCATGCTCTCTTTGTGCAGAATATCTTGCACTGCATGGATGTTTCCTTCCCTATTTTAGAACCTGGCTGTCTAGACTTTGCAACCTGCATTAGTGACAGAAGGTGAGGTCATTTCACATATGCAGAAGCAAAACCTGCTTTGCCCCACATCTTGTCTTGCTGCTAAATACTTGAGCAGCAAGCGGCAGCCTGTCCTGGCCCGCTGACAACATACCTGAACAACACATCGCTGCATTCACACATTGCTTTCCAGGTGGAGAGTTCCTATAAGAATGTATGAAATGGCTCTGAGACACAAAAATACCTGCAATGCTAGATTTAAAGAAACAGTCATTCTTCATTCTTGTGCACAGTACAGGACAAGGGGAAAAACCCTTTTTCTGGTTCGAGGAATGAATTCCAAATTAGGAAATGCTGGGGGCACGTTGCATCTGTGGTCCTGGCCACAGGCAAAGGAAGACAGGACAAAATGTAATTATAAAGATTTTAAGCCTACCCAGAAGTAAGCAGAACAAGGCTTCCTGACTTGCTTTTATGTGCCGGACTGAATAGTTCAGGAACACTTGCAAATAGCAGCTAGATAATAATCCGCAAGCCCGGTTGTTCCCTTCCTTGCACCCCACCTGTGCCAGTACATGCAGGCAGGGATCCTTTCTGCAGATCGCATTGCTCTTTTGCTTAAAGGAACTTCAGGAAAACCTGTGGCTGCTGCTGTTTTAAATATTTTTGATCTGCCCAATAAGCAACATGCGCTGCTGAAGGCAGAGGAAGGTGTTGTAATCAGAACTCAGTGCAGCTGTATAGACTATTGGACACTGTTCTGTAACCCCTAAGAATAGGCCAGGAATAGCTTACAGTGCCTTGCGCTTGCTGCTTGAGCTGTGGGCAGACACAAAGTTGTGGGCCGACAAAACTAAGTAGAATTTGGTTGTTTTCCAGCCATTACAAGGACAAATTAGCCATGCAGATTTGAGAATGACTGCCCTTCCAGAAGAGGTCGTATAGTCAAACAGCTGCCATCTGGCTGTGGACTTTGCTGAACAGCTGTTGAGCTCTCTCCTTTTCTGCAATAGGAAATCAGAGCCACAAATGGTTGTGGACTTGCAGCAGAGCATCGCGAGTGTCAATGTGACCATGAATTGTCCCAGGGAGCGACAGCCTCAGCAGATGAGGACAGCGGACAAGAAGGGCAGGTGGAAACCAAAGGTAATCTTCTCATTGCCATCACAGCGATTGGTCTTGTCTTCAGATGGGCACCCATAGGAAAGAGACCCATTTTCGAAATGGGTGTGTATTGTTTCCCGAAGACTGATGGAAGGCCTTCTCCAGCTCAGAATGGCCCCATCTCCTGAAGTTTGTAGACAGAATGCGCTTCTAGATTTCCCGTCTCTAGTGAGAAGAGCCACCTGTCTCCCAGACGGGTCCTGCCTAGAAGGAAGAGTAGCTGGATCTAACGGGCTGTTCCAAGCTCAGCCTACATCTTAGTTTCACTTTTGCTTCCCACAAAGGGAAATTTCTTTATCTCCTTTCTTTCTTCTCCATTCATGTCTCTCTCCTCCTTTTTCCTGTCCAGCAAGTAGCTAGAGCAGGGAGAAGCAACTTACTGGTGGGTGCAGCTTCCACTGCTATTCTGCTGGGGGCTAGAGACTCCTAGGGTTTCTAGGAGAGCTGCTTATCCTCTGCTCCTTTTATCTACTCTGAGTAGCCTGGCAATGGTTCAGCACCGTGGGCATTGTTTGTCACCCTGTGTGGAGCGTTCCCGTCTGGGGTGGGAGCCAGAGCAGCTCCTCCCACCAGAGAGGGAAATTGAGATGTGGACCCTGCGTACAAGCTCTGCGAGCGAGGGACACCCCAAGGAGGAGAACGCCTTCCGTGTACTGAATGCCATGGCAAGCAACCAAGCCCACTTCAGCCCTGCATATATTTGGGCCTTCTTCAAAAGAAGAAAAGAATAGTAAAACACATGATTATACATTTCTAAACAAAATAATCAAGTTAAAAATCTTAAGTGCGTCCACAGTACAATGATACCTGAGCATATCTGCTTTCTTTAAAAAAGAGAATTGAAGTGCTGCCTACCCAGTTTAAGTAAGTTTAATCCTGTGACTTATGACATAGTCAGCTTGTTGTTTTTATACATTTATCCTCAAACATCTTAACTGTATCCATGTTAGTATGGATTCATCTTTTTTCATTTTGAACATACAACATATCCTTAAAGGAATATGTATCTGAACTTTAGATTAGCAGCAGAAACTCTCGTGCTTCGGTAAGCACCCCACCCCAGGGAGCAGAATTTTCAATTTTAAAATACATTTTAATAACCTTTTCCCGCAATTTGTGGGGAGTGTTTGCAATGCCCCGAACTTAGTATATTTTACAGCGTGATTTTACTCTATAAGCCATCCTCCCAGTGGGATGCCCTGTTTCTTCCAGCTGATGCTCTCCTATCTGTAATTGGAGAACCTCAGGGGTTTTGTCTACACAGAGTGCTTTGTGAGGGCACGGCATGGCATCAATTACACAACTTGTCATGCAAGAAGTAGACAGTTTCAAGACAGATTTTTCCGGCTAGTATGATTTTCCATCAGTTTGCAAGTGTATTTCCGACTCAGTGACCACAGGGTTAGCATCCTCTGGGAGTCAGACCCTCTGTCGTTGTGTCTGTTTAGAGTTCCCAAATTCACTCCTGTGACATATCCTGAGGTTCCTTTTGTTTGTTTTTAAGGAAATCATAGAGTCTTCTGGATAGGCTTCAGTGTTCCCCAGAGGGTGCCAATTCACTGTTATGCTTTCCTGGAAGCCACTTGTCCTCTGAACAAATCTTAAACTACAGTTTAACTGACCAGAAGGTGTTTTATCCTATTTGTTCCCCCACCCATCAAAGATCAATTTGTTTTGCTTTGTTGAGTTTTGTTACAATTGTTGTCTATTGCTCTCCCTGGGTATCTGTGGGAAATAATTGTTTATTCAGTTGGCCTTGTGTATTCATCTGAGCCTTGCATAAACAAATACTTGTTGCATAAACAAATAATTTTTGCATAAAGGCTCAGATAAGTTGGCCACACCAATTGGTAGAGGAATCACGGAATGCAGAATTCTGGTCTGTATTCTGTGCTGCATTTTGAGTTGAAATTCCGTGCTGAAGCGTTCCTGGAGGTGCATGGAGCAACTCTTTCCCACAGCCCGCTGGGCCTTGTCATGGCATTTTGTCCAAGCAGCAATGGATCCATCATGCTTCAGGTTTCACAAAAGCGTTCATTCTTACCCATCAAAAATGGTTCCATATGAGACATGAGAATCGGTCTGCCACCAGTGCGTGCTCCCATGTGATCATTGGGGTAATGCTACCCTCGGTCTGATTGGGGGGTCAAATTCAAGGGAGCAGTATTGCCTTTTTGTGAAAAACCTCAGTTGACTCTGGAACAGAGTGCAGAAGTGTTAGTGCCACAGGTTAGAGGATTTGCAACTCTGACTTTTCCGGTACTTCTGAGTGTTCAGTGGGGAGGATGTGTTGTTTACAGACATTCGTAACACCTGGAAGCAAGAGTTTCTTTTTGAGGTTTGAATCTAAGACTTCATTCCTCCAGGAACCAGACATCTGAATTCTTAAGGGGCCACCTGAATGTTCTTACCTTGCAGCTTATGAAAACAAAAGGGTTTTTTGTTTTTGTGGTTTCAAAAATGCAAATAAAGAAGAGATTTTTAAATTATTTCCCCACAGATGGCAAGCAAAACAATGCTGAAAGACCCGAATTGCAACCTGCCCAAGTACCCAAAAGCCATTAAGGATGCCTTCCAATTTGGCGGATCCTCAGTGAGCCGCTGGGAATTTGATGACATTCCAGCCACATTTCAAGAAAGGTAATGAATAAATGCGGTGCTTCAGCTCCACTCCTGTTTGAGAAGCTCTTCCTTAAAGTGCAGTACAGTTACAGACAGAGACATCAGGGAATTGCTTCTGGCTTCATAGATAGGGCTTCCACAGAGGCCCCAGGCAAGACTCAGTGATTTTCTGATGCTGCTGCTGTGCTGAAACTTACAGCTGATTAGCTCTGCATGTGTATTAGTTCCGCCCTCTTTTCTAAGAGTCTGTCCAGCTCTTAATTCTGGAGCAGGTGAGGTTTTCAAGTTTTCAAATTGTAGCTCTATTTGGAAGGCAACTCATAAATTTATAAATAAAATAAACTTTAAAAATGAGTTTGGGTATTACACAACTCAAAAAGTTCTTAGCATGGTGAAGTCTACATCTAAAATTGCCAGAATTATATCCTGCTTGAAAGAAATACTTGGAAAGCCGTGTGGCTTTAGCCCTGTGGCTTTAACCCTTCTCCAGAGCATCGTACAGATCTGGAGCCAGTCCCTGCACAGCATTTGCTACCTGTGGCCCACTCTGCTGTCAACGTCAGTCCAAAGCTCAGACTGCGGTATCCTTCTCTTCTTTGACAGGTTCCATTTCTCCATGGAGGTCAAACTGAACTCATCCAGTGGCTTGCTGTTTTACGTGGCAGATGAATCCCTGGCCTCCTTCTTCTCCCTCTTTGTGTCCAGTGGCCGCGTGGTGCTCTTGGCTGATATCAATGGGCATAAACTGAGAATCAGGACCAAAGAAAAGTACCACGATGGGAAGTGGCATACGGTAAGGAAGGGGAATCACAGGGCTGGAGGGCAGGTTAACTGGCACTAGCCAGGTACATTCAGATTGTTTCACAGCTAACCAACAAAACCCCGGAATTCGCCTTGCTAACCTATCCTGCAGTCAGCCGTGTTTCTTGGGTAAGCATCAGTAACTCTTCAGGAATGGCTCCACCCAGAACGGAGTCTAAAAGACCAGGCTTGCTTGAACCCACATCCGATTTGCACAGTCGTGCAGAAGCTCAGAGCAATGGTGCCTTTGGCTGTCCTGTGCTTCTCAGTTGTGCCCAGGCTTAGAAAGATCACAAGGACGTAACGCAAGTGTAAGCTTTGTGCCCAGCAAAGCACTGGGTGGATGGGGCCAGGGCTGGAGCACGTTCCCAACTTTGGAATGGAGCAGTTTATCTATATGAATAGAAAGTCTTACTATTTGACTTGGTTTCATTCCTAAAATGCTCCTGCTTGTTAAAGAAGTACTTTGTAGATAAACAGCCATACATTTACATACAGAAAATGCACAAGCTCTTAAGCCTCAGTATCCTCTGAATAAGACATAATGTCTGAAAAAGCCCATTGGAAAAGCACAATTTATACTTCACACAATTTATACTTCTCAGCAGCTTGAGACTGATCCTGCACGTCTGGTTAGTTATTTTAGGGGCAATTACAGAGAGCTTTGCCAATAGCCACGTACTAGTGACACCTCCTGTTCAATATACCATCAGTGGTAACCCTCAGCAATTGCTACCTAATTTGTGAGAAGGCTTTTATTTGGCAGTTGGAACAGATACATGAGCTTATTGGGGGCAGGTGAATGAGCAGGTTTGAAACTAGCAAAATACAAGAAGATGGGGCTAAATTAAACCCAAGGACCAACTCCTAACAAACCATGTGATTTTATAGCAGTTGATTTTTCAGAGTTCTGCAGCTGAAGGATTCCTTGCATCTGTGGTCTAGTAGGTGACATGTTGATCTAAGACCTGATCATATCAGTCTATATGTCTCCTCTGACAGGGACCGTCTGGTCAATCTTGAAGAAAGTTGTTGTTTCATGAACACCAGTTTCCATCTGTAAAACGAGAATTATAGAAAAGCTATTCTGACTGGGGCAAATGGGCTTAGAGCAGAAATGTTGACTGTATGACACTTGTAGCACCGCTGACTGAAACACGAAGTGGTCAAGCCCTGAGTAAAATAGGCAGGTATAAGCGCCGAGGGTCACACAGGGTTCATGTGCTCCTCTTGCAATTTGCAGATCTTCTACAGCAGAGACAGAAGCAGAGTGCAGTTGGTCATCGATGGACTGAAATCCCAGCAGAAGCTGCTGCCGGCGGCTGGAGACTTCCGGGTCTCTGGACCTTTTTATGTGGGTGGAGCCCCCATGGAAAAAGCCAAGGCTCATTTGCCGGTGAGGGTTCCAACCGACGGCTCAGGGAGCTGCCTTCCGTTCAGCTCAGACTGGCTGCTCTCACAGCCTGCAGCATCCTGGGGCCGCAGGCAGAAGGACCCCCCCCCCCCAGTCGTTCCAGCTGCAGGTGCACCTGGGCCCTTCTGAGAACACGGCTGGCAGTGTCCTCCCTCACAGCAGGGGTGCAGGGTGAAGGGAGCCTCCTGCATCCATCCCTCCCTGGCAGACACTGACACAGCTGGGCTGTGGAGGGCAGGCGTGGGGGCTTGCTTCTGAGGAGGGGCAGGGGGCCATTTTGGGCCCATGGCTGTGGGTGAGCCACAGTCTCAGGGGGGCAGGGCCACCCCACTGCTGGCCTGTGGCTGTGTCCCATGGTTGCCACCCCAGGGCATGCACCGGGGGAACAAAGGAGGTCTTCTTTTACTTCTGCAGGGGAGGGGGGCTTCCATGTGGCCCCAGCCAAGGCTGGAAGTTGGCCTTCTTGAGCTTCAGGACATATGCCCTGTTTGTGCTGCGGGACAAGCTGCAGCAGTGATAAAAACAACATCTTCTTTGTTCCCATGGTGCACACAGGATGTGACGCTAAAGCTAAGAGGGGGATTGGGCTGCCCCCATCTCCTGTTCCAGGGACCTTTGCCACAGGAGGCAGGGATGCCTGGATCCAGTGCCCTGTGCTTGGGCCAGCACCGCAGAGCGGATCCCTGCCTCCAGGTTGCCAACTTCCGTGTCCCGGGCAAGAGGCTTGCTCTCACAGACAAAGCAGGGATGCTGATCCCTGCCCAGGGGGCTTTCCCCCCTCTGGCCCAGTGGCTCAGTGGCTGCCCGGCCCACCTGTCGCAGGTTCTGTTCTCCCTGTTTGGATGACACAACCAGCTGCCCTGGGTGGCAGCAACCCTGAAACAGCCCACAAACAACGCAGGGGGCCTTGCTTTAAACAAAGAGCAACCCTTGGTGATGCTGTCTCTCTTCTGGTGACAGGACAACCTACTTGTGAAAAGAAATGGCGGGTTGTTGTATCGCCTGACCAAGGTCATTGTGTCAAATGCGAGGAGGGGCCCCCAGCCTCTGTCTTGTCACACATGCAGCATTCCAGTTTGCTGTCCATGTGAACATGCTTTGGGGTGCAAGCAATGATGTCATCTATAGGAGGTCCGGGAGAGCGTTACAAGCACGGGAGGGAAATCCAGGGCCACAGCCTGACAGCCAAACAGCTGGACCAGCCACGTACTTCACAGCATGGTTCCCTTTTCTGCAGGACGCTTCTGCCATCAGCTTCAAGGGCTGCCTCAGGCATGTGCAACTGGACAGGAAGCCTCTTGTCTCGCCACGTAACGTGTTTGGCGTAACCCCTTGCTACGCGGGCCCTTTGGAAAGCGGCACCTTTTTCTCTGCTGATGGAGGATACATAATTCTAGGTACTGTAACGTCCATCTTTTCTGAGCCTTCTGCGGCCAGTCGCCTTTCCCAGACACCTTTCTTCTTTGGTTCCTATTTTTCTCAAGGCACAGGGATCCTTTTCTGCTCTGACAATTTTGCTTCTTGCCCCCAGACAGGACTGTCTCTCTCTGGCAGAGCTTTGAGTTGATGCTGGAAATCCGTCCAAGGAGCGCAGTGGGACTGATATTTCACATAGGCGCAAAGCAAGCAAACTACCTCAGGCTGTATACAGACAAGCAGAAGGTAAAGCGCTTGGCAGTTGAGGCTTCTGGGTACGCTTTGACTATCCTGAAAGTAAAAGATGCAAATATCATATGCAGCCTCTAAAGGATACAAAAAGTGATATGTAAATTTCACTCCTGTTCATTGGATTATCTGAACCTGCTATAAGCCAAGGTATTAGGCCATGTAGAAACCTGTATCATGCCCCATTGGGGCAAAACATTAAATGGATTATTGGCTAAGAGGCAGGACTAGGACCCGCAAGCATTGCAGAGTTAGAACCAGGTTGGAGCAGAAGGCAGGAAGAGCCTTGGGGCTGGGGCTGGATCGACTCCGGCCTTTTCAGAAATGTTGTGAGGCCAGAAACATGAAAAAGCTACTGTTGGAAATTTCCAGCTGTTCTCCCCTGCCACCCGCTTCATGTGGTCAGAAGGACATGTGATCATACAGTTATTTTGCATCAGCTATCTGCTTGCAGAACTGGAAAATGTGTTGCCCACGCAGTAGATATGGGAGCCCGTGTGCTGTGGTGGCCGAAGTGCTGGACTGGGGACCTGAGAGAGCTGGGTTCTAGGCCCTTCTCGACTAGGCGGTCCACTGGGTGACTTTGGGTCAGTCATTTCCTCATGGCCTACCTCACAGGATTATTGCTGTGAGGATAAAAATGGAATAGAGGGAAACTATTGAAACTGCCTTGTGTTCCTCACCAGAGGGGAACAGGTACAGTTTAATATTAATAATCGTGACTTTTTCTGGGAGCATGATTGGATTAAAAGTGATTTCATGAACTATTTTGCTGCTGCAAGAAAACCTAAGTGATGATGCGTGCAAAGAAACCCTTACAAAGCATTGCACACAAGTGCATGAGCAGGAAGACTGTTGCACACATTGTGAGCCAAGTCCTTTGTTTGAAATGAGAGAGTCCTCGTGGGGAGGTCAGTAGAGAGTAGAGAGCCATGTAACTATGGACCTCTTAGACGCTCAGCCTCTCCCACTTGTAGGAAGTAACCTCTTGCCAGTTTTATGCCTGCATCTTTTGAGAAAAGGAAGGTAGACGAGGAATTGTATAGGTCATTGGTCTGATTGCTGTTGTTCTCTCCTTAGAGAACCGGAAGCCCCATAAACCATTTCAGGGTCGCTGCATGTTGCCAGTGATCCTGGGCTGTGTGTACCGTTTCCCTGGAGCGCTGGCCATGCTTATTGGGTGTTTCTGCCACCTGCACTGTTCTTTAGCATTGAACTGCCTGAGCGGTTGCTGCAAGCAACCTTCTGCCTGACCAACCTCAGGATTCCCAGCTAAACTGCTTAGAAAATTAGTTCAGTGGCACCATATTGCAGCAAGACTGTCTTTCCTTCATCCAGATGGAAATTTCTCTGTCTCTTTCCTTGCTGTATTAGGTCACTGTGGCTGCAGGCAATGGTGCTGGGGAGTTCTCCACTTCGGTGGCACAGCCTTTACTCTGTGATGGCCAGTGGCACACGATAGCAGGTAAGCTGGCTTGAAAGCCTGTTATCTGCTTACTGGATAGGTCATGCTGGAAGTTGAGGGCCTTTTTTCTGTCTAAGCACATCTAGGTCTGTACCCTTAGGCAGAAATCCTGTTACCATTTACAGAGGAATAGGCCCTCCCACACCCAGTGGGGCTGACGCCTGAGCAGACTTGCATAAGGACTGCACTGCTTGGCTGTAATCTGATACAGTTCCATGGGAAGGGCCTATTGAACTGCCTCAGGCTTTCCAGCCGACTGCTTTGTACACCTGAGAAACAGCTTCCTGCTAGCCTGTGCAGCCTTTACAAACATTTGTTCCCATCATGAGAAAAGCTGCTGATATTGACTAAAAATGGACTGCCACGATCCTGCAGGGCTTAGTAGTCATAAAGCGGGTGGCTTGTGAGCAATTTATTATTATTATTATTATTATTATTATTATTATTAGCCCTTATAAAGTACATTCCTCATGAAAGTGCAAACTGTATTACCTGCAAATGCTTGTATATTCTTCTCTTCCCTTGAACTTGTCCCACCATTAAGTCCAACAGTCTCTACAGGCCACTGGCGGTAGCGATGTTGCGGTGCATTTCCTTCCCGCCAGTGACACAGCAGTTACTTCAGTCCTACTTAACCTGCCTTGTGCTTGACCCTGAACCCTCCCACCTCCCTCTGGACCCACCTGCTGTCTTGTGACGGAGGCTGCCCTAGGCATTGTGAAGGCATGCCATTTCTCAGCGTAGCAAGCTGTGAAGGGATTAACACTTGTGCTTTCTTTCCAAGTCATGAAAGACGGCAACGTGATCCAGTTAGATGTAGACACAGAGGGGAATTACACAGTCGGACCCGACCGAGCACATGTTGCTGCCGTCAAAGAGAATTTCTACCTCGGTGGAATGCCAGGTGAGTGGCTCGGGCAGTTGGAACATTTTGGAGGTGCCAAGGAGCGCTCCTGGCTTTAAAACCCCAACTAGTTTTGTTGTATGTTCCATAGATTATTGAGTGCCAAGTTGAGTTTCTGCCTTGCCTAGCATAATGGGATTTCTGTTTTTCATTTGTTTTGCTGGTGAGAAAGTTTTAACAAAGTGCCGTCTCCTCCGGATCTGCCAGTGTGCACACATATTCTTCCATTTCTGGATTTGTATGCATACATTCTGGAAGGAGGGACAGATGAACAGAGGGTTTGAGTCAGCCTGCTCAGAAAGTTTGTCTCTGAGCATAAAATCAGATTTGAGTTATATACCTCTGCCTTGTAATCAGATTTTTGGAAAAGTTACAAGTCCTTCACCCTCAGTAGTTTCCCTTCTGTGAAATGAATGATTTATGCCTTTCCTGCTCCTCTAGTGCTGTTGAAAGCAATTAGAAAGAAAATGGCCTCAAGCACAATGAAAAGGTATTTGCATCTTCTGGGGCACAGGGAAAATTCCCAAATAACTGGAGTTAGCATTTGCTAAGCCCACCTGTTTTCTGTACCATCTGTACATTCCAGAGCATTTAAACAATTAAAACGGAAGGCCTTTCCCTTGGGAAACCAGACCTCACTCTCGTAACAGGTTAGCCACAATTTGCTTAAGGCTCATTGATGTAACTGGGACTGAAGCAGGTTCAGGGCCATTTAGAATTGTCGCTAGCTGCTGTTCCAGAAAAGGGCAAAAGAAAGCCAATTGTAATAAAAATGCTATCTTCTCCTCTGCAGAACTTCCCAACAGTGGCCTTGCTTCACCATCGGGTCATCTTCCCTCTTACATTGGGTGCATGAAGAACCTGGTGATAAACAGTAACCAAATCAACCTGAGGCAAGCTGGGACAGTCAAGGGTTCAGTAGGCCTCAAAGGATGCCCATTTATGTAAACACGCCGTCTATTCAAGTGCTATGTCAGAATTACAGAAAGTTGCAATACCTTCAGTGAGGCCCATGAGCTTTCTCTGTGGCATATATGCCTAGGTTTTCATTTCAGTCTGAACAGAGGGCTGTTTCCACTTGCCAGGTCTGCCTCTGGTACTGAACCATGACTGTTCGGTGTCCTGTACCAAGGGCAGGTGTTTTTGGGGAAAGATTCAGCCACTTTTACTATTAACTGATTTGCAATCCATGTGACCATTCCCTCCTCAGATGTCTGCAATATGGTAGTCTGAACAGGGCAAGGAGTATGCATAGTAGGTATTTATAAGGAATACCAGGAGGTGCGCGCTCTCATGTATAAGTATGGTCAGTAATGTGCCTTAAAGAACTGTGCTTCACCCAACTGAAATGCCAGAGGGACATTGTCTATCTGTATGCCAAGGGGGGTTTTCTTGCTGACATTCTAAATTTGTAATTTCCAAGCAGCTGGAAGCGTAAGAGGAATGAAGTCTTGGCAATGTTTATGTGCTGAACCGATTTAGCATTCTATGGAGAGTAAGAAGCTGGCCACTGATCTTCAGTACTATTTCCCTTGCCATTTGTGTCAGGCATCAGTTATGCTTGAGCAAAATGGTTTTTCTGCGTTTATGGTGCTTCCCACTAAACCTTACCTCCATCAACTCGAGAGACACTTTAGACATCGCTTAAGGCATAGGGAAGGGATGCACAGGCACCTCCCCATCCAATGGACTGCCTCGTTCCTAGTTAACTGCCACTCATTACCCAAGAACAGGGAGTGAGTGAAGCACCAAGCTGCCTCTTGCTGGAAAGGAAAAGGGCTAGCTGAGTCTTACACCACTATTCCCTTACTTCTTCCTTGGTTTAACATATCCCCCTCCCCCTTGCAGTCACTAACTTCACAAACATTTCAGTGTATGTCTCATTTGTGCACTTAAGAGATGTCCATATATATGTGTCAATTTATGTGCGTGTGTGTGTGTGTGTATATATATATATATATCACCACATTGAACAAGAACTGGGTTCTGAAAAGAACTTTATAACTTATCCGTATATCGGTTGTTTTAATGCTGGGGTAAATATTGTAAATGGGTTTAACAATATTTTGTCTCTTTTTCAACAAATGCATTATGTTTAGAGATGTACTATTAAGGCATGATCTCTGTAAATCACTGGTACATACTTTTAATTCAAATAAAGTTTTATGATCTCTATTCTAGAAAATTGGTAAAGAATACTTTAAATGTAGAGCATGGGAAAACCTGCTTAAATCATTTTACTGTTGTTAGGGAGCCATGCCTGGATGCTACTCATGAATTTCTTAAACCCGTTATCACTTTCTATGTTCAACTCAGGATGGAAGACAGGCTCAAGCAATATGCAGACTTTTCCATCTCTTTCCCTCCCATTTTTACAGAGATTACTTTGGGTACCTAAATTTGTATCTAAATGCCATACTCAACTGCGTGATAGTCTTTAAGATGGTAGCTTTCCGAAAACTTGGCCCTTCCTATAATTTCACTACTGTAACTCCATGCCTGCTCATCTACAAGCATAACTACTCCCAACAGCCGAGTGCCCATACTTTCTCATGTCAAAAGTGTCCCTCTTAGCGCGTTGCTTGCATTAGCTAAGTTTTTATGAGAAGTGGGGAGATCCCTTCACCCCCATCAACATGCAAGAAGTGCAGATGAGCCACCCAAACACCGTGTGAAGGAAGGATGTGAGGAAAGCAAGGTCAATGTGGTCAAAGAATGATGTTTTTGGATTTGTTACCCTGGAGCTTAAAAATGTACGTTCAAGCTCATAAGACAGGATTCCTTTCCTGTGCTCTCTCTTCCAAAAAACCATCACAGAGGGTTAGATGCCCCTCAAACATTTAATGAAGGATGGGGGAAATACGACTTCGTAAGACACACCATCTTATGTGAAGGTACTTCTCACAATAAGACTATTAAATCCAAGCAATTTCTTACAGAGATACGTTTTAAGAGGTCAAACATTCTGCTGCATACAGGCAAGGCCTTGGATGATCCTCAAATCTGGGTGTAGATTGTGCAGTTAGCACAAAACTTACGGACTAAGTTGGCCAGGCAGTTGACGCCGAGTTGCTGGCCCCAGTTAATGTGTGCTGGCCCCAAGCTTAGAACTTGCCACTGAGGTTGATGAAAGACTGCAGTTACATAAACCAAGTCATTTCCAAGGGCCAGTGCGCTTTACTGCCAAAGACAAAACACCTGTTTGACAGTGCAGCAAGGGGGAAAAAACCCAGTGTACCCAGAATAAATTTGGCAGAGCGATCCTTTACTTGTAGATTCAATACATGGTTACCTAGCGATCCTACTTATCTTAAAGTTAATATATGGGAGTCCCCATGAGACACAGTTAAGAAATCTAATCTAAACTCATGTCTTCCTCTTCATCCTTCTTCTCTTTTGAGTCTCCTTCCTTCTGGTCGGATTTGACATTGTTCTGCATTGCCTTTGCAAAGGCCTCTACATCTAAAAAGAACAGATGTTACATTGGTAATTCGGCAACAAAAAGGAGCATGCAATAGGGCAGGCTGCTCTGTTTAAACTAATGGTGGTAACTGAGCACAGAAAGAAGGCTTGCAGGAGCCTGTTTCGATTTGCTAGCTCCTATCTTAAAGGATGTAGATTTATGCAATAAGCTCTCTTCCAGAAAGCCACATACTTTGTTTCCAGTTATCTCATGCTCCTACAGCAAATCCTAACCCTAGTGGCCTGTAATTACTTAAAGCCCTTCTATAACAGGGCATTCGGCAGGCTGGTGTGCTTGTTTAAGCTACTGATAACACAAGGAACTCAACCTACTGACACTCCTTGCAATACAAGTGCAGCTGCCAAGAGCTCAGTAACAGGCGTGGTGCATCACCACCCACGGTGCCCTCTGAGCCAGCAGTTCTGCAGTGCAGCTGCCACGCAGCTCAGGTCCCCTGGACAGAAGGAACTTACCGCCTTTGTTTGCTGCATCTACTGCCTCAGCTGGTAAGCCAAACTGACTCATTAGAGGTCCCAGTTGCCCTGAAGCCAAGGCAGCACTGAACATGCTCAATGCCTGCAAAAATAAAGACGGAAAAGCCACATTCAACAGCTCGGAGGGGCACCACATTCAAGAATATCAAGCTTGCTACACGTGCCAAAGATCCTGGGTGGCAGAATGAAAACGCTGTGGCTCCAAGGAGAGTCCAGAGCACTGAGAAGGCAACCTTTTCTTGAGCTATGGGTCACTCAGTAGATGTGGACACTGTTCCAGACACCACAAGATGGTCACGAGGGGAGTTGTGGCAAAGAACAAGTAACCTGCCCAAAAGACGGGACTGTAAGACAAGGATGTCTGAGCCATATATACGAAGTCACTCTTTTGAACCCAGCGTTTTCAGCAGCAACGGATACCTGTATCACAGCCATTCTAGCTGTAAGTGTGTACATGAACTGCGACAGGCACCAATAAAGGTGTTCGGGAAACAATGGCACAGTCCAGTATGATCCTAACCAGGCTGGCCTAAGAAAAATGTCCCCCTGCCAACATTTTGATGCTCCAAATTCAGAATGGAATCATCACCAACTGGCACCAAAGAAACCTGAACTCAGCCCTATCAGGTTTACACTTATCCAAGTATGGCGCCGAGGACAACCTTGTGGGCTCAAATTAAGTTGTGCTGGCTAAGCCCTTTTAAGCCCACTGGGTAAATAACAGTTTGCTTAGATAGTCTGTAACAAGTGCATCACAAAAACTGCATCTTATAGGTTGAAGAAAGTTCTGGGCCCAATACCTTGAAAGCCCAATTGTCAGATACAGGTCAACAGGCTGGCCAGTACCTTTATGGGCTAATGAATTACACAGACTGTTTTGCATGAAGTTTTCTCTTGCTGCAATAATAGGAAATACCAAACGATCTGCATCTATACTCTTCATCCAGACAAGGCTTACACAGGCCTTCATCAGGACTCATTTGGCTCACTTATCTGCATACAGCTAGTTTTAAACCTAAAGACTCTTGAAAGAGAAGCTACTGAGGGAATGCCACAGCCTTGTGACAACAGCTTGCTCTGCATGGAACCTCTCCTAGGAATGCTGGGAGCTAATCAAGAACCTTCCTGGCTATGCTTCAGCCAATATTGTTTTGAAATGGTTCCTTTTAAGTTCTATTTTCCTAATGATATTGGACCGGGAATGGTGGAGGACAGGAAGGCCTGGAGGCACGTTGTCCATGGGGTCATGATGGGTCGGACGCGACTTCACAATCATCAACAACAGCGACGACGATATTGGAACTTTACCTGCTGGAACTGTGGAGAGGTCAGAGTGTTCTGGATCTCCTCTGCTGTCTGGGGCAGGGATTCCCCTGAGGGAAGGTAAGGCAGCAAGCGCTCTTGCACCTCTGTGTTTGCCAGAATAGGTGCCATTATCTCAGGGGTCAGGACGCTGGACAGGTCAACTGGTAAAGAAGGCAATAAGGTTGGTTCACTGTAGAATTAGCAACCTGCTGCAGACAGATCTCAGCAATGCGCTTGTGTGATATAGGAAAAGGATAAAAATGCAGCCAAATCCTAAGTAGTTCACAGCACAGTAAATAAAGCTTGACCCGTGGAGTCTCAAAGACAGTGAACCCAAACTATCATGGCTCTGGTACTCACACGGTGCGAGTAAAGCTAAATTACTGGCTTGGCTTCTCTCATAGACACACACTGAGAAGAATCGATTCCAAGCCCCCATGTGAAGACAGATGTTACAGCTGCTCTACTTGGGGAAGGCACTGAAGCGTCAGGATGGCAGCAACAAGGGAGCACAACGCAGAGTGCTTCCCTGGGGAGAGCCGGTGTCCGCAGTCACTGCGCTACCCCTTACCTTGTTGTCCTCCTGCTCCAGCAGGTACATTCATAGTTGCTAGGATGGTCTGGAGGTCACTCAGTTGAATGGGCTGGGTAGGACTTGTAGCTGCACTGGTGCCATTTCCTGAACTGGGAGCAGGACTAGGGCTGGTGGCAGCAGCAGTGGCAGCGGCGGGAGCGGCAGGAGCAGGCGTCACCCGTGTGGAGGAAGCGCTGGAAGATGGCGTCGCGGCTGCTGACTGGCTGCGAGAGCTAAAAGGCAATTCGTATCATGATGCTCTGGAGAAGGGGCACTCAGTTGGGGTTGGGCAAGAAAGACCAGGCCAGAGTACTGAAAGTTCACAGGACAGATGATGAAACAAAACCCTGGCCAATTTTCTCTGGAAGGTAGTTAAGTTGCTTTTGGCTTCAGCCTTCCAATCTACAATATAGGGGCATCGCTGACCTAGCTAACCACACTGCTGCAAGGAGTACCAGATAAAATCACTCCCAGTATCAGTAGCATTACTATGTGAGATTGGTCCCTGGTTCACAGATAACCTACCCAGAACAAGTTCTCCATTCCAAAAGAAGTTAAAGAACTGTGCTTTTAATGCTGCCTGCCCTTTCTTATCTCTCATGTTCTGCTTCTTAACTCCTCTAAGCAACCCTTCTATAAAAGAGATCCCATCTCCAAATCAAGGCACTTGATTACACTGGTGCTGGGGGATTTTCTGTGATTCATCCCCAGAGCACTGCTATCATGTTTAAAGGCGCCACGGCCACTGACAGGACTGACCAAGTCCTAACCAACACAAGAGTTCCTCATCCAAGCAGTTGAAGGAGTATAAAACATTACGGCTGCATGCAGTGAGAAATGCCTATGAGAAAATGGTACTTCCGGAGCACCATCGAAGTCATCTTTTATCATTGCAAGTAAAAACATAGAAACAGAGCGAGTCAGAAGGGGCCTTCTGGGCCATCTAGTCTGACGCCTAGCTCCCACCGGCTCCACTCATGACTTTCCTAGCATGTACATATCTAGCCTATCCTTGAACACCCTCACCGATGGGGTTTCAACCACCTCCTGTGGAAGCCCATTCAGGAAGTATTTCTTGGCATCCACCCTAAATCTTGATTCCCTGAGCGTTGCTCCATTGTCAAAGTACTTAAAAAAATAAGACAGCTGTAAAGCAAAGACCTTCTTACCTTGAGGAAGAGCTGCTAGTTGGAGGCCCCCCACTTCCCAGAAGACTAGCCAGACCGGGACCTGTCAGAGCACCAAGCCCACCTTTCACAAAAAAAAAGCAGTATGCACTTAAGAGACTTTTTAGGGAAAGCACTGCGGTATCTGGCCTTTTCACATTATAATTTTTTCCACGTAAAGAGACCGAAGCACAATCTTACTCTACAGTTACAGTATTTCGATCAGAAGCTTTTAGGATGAGCTAAGCAAGAAACCCAGGGATGTTTCAGTCTTTTTGCAACCTGGCACTGGTTAACAGTCCACACCAGTAAAATACTTCCTGAAGTCTGGCAAGACTGTTTCTTCTCCCTCAGATGCATTTCCTCCACTTGAGAGTAAGCATTTAAAATACACACATGTTCTTTGTTAAGAGTTTAATCTTTTAATAACGTTTTGTAGGCCTTTAAGGAGGAAGAGGCCCTACTTATTTTACTTGGCAAAACCTGGCCTGGTCATTTTTCAAAAATGGTTATCAGAGCTGGGTAATCCAATTGGTCCCAAGGAATACATGGAGTACAGGATTCACGCCCAGGGACACTCATGCATCCTGCACCGACATCCTGACCCAAATTGCTGGAAGGAGGAACAGGCTTTAACCTCACCTACCCCCCAACAATCCTAAGAAAACTCACTGGGGTGGGGAGGATAAAGTGCACTCCCCACCACAGCTGTCTTCTCGTGTGGCCACCGTTGTAGCAGCCGTGGGGAATGAAAGAGGTGGTGTTTCCAGGCCCTTGTAGGGAAGAATTTTACTATACCAGTCCCAGCGTTGACACCGGGCTTGTCAGTTTCCAGGATGTATCAGTAGAAAAAAAAAAGTTTAGAAAGTAGCACCCTGGTGTACATTACTAAGGGGATACCACCAGTAGTGCAGCTTCCCCTGGGTATGTCTGGGGGCTTACATCTTATTCCACTAGTGAAGCAGCACTTACGCTCAACTGGCAGCTGAGGTTAGATCTAAGCAAGGCAAATACTACTTCGCCATAAAAACAGGAAAGCATTTTACCAAGTCCTCCTAAGCCTGTTGGTCCGATCAGTTGCATGAGCTGGTTATGGCTCATGTTTCCTAAAAGGCTTTGCAAACCGCCTTCACCTTAAAAAAAAAAAAAAAAAGTTAGCAGTATATTATTAAAAAAGAAAAGAAACTCATTCTGTTCGCCCAAGTTGTTCCTGTTTCCAGAACATTTTCAACTACTTCATCTTTGAAAAAGCACATACAAATCAATCAGCCAGTTATGCCAGAAGCCTGTTCTTTGGAGGTAATTAGAGACAGGGCCTTTTTAGTGGTAGCACCGTATCTGTGGAGTTTTATCCTGTTCTATTAAAATTCACATCTGAATTCTTTCTACTTGATTTTCTGGTTATGCACTCTCGCAACTTGCACTTTCAATGAAGTACAATATTCTTTTTAAATTTAATTTAATATTAATTCATTAGGCATCTTGGAAAAATTATGAGCAGGCTAAGCCACAGAAACCCCAAAGTACCACCACTAGCTCTTACATAACTCAACTTGGCCCAGAAAGGCAAAACATTCCATACCTCCGAGGGCAGAAAGTTCATGGCCTCCACTTCCACTACCACCCAGTGCTCCAGGCATTGGCGGGTTGTTGAGATATTCATTCACCTTACGACAGTGCTCCTCATCTTTCTCAGTTTTGGGCTCCTGGAAAGAAAATATATCTTTTTTTCACCCTAGAAGGCATACATAATCTGAGATTTTAGCAAGCTGAGTGTCAGCATTATGCAAGAAGGGGTCCTTGATGTGGCACCCGGAATTTTTAAATATATTTACATAGATTCTAGCTGTCCCTAGAAGCAGAAGTGACAAACTGAGGCTGCCATGCTTCAGACAAGGCTGAAGCAGCACTGATCAAGAAACACAAGAACAAGGAATTAATATTTCTTGGTGGCACAAGGTTCAAATGCAATCGAGATATGCCAAAGGTCATAGAATGTGGGGCTTTCATAAGGAGTCAACAGCATTTGATCACGTGATTCTTAAATCTGGTGAGAAAATGATTAAAAGATTGTACAATTTCCTACTGGAGAGGAAAATGGAAGATGAACAGGTTAAGGAAACTATGATAACGTGGGCACAAAATTTTGGATGTAATATTGAGTTAGAGAAATGGCAAAAACTGTGGGAAAGAAATATTAAAGTAACATTAGCAACTTCATATAAAGAAAGTTTGTATAAAATGTTTTATAGATGGTATTTGTCACCAAATAGGTCAGCTAAGATGTTTCCAAATATGTCAAATGGATGTTGGAAATGTAAATACAAATCAGGTACATTTTATCATATGTGGTGGACTTGTGATAAAGCAAAAAAGTATTGGATTAAAATACACAAATGGCTTGAGGAAATGTTACAAAAACCTTTAACATTTAAACCTGAAGTTTTCTTATTAGGCATTGTACCTGATGATCTTAGTAAACAAGCAATGTATTGGACTCTACATGTAACTACTGCGGCGAGGATTGCATTTGCCCAACACTGGAAGAGTGAAAAACCACCTTCCGATGAACTGATTCTAAAAATGATTTTGGACTGTGTGGAAATGGATAGACTGACTTTGTCTCTGAGGGAGAAAGAAGATACAGACTTCTATCAAACCTGGGATTCTTTTTATTATTGGCTAGAAACGGGACTATGCATAGACTTAAATATGTTTATAGTTTAACATAAAAAGAAAAAATGTGGGGGGCTGACCCAGCAAGTCTGATGTTTTCAATGACTGATGCTTTTTAGTTTCTTTTTGTTAGGTATATATTAAGAATAAAACTTAATAAAAAAAACCCAAACAAACAAGAAGGCAAGCGGTACTGGAGAAGACAATCATGTTAGGGAAATTCAAAAGCAGAAGATGAAAAGGAAAATCAAGTATGAGATGGATTGAAATCGTAAAGGAAGCCACAGCCTTGAACTTGGAAGAGCTGAATGAAGCTGTCATGGACAGGACATTCTGGGGGGTTTCATTCATAGGGTTGATTTAAGTCGGAGATGGCTTGATGGCACAAAACACAGAGATTTGTACATATCCCTAGCAATGAAATACATACAACTTTGCAGCGGTTATATACATAGGTTTCAACAAACGGGGACCAAATATCTAAATAAGTATCGGTATGAAAGAAATGTTTTCTGAAAAAGATGAAGCCTAAAATCCATAGCCGTGACAGGCAGATGCCAAAGAGGCAACCCAACAATTAGGCATTTTGTGGCGATGCCCTCAGTAGTGCCTGAGATTCCCCAGTGTGTCCATGGATCCAGAAAGGCTGGAGACCTCCAATGTACCCTTTTTGCTCACAGAAGAGAAAGGAATGGGCTACTAAGACCATAAACCAGGAACACAGACCTGCATCCAGAAGAAGAGTCGCTTGGATCCAGCCTTGAACTTCAACACATATACCCGGCCAGTAGTGCACTGGGGCACCCTCTTAAATTCACAGTCATCAGGAAAAATAATTAAGTCCTGAAATGCAAGGAAAGAAGAGTTCTAACACCCCTTGCAGGACAATCATTGGCTACTTTCTTAGTCAAGCTACAGCTAAAGTCTCTAATCATGGGTTTCAATAAGGTGCTCCAGAAACTGAGAAGTTAAGCATGTGATGCACGGTTGAGGAAATATACTCCTCTCCCCTTGGCAAAAACCACACATTTCAGGCTCATTTGGTGTCTTGCCCATTGAGGGGGAAAACAGAGTGTAGCTTCCACAAATCATAAACCTCAATGTCTTATGGTAACAACCCGAACCCACTCTCAATATGTAAGTCAGATTTCGATCTGGGTACCCACAGCTTCAAACTGGTCCCCTGTACTTACATCCTCCACGTTCCCCGAAGTCCTGTCTTTCCAACAGAAGTGAATGAGGGAATCATCTGTTTGCTGGATATATACGAGGCCTTTCCTCTTGTCTGGTGTGACAGTACTGCCTTTCAAGGACATCTTTCCTGCACGAAACTCTACCAAGTATTTGCTAGATGAGCCTCGGGAACCTGGTACCAGGCTTGGAAATAAAGCACCAGAAGACATCCTGGAACGAAACCAAGTTTTAGAATGACTATTTCACTCTGATACATGCAGCTTTACACCTAAACCCACAGATATGGTGGCAAAGGCATTTCTAGAATTCAGCTTAAGAGAAACAATCTGACTGCCTAAAAAGGCAAGCCTGAGCCAGAATTCCTGCAGACTTAAACTTTTTCTCAAGAAGAACTTCTTCAGCTGGACTGAACAAGTCACAGCAACGTTTCCAATTGAGGACGGACTACATATTGAAGATACAGACAACACAGACCAACAGTCCAAGTAGCTCAGCAGTAACAATCATCTTGATTCAATCTTGTACATCTTGCAGCTATGCCTTTCCTTTTCTATGATTTCCAAGCGGACAAAACAGACTCTTCACAAAGGTCTACAGCACCAATCCTCCAACCTTCCTCCAGTCTCTTCACAAGATTTAGGAGGTTCTGCGAGAAGAGCATCTAGCATCAAAGCCTTTGAGTGATGTAGATAAGCGATGGCTGAAAGGAGGCTCCAGGATCTGGACACAAAAGAATCAGAAAGTCAGTATTACAGCACACTAAGTCTCAAAAAAGTGTTAGCATTCCTGCCATTGAGATAACAGTTAATAGTTTCATTTACATACACCTGGGATGGGAGGAATTCTATATCAATACAAAGTATGAGATCCATCCCAGGAAGGAATCAACAAGTTTTGCTTCTACTTTAAAGTGTGCAAGTCCCTCCCAATCCTAAGACTAATTAAAAAAAAAGTTTAATCCTACACATTTCCAAAAAACAACAGCAGTTTAACAGCTAGACCAAAGCTCGCAGCAAAATAAAAACATCATGATTGACAGTGGATTCTTCAAGGACTTAGCAGGGCATTATAAACAAGCTGTCACATACAGAGTCATCCTGTGCTTTGTGGGGTGCATGTATGAAATATTAGATGGTTGGGGCAATGCAAATACAGAAACCATTTGCACACTGTAACTAAAGTACTACTCACCAATACACCCCTTCAGAGCTTCAAGTGATCCTGAGGCCCTCTTGTGCCATTCTTGACTCCAAACTGGTAAAGCTGTACAAGGCTTTCCTCCTGATCATGTTCTGTTGAGCTATGGGGAACTTGAATCCATAAGAAGCGAGTGGCAGCAAAAGGATTCTTGAGGACTAAATCAGCACTCCACGCAACAGGCAATCTCTTCTTGCATTCAGGGCAGGCTTCCCAACATGGCTTTGCCACCTCTCATTGCTACACCAAGCTTTCAGATGGTATTGTTTGCTGATTACTTGAAGCTCCTTCAAATACATTCCTCTGCTCAAGGGTCAAGAACTCCCAGTCTTGACACAAGACATTTTTATTTTCATTATACAAAGGTGGCAATTACACAAGAGAGTAGAAGTTAGAAACAAAGATGCTTAACAGGCAGCACTTCCTTTTAATACAAAATGTCCAACTTAATGACCACAATCACTATTCTAATAAATCTACTCCATTTGACAGCTACACTATATATAGATTTCCTATTCTTCTATCTATAGTTTGTTAATTGGCTCTTTTCTGCTACAGGCAAATTTGTAAAGAATCACTCACAGATGACAATAATACATTCTACCAGTATCTTGCCAAAATTAATTCAGCTATAATTAATAGTTTTAGTAGGGGGAAATCATATAAACAATATACTATTTGGAATAGGTAAAAGCCCAACTATTTGTATAAAAATGGGGTCAAGAAAGATTGCCAACATTATAGAGCTATTCATATAACACAATATCCCCATGATGCAGCTGCAGCACATACGGCTGTCATTTTGAATATATAAATCATGTCATGCAAACCTGGTAAGCATGGATTGTGCCAGAGTTCAACAGACCATAGTTTCCTTGTCTCCTGCTCATCAAGCTTGTACAACATGAAAATCCCTGAGCAGGGGTCCCATGGTTTCTCCAAACCTAGTCTATAAGTCTCCATAAAATACTACACAGCTACATACATCTTTCAGGAGGGGAAATCATTGGACAGTAACTAATGGTGACTAGCTGTGCAGGCCAATTCTTCCGCACAAACATTTATTGTGCAATGGTGACTTAGCATCCCCAGAAGCAACCATACTTATTCCTGGAAGGGGTCCGGCTTATGGAGCTTGCTCAAGTTGGAGTAGGACTTATGAATAGATGGGCAAGACTGGAGTCTACCAAGGTGGGGATCCATTTTCTTGGGCCATTATACTACAGGATATCTATCAAGTTATTCAGGACAATAGTTTTAGAACTGGGGTCACTCTGCAAATACAAAATTTGGTAATTTTAGAAACCAGTAATTAGCCTTCCTAATTATAGATGTGTCACAAGTTGGGCTTTGTCATGCTCAGCAGTCACCAGCCACAAGCCCTTTCTTGACAAATCTATTATTTCTGCATATTAATCACCCAGCTATGTCTTTGAGCATACACAAAGTGGTTAGTTGACCCCAGTCTAGTGATCACTCCCCAAAACTCGCCTTATGAGTTCCAACCCTTGGGGAGGAGACCTGGGAAAGCATGCACACCTCCGTTCTACACTCTTCACATCCAACTGCACTTCCCACATCTGCTGCCACCTAGCCGTGGGACCCAGCTCAGGAGGAAATGAACAGTGCCCATTTAAATTCTCCCTCCACTCAGTGACCCCTCCCACTGGCTGCATTTCCTTCCCATTCCCATGGTCTGGGAGCACCTCCTCCATGTCCTAGCTAGTCCCCTTCTGGAATCATCTTTTTCAACTGAGGTCCACATATCCTCAGCAGCACACAGTGCCTCGGTGCCTTCTACCAGCTTTGGCTGGTGGCCCAGTTACACCACTGTCAGGATAGGAATAATCTGGTTCTAGTAATCTATCCATAGTCTCCAAGATAGATTACTGCAAACACTGTGCGTGGGTCTGCCTCAGAGACTGTTCAGAAACTGCAGTTTCTGCAAAATGCAGCAGCCAGACTGATATTTGGGATAGTAAGGTCCAATCCACAGAGAGGTCCGCCTGGCGCCGTCGTTATTTGTTTTTCGGCACCAGGCGAAGACCTTTTTATTTAAGTATCATTTTAATTGTTAACAGTATTTGCTTATTTTATCTGGCCAGGGTGACTTATTTTATATTGTTATTTATTTTATATTGTTATTTTTGTATTTTACTTCATGTTTTGAGCCGCCCCGAGGCTTCGGCGAATGGGGCGGCATAGAAATGTTTTAATAAATAAATAAATCATAGAACACCAATTCTGGTCTGCTTGTACTGGCTGCCTGCATACTTCCAAGCCCAATTTAAGGTACTGGTTCTAACTATAAAACCTCACACTGCTTGGTACTACAATATCTGAAAGGGTGCCTCTCCTGACCTAATTTTACACAGACAGAGCAATCAATATATGAAGCCTTCCCCTGAATGGCTGCTCTGAGGAAAGCTTGCAGGGCTGCATTTGGGGTGCTCCCCAATTATGCAATAATTGCCCTATTTTGGCCTGACTGGCACAAAATTTGAGGAAAATTTGAGATGGAGAGATGTCAGTGGTAAAAGTAAACACTTTGCAAATTATTCATCAAATGTACAACAGCAATAACTATTGCTACTGTTTACAATTTTGAATCGGTTAGACTGTAAACACCACCCCACCATGTTCTTACAATGGAAGTTAACCCTAACCTAGGGTTTCATCCTAAAACTAGCCTGAAAGATTGCCGCAAAAGCTCATCCTGCATATTTTTAAAGTAATTTGAACAGGAATTTGAGGTCATGTGCAATGTTTTATTATAGGATGGAGGCTGGTGAGTGGGAAAACAATAAAGAACATAGAAAAAAATTAAAGAACTACCTTACATTCATATATTCAACAGAATGAGAAGCAAGAGTGAATTGTACCACCATCACCTGAAGGCTTGGTGGTAATCAAAACTTTAAACACTCCTGTACATCATATATACTCATCACAAAAATCTGCAAATGCCTTATCTAGCCAAAGGGGCACATGGAGGCATCTCCCTGCTTGGGGGAATACAAAGGATCACAGAAGTACCAAGTTTACTATACTAGAGTATTTTACAGTTTTAAGTTTTGTGATCTACCCACCAAACTGAAGCTATTGAGCAGTCCAGAAATGTAACAAATAAAATGTCCACCTAAGCCCAAAAACAATCCAATCAAGGCTGTACATTCTTAGCAACACAACTTCAAGTTATTTTTTTTTGGGGGGGGGGAGTGGGGAAGAGGTAACAAGGGAAGGGGAATGGATTGAGGTACCACAGAAAGGGCAAGGCAGGCCAAGCGCTCTCATGCAGCGTTCTGCTGCAAGCGCAGCCTCTTAAATAATAATTAAAAGGGGGGAAAAGGCGAAGAGAATTAGTTCCTTGCAAGCAGAAAGTTAGCTCATCACGGATAACAGAAGAGACCAAGCCTCTTTTTTGTCCACCCATGTGCTCGCAATTTCACCCTCTTCTTTCAGGAACTTTCCAAAATAATTACTTTTGATTTGCCTTTACCGGGAAGGGGTGGGGGGAGAAGGCAAAGATTACAGAAAGGAAGCATCATTTTCTCCTCTGCATCCTAAGGCGGTCTTCCCGACTCTTCCCCCCTCGCTCGACTCTTTCCCACGCCGGCCTGTTTCACTAGCAGTTTCCTCAGCCTCGCCCAGGAGCGCCCCTTCCCGCACAGCCGAACCCTCTCCTAGCCCCTCAATTAGTCCCCGGGCTCCCTCTTTAGTCGCCCTAAGCACCTTCCCACCGATCCGGCACCCCACAAACACGCACCTGAGCCCCAGCAGAAGCCGACCCCGCCCAGGATTACCTGCCACCTAGGTGCACCCCACCTCTCTTCCCCCTCAGACGTTCCCGCACTTCCTTCCGACTCCCTGAGGGGCTTCTCCTTGTCACGCCGGAAGCCCGCCCTCCATCCGGAGTCTCCTATTGGTTGACAAGTTCCTTCCCGGCGCAGCCGCACTGGTTGGACGCTTCTGCCACTCACAAACAACCGGACAGTCCCAGCATACACCGCGGCCACGAGCCTCTTTCGCCCCGCCTTCGCGGTCTTCCGGCCATCGTGCTGCGTCATGTCGGCCAGCGGAAAAGCTGTGGGGGGAGGGGCAAGTCTCGGCCTCTAGCGGCGCCCATTAGACTTACATGCGGACTGTACCATTTATGGTGACGGGGGAAGGAAGAGCGCTGTCCATGCTAGAAGTCTTGTCTGACTGTGGAACACTGGCTGGCTCTAATCAAGAATTTGAAAGCTAGTTAGCTACCTTCTAGTTTTTATTTATTATATTTATGGTCCGCCTTTTTTCTTTTGAGTAACACAAGGCAGCTTGCATCGTGCTCCTCCTCCTGCTCTCAATCTTATCCCCTCAACAACAACCCTGTGAGGTAGGCTGGGCTGAGAGCCAGGGACTGGCCCAAAGTCCACCCAGGTGGCTCCTGGCCCAGATCGTTTGCGTTCCAGTCCCACGCTCTTAACCACAATACCACACTGGCTCTCTTGTTTATTTCACACAAACCTCGGTCGTGCTACTAGAAAACTTAGAACCACAGTAACTATGAGCTGCTGTTCATGAGGGATTTATCCCAGCTTTTCCAAGGATCCCGGATTCTTAGGAGTCGCTCCCACAGCGCCAGATGCGGTCAAAGGAGGCGACTGGCTCGAGACCATCCATCTGCCTGTGCAGAGATCCAAGCCCAGTACTCGCTGTGCCCAGTCGCCAGAAGGGCGATCGGGGTTCAGGCTGGGGGCCCACCTGGTCCTCCAGGCCTGCTACCAGCGGCTTCCTCGCAGAGGGCAGCCCGCCTCTGCCTGCCGGCTCCTGGGAAGCAGAAGCTGCGGGGCGAGTCTGGTGGGCTTCCCCTGGAGGCATCTCGCCGACCTCCGTGGAAGCAGGACGCTGGGCTTGGCAGGCTGGTGCTGCGCGGATAAGAGGGGTGGCAGAGCCCGAAAGTGGGAGAGGACATCTGGGCCACCCTCAGCCCTTATCAGTTATGAAGGCGACGCTGACGTTTGAGACCAAAGCTTTCTGTATCTTGTAACTGGGGCTTAGTCTGTAAAAGGAGGGCTCCCAGGTTGCAAACGAAGGACTAGTGCTCTGTCCATATGCTGACCCCTGCCCCCCTTTCAGCCAGCATGCACACCGGGCAACGCTGCAAGTTTCACCGTCCTGGTTAACTCTCTCAAACACTCCCGACAGTCCACACTCCCAAAGGTTGGTCCTAAACCTAGGGAGAGAGTATGCTTGTGTTCATTATTCTGGATTAGGACTTTTTCGGAATAGGACTTTTGCAATTAGTGCAACTGCGAAATTGACCACTTCAGTGGGAGAGTCCGCATCACTGTAGCAGTGCCTCGTTTATCTTGGAGGCCGAGTCCTTCACTAAAAATCAGATTTGCAAGGCTGAAATTTTGCAAATACGCTGCACTGTACTGGTTGTCCAGGGAACCAGGGAAGAGCACCATCCAGAAAGGGAAGTGCTATGATGAGATAAAATGAGGAAGAGCAGCGCAGGAGTCTTCTTGCTGGGGCTCAAGCGGTGAAAGCACAAAAGAGCAGTCTCAAGTTGGCAATCTGAGCACAGCAGCAGTTCAGTCAATGACAAGCAAATATGGGCAGGATGTCATTTTTCCTTTTTCATTTCTATGCAAGATCCTCAGCCAGGATCCCTGGCTCCAACATGGCAATGCAGATCCCTGGACTGAAGTCGACATGGTGATTTCTTTTTTTCAAGCCAAGTCAGGGCCAGCCCAACCCGGCTAGAGGGCAAAGCAATCCGATCAGAAAGGTGAAGGCAGCAACCGGAGTTAGAATGTTGCCACAAGGTGCTTTAAAGTGCTAGTGGCAGTGTGAGGAGGAGGAGGAGGAGGAATATACTCCCTCCATTCGGCTCTGCTTCAGGCAACGAGTCTTGGATCTGCACTGGATGGAGCGACTTTCTCTCCAACTTTGTCCAGTGCATCAGAACGAGGAGGGAGAGGAAAACGTCAAGTGACAAAAGCCTAAACAACACATCTTCTCCAAAACAACCTTTATTTGCATTTACATTTTTAACATTTATGTCCACAAACCTGTACAGACTTCTAAAAAGGTAAATATGATTTTTGTATAGTTAATATAGATGGGTATTGACAGTTATTAAATATTATAAAAATAAATTCATTTCACTAAAGCCTTTTTATTAATAACCTCTGACATGTTCATGCAACATGGCTAAGGCTAAACAAAAACAAAAAACAAAGAAACCCGCACACACGCACACACACAGCGGGCACACTCTGCTAGGAACTGCTGTCCAGCACAAACCACGGTGAAATAACCTGGAGCAGCACAAGCTTACAGCCCACTTGGCTGGGGCAATGTAAAAACTCTTGTGCAAGCCCCCATTTATAAGGTTTGCACCAAAGCACTTCCAGGTGGATTGTGCAGTGTATGTGAATCATTACTAACAGGGATACCGCAAAGTAAGTAAGGCAAAATAGAACAGCATAGCAGCAGCAGAGTGGACTGGTAAACTGGGGAAGGCAGATATATAGAGATAGGTTTGTTTTTTCCATGCTATAAAAACCATACTAAAAAATCAATTTCTGTGTTAGAACTATTAGCTTTACATAAATTTAAATATTGCTGTATTTTTACAATTAACCCCAAACCACATATTTGTTTTGAGTGGTGACATTACCGTACATTATCAAATTAATATAAGAATTAAAACACTACATAAACAGGAACATCTACGTTTTATCTGCAACATTAAAATACACAGATTACAGTGAACAGGAAAAGACCATACCAGGCACCTGAACATTTTGGATGTTTATTCCACAAAGTCTTTCACTTTTTTCCAGAACAAGCTACCTGAATGTTACAGTTAGTGATCATAAGGCTCTTGCAACTTCTCTAGATTTGGGAGGGATCTCTACGGAGCGAAAATTATTTCAGAATGCCAATGATGTTTACCATTTGCTTATATTTGATCATTGAGGGAAGAATCCTATGGTCCCTGAGGCAGCATCAGAAGGGCTACAGAATAGTCAGATTCTTAGATCTAAGGCTGGAGATGGTGCTTCAGTCTTGGAGCTGGGAATCTAAGCTCTGATTCCTGCCCTCACCCCTTTCAGCCAGCATGCAAAAAAAAAAAAAAAAAAAAAAAAAAAACCCTGCACTGGCTGCTGTCCAAGTTTAGGAAAGCAACCCCAGAGAGGGCTTAAAGGGGGTGTTTTGGGGGCAGAGGGAGGAGAGGAAACAGGAGATATGAGATGTCCTGCAGCCGCTGTAGCCTCCTTCCTTCCTCCATTCCAGGTAGGCTGGCAAAAAATGTCCATCTAACAGGCAGGAGGAAAAGCAAGTGAAACTTGCCACCAGTCCTGCCCTGCACAGGATACCCATAAACTTCTGAGTTTGGGGGCTTGCAGGAATAACAGTAAGATTTCATCATACACTAAGTATATGATTTAAAAGCTGTACTTATGTAGACATTTTAATCTAACCAAGGTTCTTAACTGGGAAGCTAAGGATTGGCTAGTGCGCCAAGATAACACAGCTCTACACTGTATGATCCATCCCAAGTGGTAGGCAAGATGCAATAGCAGCAAACCCAATTATACTTCTGTATCTTAATGCAAATAAAGTTTTTACCAAACTCAGTCCATCGGGAAGGTTCTATTTTCAGAGTGTTCCTTTTAACTTTAAAAAGTAGTATGATAAAACAAATAATTACCAAACAGGAGTTCAAATCTTCTTTTACTGTAAGGGGGAAAAAAATATAACTATTTCTTCCCATTAATGGCACCCTTGCCAGAGGTTTCAGTGCATTAGTAGTGTTACGTATATCTGAAATCTTGTCAAATCAGTGTAAGAATAATGCAGGCAACTCTGCTGCCTGCTGAAAGGGGCAGGGTTGGATGAAGCCTATCAAAGTTTGTGGACACATTCCATTTCCGCAGAAATTACATCTGGGTCATTTGTTTTATCCCAAATTAAAAACCTGCTGCCGTCATGCTATGCCAGAGGTAGACAAATGGTCCCCCTCTTGCTTACTTCTAAGCATTGCATTAGTGATATGGTTGTATCTATCTGTTACCTGTTGGCACAGCAAGGAGCAAAGCTACAACCCCAAGCAAAGCTCCAGAGAGCGCAGGTACACATGGAGCCTTGTGCCCTTGGAACTTTCCCATTTACTTCAATGGCACAGACAGCTCCACAGAAGCACTGGGGATGCACATGTGGAATTCTACCAAGCGCTGAAGCAGGGCGGGTTGGGAAGTAAGCCCTCTTCATGTAACTCTATGCACATCAAAGCTTTAGGGTCCCCACCAGCACCCCTGGACTGGGTCTAATGTGAGCACAAGCCTTAACTCATACCTTAACTCATATCAGGATAGGTGTAATGGAAGGGGAGCAGCCAAGAAAATAAGTAACTATTCTCCACATAAAAATATTTACTTTAAGTTAATATCTATCTTAATATTTAACATGATTAATTTTAAAAGTGCTTTTTCCCATGGAGATGGTCAACTTTGCAAGGCAGTGTTTTAATTCTGAAGGTGTTAATGAGAAGTCCAGGTAAACTGTAAAAGTAGCGGAGTATACTTTTCTTTTTAAAGATGGTTTAACATTATAGTTAAAGTTTAAAGGGTCTCAGACTTTCATGTGCATTTTAATCAGAATCTATTTAGATGTATTTTATTTACATAGCAACCTGTGCTAGCAATGAGAGAGGTTAGAAATTAAAGGTGAGTATGGGAGGATGCGTTCGCAATTTTATAAGAAGTGTTTTCCAGTAAAATCCATCATTTATTGCGAAAAGATCACTGAACGACACCTCCCACCATTTCTATCAGGCTAGGTGGCAACTCTGGGATTCTTCCAAGTAGAACCCAGTGCCCTTTACTTGTCCTATTTTAAACAGATCTGCTTGAGAACAGCCAGGCAAGCAAGACATTAGCATGGTGCATGCTATAGAAAGGAGGACAGGATATGCAACATGCGGCCATGATTTAAATCATTTCAAAGGTGGGCTTGAACAGCAAGGGAAATTACCCAAATTACTCTTCCTTTCAAATCAACTTAAGCATACCACAGAAGGGCAGGAAAATATGCATTTTTAAATAATGAAACATTTCAAAACATTCTGGATGACTTTCATCTCATTTGCTATTTAGATGGTGTATCCATTGTATTAAAAAAATTTAAGGCTAGGACAACTGTTTTTTCTGCAATTCAAAATGTAAGCAATCTCTTCTAAGTATTAATGTAAGATGCTTCTACATGTCTGTATGTGCAAGGCAGAAATAGTTTTAACATTGATAATAACGAATGTCCAAACTTCTACTCATAAGGGGCTCAGGGCCTCAAACCAAGAAGGAACACTTTCCTGTCGCAGCTAATAGGCTTTCAAATATTCCACGTCCAACAGGTGGCTCTGTATGGCAACTAGCCTCTCGATCCAGAGGTCTGCAGCTCAGGTAGACTTTGCCTCAGTGGCACACTTGCAGCGGAAAATGCCTGGACCGCAGACATCAACTTCAGTGGGGAGGGAAAAGCAACTCCGTATGGGCATCCTACCCCCTCCAGCTGCCAATAACTGTCTGGCTAAATATGTGGGGAGATCACAAAATCTACTGTTCCCTGGATCAAGAAGAACGTTGGGTTCAGTAGCCTTCGTAACTGTCTACACATTGTCTGGCAGGGTATTCATTCACTAAAAGGGGAAAAGGGAAATAGGTAAGGTGGAGTAGCCTAGTTGTGAGGCTGCAGTGACCTAAAGGAAGGCATTCATCTAGCACTTTGAAGCCCCAAGGAATGTAGAACAAGAAACTGGAGTATTGGTAGATTACACCCAAAGATAACATCAAGGTAAGTGCTATCAACAATGTACATTAGTCCAAGATCTTTCTCTCAGTAGTGCTTTTTATTGCCTTAAATGTTTTCATGGGAACTTCTGGAAAATTCAATGAAATGTGACTAAATGTGTTACACGTCAAGTTTCCCATAAGCACTGTATAAAAATGCCAACGTAATTCCCAAACTATGTTTGTATAAATGTCTCTGAAACTTGTCTACTTTAGCTGCTCTTCAGACATCAAGTCTTAGGTTGAGGTTTGCAAGTATGAAGCTTCCAAAGCTATGTGAAAATCAGCCAGACTGGACACTTTAAATATCTAAGGAGTAAATTAAAAATATCCAGAGTGTTGTAAGCCCACCAATTAACCAAGCATTCAATGACTAATTCATTTAAATCACTCATGTTTTCTCAATCTGTTACTGTACACTGAAGGGCAACGCTCTTCAACAGATTGTACAAATCTAACAGTTACTTTTTGAAAAGATCTGGTGAACTGCCAATCAAGACTTTTTTTTTTTAAAGGCCACACTTATTGTCAGTAATGTTTACTTTACTACTATAAATGTCTAAAAGAAAAACACTTTCCTTACACAATTCAAACAACTCAGGGATTATTTGGCTTTGACATGTTTAAATCTGGAAAAAAGAAATCCACTCAGAAGGTAATTAAATCCAGTCAGAAGTTCCATGAATGCTTCTGGTATATCACTTAGCTTTAGCTGCAAGGCTGTAGGACAAGAATTGCTTTTCCATAAAGTATTATTAGTTTTGATGCAGAAAATGTTTCAGAACATGTATTTTAAAAAGCCCAAGGAAACATGACCATTTTGCAGAGATGGTCAAAATAAATCCGAAGAGAAAGAAGGATGTGTATGTTTGTGAATAAGTCTAAAAATCCTGCCGAAAGCAGCACTGGAGGAAAACCATCTTAGAACAAAAGCAAAAACATAGAGTTCCTTTCATGATATACACATGACACCCAGCTTTCTATAAATATCTCCAAAGCCTTCTATTTTTAAAAACAAAATATTCTGAAACTTGACTGGTAGGTGTTTGTTTTGAACACCTACAAACCACACCAACATTCAAATTTTGAAGTTTGTTTAAAAAAATAAATCATAGGTACTTCATTTAATTGATAATCACAGTGCCCAAACATCAAAACAAAACAGAGTAACAGGTTCTGAGACTGCAGGTTAAGCATATTGCTCTCTGCTACAGTTGTTAAGGATTTAAAACCGGGGGCTTTTCAGGTGATAACCAACAATTCCATCCACTACAATTTTTGTTAAGATTCCTCACCAGTGGTCACAGCTATCTTTCTATCCTATCAATCCATCACTGTTGCTCTGAGTTGTGAATACTTAAAAGGTATCCTTGATGGCTGAAATCTAAGAAATGACTTAGCGATCGTCTCACATTTATTAAACATGCTGCCTCCCCACCAACACCAGCATGTTAATTTTGGCCAAAAATAAAATCTAAAATGTTAACTAGAAGGAAAACAAACACAAACATGCAAGCCCCTTTCCTCTGAACCATTTTGAATGATAGCTTCAGGGAAGGAAATAACAGCACTTGAATATTTTGGCAATCAAAATTAAATGACAAATCCTTGTTCCGTGACCGATAATTTTCACTGAAATTTTGCTTGAGAAAGGTTTTCTGCTTGTGACACGCCAGAGAGTCACAAGATTCTCTGAAGACTACCAGCCCTGGACATAGGAGCAACCGTGCTCAAGATTTCAGTATATATCTGGACAGTCAAAGAAGTTCCTGTCGAAGTACCCTCCTGAGTAGAGCCAGTCAGACGTCCTAGTATATGGATTAGTGCCTTGATAAAACCATCTGTTAAAAAAGAAAGCATAAAAGGAAATACCATTAAGTGCAGCAATAAATAACAGTTGGTGAACTGAATTCCAGTTCTTACATACATAGAATGAGGAATTAAAGGATCTGGCATCTTAGGCCATTAAATATCATCAGTCCTTTACAGATGCTGCTGCCATATAGCTTTTTAAAACAGCACACATGCCTCTGAGAATAAAAGGCTGCACAAACTGATTTGTACAGTCTGGACTGTGAGCCAAATGTCAAACTCTTCCAGCCTCTCTGTTCATGCATAGAGCACATGACTTCTAACAAGTGTATTACATGAAGTGAGTGATCTCGATAACTTGGCAATGTAAAGACACAGGGATGAGAAGATGCAGATTGCAACCTGATGAAATGCCATGCAATTACCCCTGCACAGGCTCCAGACCTAGCAAACCATTTCCTTCCCCAGCCACATAAGTTACCTTGTCCTCCACTCGGTTTCATCTTTTGCACGTTCTTTACGAGCAGCTCTCTGCTTCTCTTCTAGCCTCTCTTTTTCTTTGCTAGCCAGATCTAACAGACATTTCAATAGGGATTGATTACTTCATAAAATAAGGAGAAAAAGTACAGAAGGAATGGAAAGGTGGAGAAACAAAGTCCAGATGATTTTAATAACAAGTTCAACACATCTATATGATACAGAGCAGGTTATTTGCATTTCAGTCTGAGCAATTTAATGGCCAAACTCCTAAAACCAAAACTAAATTAAAAACAGAAGACCAAGATTACCATTCCAGATAAACCCATCCACTACCTTCTTACCTTTGGCCACAGAACAAAACCCAAGCTTGGTCTGGCAAATTACTCAAAATGGCAAATTTCCTAAGGGTTGGAAATTGGCCTCTGTGCACTCAACAAGAGGCACGTGGCCAAGATCTACTGCAGCTGCACCTTCTCCTTTCTCAAAGCAAAAATACCAAACCGCAACACCACAGCATGGCCCCAATATTACTGTGGCACAATGGACAGATCTGAATTAGGAGAAAACACTGGAGCTGCATCACCAATACAACTTGGCGGAAATGACCCAGCATTAAATCATCACGGTGTTGTTCTGGCCTGCCCTTCTAATATTTTGGAATCATCATTCAGAATATTTGATATTCGAAGCTTTCCAGAGAGCATTATACAGTTAGTAGATATGTGGCTATGTTATTTTCAAATGACCCATTCCAATATCCACCCATCAGTGCATTTCCATTCATGTGTAATCAGCTACAGTGCTCCTGACACTCGTTGAAGGGGGAGACGTTAATCCCTGAATAGATATAAACAAAATCAAATCACTTTTATCCGCCCACTCTCACCTACCTATCTCTCCGTTCTCCATGTGCCTGATATCTGGTCTCAGTCGACAGTCTGTAGGAGCCAGCACTTCTTCCATACCCTTTTCTAGTTCATTGAGGCTTACGGCAAAACTGGTGAAATTGTACATCTTAAGTAAAAACAGAGAACATAAAAAACATGTATATGTTGTTAGCAGCCCATGCTGACATTAGCTGCCATCTAGACTGGTCTTCTATGGAAGTGCCCACCACCGTGAAGAACAGTGATTAATAATTCTCCCCTTTAGGCAAGATGGCAGTGGATATGTTGGTAGAGAGACTCTACACATACTTGGTCATACCACCTGCCCCAGACAGAGCCCATACAATAATTCTCAAAATATTCCAGATCTGAGCATTTATGTATGAAACCAAGGGAGTCCCCAATTAAAATCTTGTCTCTACCACGAACTCGCCAGCCCCTCTGTAAATCTTGCCTCCTCCCCATTTATAATAGGGAGATTACGCGGAAGAATGATAACTATAGGGGTTATTCAAAAACTGAAACAATCCCCTACCTTTAGGCATTTTTGTCATCAACTCAAGACCTTCCTGTTCTGGCAGCCTATGACTGGCTCTTTCTGGGCTTATTATGGCTTTTACTGTTATCTGCTGCTCCTTGTCTGTTTTTATATTTGTGTTTTCAATTTCTTTTTAATTTTTGATAAAAGCTGCCTTGGGCATTTCAATCTGAAATGCAAACACAGGTATCATGTGGACTTATGCTCTGAAATTTGTGTTTCCTTTAGGATGATCTAAAAGATAGCTACTTAAGACTACTGGTGTTTCCAGTAGTCAAGCTAGCTAGTTTATGATAAACCATGGTTTATTTACCGCGATGGAAATAAAGCCCAGTGCTTACCTGCTTGCCATTTTCACCCCTGGCATGACTGCAAGGAAGAGCTGGAAGTTTTTGTTTAACTGGAGTTTAGCATTGCATCTTGAACCCTATATGTCTGATAGGCTTAATTACACTTTGATGCGAATTTGTTTCTTTAATTAATTAAAATTAGCTAGTTTTGCTGGAGAAGATGACATGCTGATGTTAATCAAAAACAGAAATGACAGCTTCTGATTTCCTCATTGTCAAGTCAAATGAGGAGGAGGTACATATGAGCCTGAAGCTGACTGTGGCTTATTTCTATCATCATCCGTGGTGCACAGTGACACAAATGGTCAGTGATCAACATTTTCTACTTCTTTGTTGTTTTCTACTCATTAATTAGCAACTCCACACAATTGCTTTGAAGACTAGGAAAGTAATGCTTTACCTGCCTATCACATGCAAATCCTCACTGTACCCTATAATTGTTACTAGTCCCATGGAGGAAAATCTTCCATGACAGAAGTCAAGTCACTTTTTAAGCCCACCACTTCCTAGCAGAACAAGAAAAACAGAAGGTTTTCCTGTACCTGAATCCATCAGTTTTAGTACTTTGGGCACTTGGTCTGGATGGAAAGACGTTTACTTGTTTTCAAGTAGCCATAAAGTTCCATAACGGGAAAACAGAACTGTAAAAAAGTTTCTTTCTTTCTGGCCCAATATAGATTCTTTACCAAAGACAGGCATAGGCAGGTCTGGCTAAATATGATGTGAATACTTCATTCCAAAATCAAATACACTTTTTAATGGGCCTACTTTTATTGAAGAATTAAGATGCCTGGGCATCTGTTTATTCATCTGTATGAAGCCTGCTTGAACACTGCAGATTTGCTGATGAGAAAGGAACACCTTAGCTTGTATAGCACTAGCTTGTATAAGAGGACAGATAAGGCAAAGCAGTAACGGATGATGATACGTAGAGCAAAAAAATAAAGGGGATGAAAAAATGAGCAGAAAGAAGTACAAAGTAACAGCAAAAATCTTTTGAAAAGGGCAAATTCACTTCTCACATAACTGCTAAAACCACAGAAAGGAAAGCCCAGAAAATCCATTTAAAAATGCAGACTGCAGTAAGAGGGGACTTTCAGTCTCAATGGCGCAGCCCGACTAAACATCAATTGTCTTATGCCGATTCGTCTTTAAGACTGAATATAACACTTCTTTTCAAATGTGTTTGCTTAGTGACAGGAATACAGCACAGGGAATATTTAAAAACAGTGCCCTTTGCTAATGCATGTGACACGTGGATGATGCAAAAAATGACCACCAAAGGGTGACAAAAACTGTAGCATGCAGCAAATGTGGAACAGTAATAAAGCAGATGGGAGAGAGTCTTTAGAGAAAAACAAACTGAAAAGGAGGAGAAACATTCAGCTGGATCACCTCATTCATGAAAGGCGATCAGACAAAGAAAGCTCTCAGCAATGCGGTCTGCGCAGTCCAAGAGAAACTGAGAGGAAAGGCGTAAGCTCCATGCCCTAAACATGCAGCAATGGGAGAGGAGGGCAGGCGGCTATCTAAATGTCTCAGCTCTGGAAAGTTTTGATGGTGGCTCTTTGCATGTGCTGAACCCATGTGTGTGTCTGTGTGTGCGTTGAACAAAGACCCACAAACAAGAACGGTTAATTTCAAAACATATTCAGAAGCAGTTATCACAGCTATTTGGCTGGAGGCTTCAACATGACCTCATTCCAAGGATCAGATCCGGAAGCAGCATTTGTGAACAAAAGAGGAAACCATGTTGAATGTTCCGATCTTATAATTTTACAATGCTAACAGTACTTAATATTAATGCAACTATAGACTAAGTGACAAGCTGAATGATTCAAAATGGATGCCCAATGCCTCTATTGGGTAACGTGTTCTTTAGACTCTTATAGGCTGTTACCCTTGGTGACTTGGATTAAAGAAAGGATTTGGAAAAAAAACCCTAAATAAAATGCCGGTGACTTCTAACAAGAATGTCATTCAAGCTGCGTTCTAGAGCTAAGTACCAGAATCAGTTCTGGGAGGAAGCTGGCAGTAGCATATATATTGTCACGCAGTCTCACAATTCAGACTGTGGCTAAGCATTGTGCCCAGAGGATGTTGTCCAAATGCTCATCCTGCACTACCATTTGACCCAAACAACTGTTCAAGCAAACATGGAACATCAAGTCATGCACTCTTTGAACAGACCTTGGCTCTGGATGGCTTGTCAAGCACCCCAACAACCCACTATCACCAGGTTCGCACATAACAGGACACTATGGAGCACCGCACCATACCCCGAATGGTTGTGGCCACTGCAGCAAGAAACCTTACAGGAAAAGTCACCCATAGTAGCTTCTTACTGCATGTGAACCACATCATTCTCTCTCTTCAAGTGCTGCAGCCTCCAAAATAGTAAAAGCCTTGGTAAGAAATGCCTATGTAGATACATATTTTCAGATCTGAAGTTTAGCACTTTTAAGGTTCATTTCCGATTGTCTATTTGTACTGGGTCTTTTTTTTATCCCCTCTCCCAGGTTACCAATGATCAGTTCACTGACCTGAGATGAATTTGCTGGTCTGGAGCTTATCCTCCAAAGTAGTTTACTGCCAGGTATGACTTGCACAGTCTCTTGGATCTCTGGCATATCATCAGCGTCATCATTTTCAGGATCTTCACTCTTAAAACAAAACACATGATAGCCCCTGTTAACTCAGGAGAATGTCAGTTTCAAAGTGTTTGATTCCCCTCTTGGAATTCTACACAGGTTTCAGACATAGGAGAGTTTCTTCAATAAACCACAGCTCATTGCTGCATGAACAAGGGATAAGCTTTAATGTCCTGTTCGCCCATTTCCATTTTTTGCAACCCAGCTACAGATCATACTTTCTAGTATTGAATACCTCTTCTGGTATTCTGACCCAAGCCCTGATACTCTCTTGAGACACTCTGCTCTGAATCCCCTTGCATAGCTACAGTTTGATGCTTCAGTCACAGCCTCCTTTCACTGCTGTTTTGACGGTTTTCCAGAGTTTCCAAATGAGCAACTGGGGAATATTTATGTTTTAAATTTTGGCCCCAGTAATGCGAGCAACTTAAAAAAAAACCCTCTTCATTAATCTTTCGCATTTGTTATCCTATGGCTTTCTAATATATATAGTTTTGTCTGAGATTCAGCTCTCAAATGCTAAGAGATTGACGAGGCAAGACTGTACCTAGGCTTAGCTGCCAACAGTGGACAATTGTCAGTACCCTAGCTATCTACTGGAAATCACTGGCAAAGAGGAAGAAAAGAGGGGAAGACTAGTCACACCCCTTATTGATGTAATCCTCATGACTGCCACCTTTCTTCATCCTGGCTCGAGTCTCTGGGTAGTCAGAAAGCAGAGATCTTAAGGCTATCCCCTTTCAACAGCTCCTTTTTTGGAGTTGTTATTGCAGTTTCAGGACAGCCATCAAACAACCCTGAGAAGGTAACCAAATAGGGCGGAATGAATGTAGCCACACTGAAAGTTTTGCAGGTGTCAAGGCTGACAAGTAAATGGAGGGTAAATACAATACAGATTTCCTATCCATTTACTTTTTAGCTATGAAGTATGCATATATTTTGCTGTCAAGAAATGTACACATTTTTCCAGAGGAGTGTTTTTTTTTAACCAAAAAAATGTCAGTTCAACCTTAGAAATTAAGAACACGCTTTTTCTTAGTCCGTGTTTTCCTGCTGATAGCTAGGCAACTGGCAACTGTTCACAATTTCACCTCTATGCAGTCCCATCTCATCATGCGTTAGCTTTTATCTGCTGCTGATTAACAGGGCTATTGACCAAGAAAAACTACTTATAGCAGAATGCTGTGAGATGCACTTGTGTAACTGCAATTTTAAAAAAGGCAAAATTTACATACATTTCTGTGATTGAACGAACAAAAGAAATGGCTGCTCAGTGACAGACAGAGTTACTAGGCGTTTGATGGAGAGCTGTCACTCATGGCAGCATGGGCTTTTTCTGCTGTTAATGACTATCTCATGGGCTGTTATCCATAACCCAATAACCAAATTGCTGTGCTGGATTCAGATGACATGTCAAGCCATTGTGGCTTGAACAAGCCATGGGTTCTCGAGATGGCTGGCTGCCCCTCAAAAGCTATACTGTGGGAAATGGTCTGTGCTTGATGACATGGAAACCCGCTGCAGCTAATTATTCACAATGGGTTGCCCTGCTGACCAAATCTGGTTATCTGATTATTATCTTTTCAATACCAGGTAAATAGCTGTTTATTTTCCCAGGCCTTTAAAGCTCCATACTTCTGATATTATTTTGTGTTTAAGCATTTTTTCTTTGATATTTTTAGTTCTAATATTTGTTGTAGCCCTCTGCTACTTAATTTATTGTTGCCTTTAACTGATTATGCTGCTGTTCTTTTTATGTGGAATTTGGATTTGGTTTGCCCAGAGATGAATAAGCTATATGTCAACTAACAATTTTTAGAAAGATATGAAGTTTCCAATGATATCCACCCCAAGAAACTTTAAGGGCTCTCTACAAATTACACACTATTTTATCCTGTAAGTCAGGATAACGTCACAGTTTCCAGGTTTAGACATGACCTAGAACAGTGGTGCTAAGAAACTGAGAAATCTCCTCTGCAGAAGGGCATACTAGAGGTAAAAGGGAAGGACGGGGTGCTGAAACGTGTCCAAGCTGCAACCAGCAACGTTTTCTTGGAGTAGCGCCACTGCATCTCAGTCAGGCCACGGTGCCGCTCCTGCTCACATCCAGGCTGTCATTACTATTCCTTTAGTTTCACCCCCACATTCTTGTGTTAATCGTATCGTATTCTGTTCATACAATCAGCAAACGTAATCCTTCTCCAAGGGCCAAGCATTCTCCAAGCTTAGGGTCAAGAATTTCTTCCCTCTCAAGTGGCTTCCCTTGGCTCACTTGAGACTCTCAGAATATGCATAAGAAGCTCCTCCCTCCTGCAGTGCCAAAAGTCCATGTTGCTCCTTGAAGCTACTTCCAGGAAAGCGAATGGTGAGGGCTAAACAGCAGGTGCACTTAGTGAAACAAACAAATGTAATCTATGGGCTGCACCTGCCATATAGAGTAGCAAACGCTTACCACTGCTTTGATCACTTAAAAATATACTAAATCTTTGAGTCTTTCCAGTGTACATCACTCCTCATACCCAATCCTTCCATCCAGAAGTCTCTCACAGAGATACTCTGATTAAAACTACAGATAAGTAAACTAGAAAATACATTCTCAGTAAACAGCAGATTAACATTTGGAAACTTCCAAAACACAAACTCATCAAAAAAAGGAGATTTGAGTCTGGGAACTGTAGATTTTAATGCTTACAGATTTGTAATCAGCCAAGGGCAAAATAAGGAGGAGGTGAAATATATTTTTATTTGTTCATAGAGGCAATGCACTAAAGGCTGTATTAAAAGTTTGAACTGTATTAGTAGTTTTAACAGGAAATTTGAGTTTAACAATGTAAATGTTCAACACTCAAAACAAAGCACATTTCTTAGAAATTGAAAAGATGAGATTTCAGTCTCAAGCAGTAGCTTTGCCCAGTGTTCGTTCCAGAAAGATTTCTACACCTCCCACTGATGTCAGCAGGAGCTGTATCCAAATGCAGTTGTTTCATTCATAGAAGGTGCTTGGACACAGCAGAAGTTTTCATGAATGGAAGGAGGGGGTGATTTTTGCAAATTCTACCTGTTTCCTGCAATCTCCCACATTGTTCTAAAGAGTATTCAACAGCCCCTGGAGGGAACTGCTGGGGAGAGGTGCCCCATGGGGATACAAAGTGGAAATCAGCAAAAATACATTTCCTTTCCCTCTGTTCACGGAAGCCTGTGCTGGATCAAAAAGCCTTCTGTCATGGAATGACAGCACTGAATACAACCCTGGGAGTTCACGCAATTTTTGAGATGCTGATCTTTGTCACAAAGGAAATCCACTGCTGATAGGTTCAGTCTTTCTAGCTTATGCTGCATCAGTGTGATCCCTCCCCCACCCCCAACCCCATGTTCCCTTTTTAGGACGGTTCTTCCTTAACACAGATGAGCACAATTTTTCCTGCTACCTGTACAACATAAACATTACCGGCTTCGGTTTCTTCTGATCACCACCTCTCTTCTCATTCTTCTTATAGTTTTCATACGTAGAAGGATCGACACACCATAAGCATTCTGTCCATTTGCCATAGATCACTGAGAGTTTCTTCTTACTATAATTTTTTTTAAAAACAGCCGTTTTGTTTTGTTTTTAAAATCAGGTTTTGCACATTTTAAAATGTAACTGAAGCTCCGACAAAACTATAAGCTTTCATGTTGTTTTCAGCATGGGCAGCTGCTGAAAATGATACCAAACTGCACTCCCTCCTCTGAAACGCGGGGGACCATTCACCCTATGTCCTGCATCACCATGTTGTGCATTTCCCTTTCTCCAACAGATGAGGTGGAATAGTGCTCAGAATATGCACAAAAAGGCATCATGGGCTGGGACGTTATGGGCCTGGTTTGCAGAATTACGGGATGCTTAACCCCCACCATGGGTCTGAATCACTCTGTGCATGCGAGCAGCGTGCTGGCCAGATTTGCTTAACTGTCCTCACCACTGCATTTTCTCACATCGTGCAAACCCAGCAAGGGTGGCTTCTTGTGGTAGGTGATAAACTGCCCAGAAGAGATGGGCTGCTGTAGGGTTGTGGCACAGTTTGCTACCCATCCCAAGGAGCCACTGTCCCTAAATCTGCACAGTGTAGGACCTGTGCCAGTGATGGTGTTTATATGCACCCAGCAGAACACACGGTGACCGGTTAATATCCCTGCAGTCTTGCAAACCAGCCCTCTTTGCACTTGCCAGGAACAGGGAAAACTTAATATGCAAAAGCAGTTTTTCCCAGAGTTCACCACTGTTGCACCTTAAGACTTTCTGAAAAGCCAATTGTCAGAACATAAATACACAACATGGAAAAATAGACAATTTGTTCCCAGAGCTTGTTTATTTTTCATTTTCCTACCACAAATCTGGTTTTTAAATTAAGGCTGAAAATTAAGTGCTATTTGCTGAGTTAAGCTTGTCAATTCCTGTTAATACTGCAGGATGACAACGAGAAAGCTTGTGGGGGCACTGCAGTATCGCTAGACAACTTTATTTTTACTTTGTTCGAGGATTTCAGTAACAAATGCCTCAACCAAGCTGTAAGCTGCTGGTGTCAGAAATGTTCATTTGGAAGTCCATTAACAACATGCTTACATGAAACAGGCAAAGGAATGGACAAAGAGAACCAATACAAATTTAAAGGGCTGCCATGCATACCAGCTGGGACTCCATTTGCATCCAAAGAATTTAAGTCAAGAGCAATTTGGTCAGAACTGGCCACCTTCCTCATAGAAAGACAGCCATGAAGCTGACTCCCTTCACAGGCCCAGCCTGGAGCCCTATTTCAAGTTTGAAAAGTGGTGGTGGTGGTGGAGGGGAGGAGAGAATCTGTCTCCTTAAAAAAGTGATGAAAAAGCATTTTAGTGGCTACACCCTGATGGGTTCATTCATATATGGGTGGCTTCTTAACCACCCCCACACGAGCTGCCTGCTTTTCCTGTGCTTCTCCAGGCACAGTTTGCTGTTATGTGAATACCTATTGAGGGTGGGGAGGTTGGGGTGATGGATGAACCTCCCAACAAGCCTACAATGGAGCAAGAAAGGTTTATTAAGCACACTTGTATTGTATGAATAATGCTAGTGTAAGGTACCTGGAATATATTAGGGGGTCAGGGAAGCAGCAATATTAGTTGGTTCACTGTTAGATTTAGAGCTAGGCACGTCATTATAGAGCAAAGACGGTAGGAAGCAAAACTTGCTCCATAATGGGAGAAAAAAATCTGTGGCTAGCTATGGCTGCATACACCTACAGTCTACCAGCTTAAATCAGAGGAGGAGAATGGAACTCAGCTACTTACAGGTAAACACACATACTTGACACTTACTTTTTGTCCTGAATGTAGCCTTCTATTCTGTGAAGCTCTTTACCAAACAGGCCACATGGTTTAAAGTGAAGGATACATTTATCTCCAGTACTATAGAACAGAAAAATGAAGTTAACACATTAAAAAGCTAACATTTTAGTGCTGAGCCCTCACAATATTTCTGTAGAAATTCACCCAACCCTGCACTTTAACATGTGATTGCTGTACGTCACTGGGTTCTGATTGCTATAATCATTCATCAAAAGTTTTAACCATTTGAGATATCAATGCTACTATTGGGGAAAGGATGTGAGATAAAAAGGAAGGATATGACGGTACTAGCACGGACGAACTTACACAGAGAGAGAGAAAGTTTTCTGGACTGTGACCTCTGACTTGTTTCACACATCATTATACAGCTCTGTGGGTTGTGACCATGCATGGCTGCAGAAAGGCTTAGTGCGACTTCTGAACCTGGCAGGGGGGCTTCACTTTGGGTTGTCAGGCATTGCTCGAGAGCTGGCCAGCAAGCACAGCAAAATCCCCTTCTGCTCTTCAGTGTCTAATTACTCCCACTGCCATTCTTCTTCATTCCTTCTCAGCGCCCTCCACCTCCGGGTGCTTTTGTTTCTTACAAACCTTAAAGGGCACTGGAGAGTCTGGAATATGCTTGGGGTCCTTGCTCTCCTGCCACCAGTCCTGCATGAATGACTGTTGCTAGGAAATTTGCACAACTTCTCTCCATTTTACTGCTCTGCCTTGAAATCTGTGCAATTCCCCCCTCTTTTTTGTTACTTTGCCACGACATTCGCATTACATTTGCTAATCGCACAGATATCTATTGGATGGCAACAGAGACCAGTGAAGGGAAGTGACAAGCACAATGTGGGAGGAAGGTAGAACTGCCTGATGCTGCAAGAGAGAAAGGACTTTATGGGAGGGGTCTATTACTCCAGAAGAACCTGAAGCAAACGTTTCTTTCTTTCTTTCTTTCTTTCTTTCTTTCTTTCTTTCTTTCTTTCTTTCTTTAGAAAAAAGTGCTCATGAGCAATGCAAGCACTGATGTGGGTTGGGAAAAATTGACAAGGACATTGACAATGGAAGGTATTGGTGTGCTCAGCTAAATAAGGATGGGCAGTTCTGTGAGTTTGCAAATTTGCACAAAACCCCAGGGAAAGCAATTGCGACGACATTCCTATATTTGCATGGGCTCAAAAAATGATTTCCCTTTCTACGGTCTGATGAAGGACTGGGAGAAGAGTTTTGTGCAGGAAATGACAAACTGAAAGATGGAACTGAGGACAATGAACAGAAGGGGATCATCTGTCTGTGCTGGGCTCCCTAGCAGGCAGGTGGCCTTGCGTCCCTGGACAAGACCAAGAAAAAGCATTGTGACTATATCCCCGCATTCGTAAGGGGTGGTAAACTTAAATTCATTTGGTGATTTGATTGGCAGAAGGAGAGATCCTAGTGAGCCAGCAACCCCAGCAGACCAGTTACGGGGGGGGGGAGGGGTGATACAGGGAATGAGGGCTTCTGCTGTGAAGACCCTGGAATACATGTCAGCAGCAGCCCAGAAGACTGAGAGGGACTGAGGGAGAAACAAGCCACAGCAAGCCGCCAATGGATGAATGTCTGCCAGGCATCCAAGACAAGCTACCCACTCACCACAGCTTATTCACAGGGTACCTTAGCGTGAATTTGCCCACTGTGTCATAAAAAGGACAATAGACATTAAATAGCTTTGTTTGGACAGATATTTTAAGGATTTAGTATGAGACCCACTAATGGGGAAACATGAGAAAAAGAAGAGTGTGACAGATCCAGGAGCAGCATTCCTTGCAAAGCTTTTATGCCAAATGGATTTTTGAAGTAGGGAAATCTTTACAAACTGACAAGAAGAAAAGGGTTAGGAGGCACTCTCTCTGTCACACAGGAACTTTGGATTATCCAGAAATACAGAATCCCTCATATAAGCACATCTCTAGCCAACCACAAAGGAGAGATGGACACCTATCCAAACACATCATTATCACCCAATTGTTCCCCAAATGACCAAACTGAATACTATGATGATTAGACCACCCAATGAGCAGGATTTTGTTTAAATATGTAAAGAATGGCTCTATTTCACTTTTTTAGAAGGAATAATTTGGAATGAATTCAAGTTACCTGTGATTTATGATTTCTACTGTTCCATACTGTTCTATCCAGAGTTTGCCAATAATTACATTATGTACACAGCAGGTAGGGTTAGTCCATGTGTAAGCTTCATTATTTCTGGGAGGGAAAAGAAATGAAATTGAGAACCAACTCAAAATAAAGGATCTGAAATAAGTCTAACTGTTCCAAATCATCTTCTAAGAAACCATTCCTCTTAAAGACGTTTAAATGAGGAGCTGCTTGTTAAATCTTTGAAACGATCCTTGGCTGCCACTTCTCTCCCCCTCCCCCCATATATTCCTTTTTAATTTCTACTGTACTTTTTGAAAATAAATAAGAAGATTGGGAAAAAAATTATTTATTACCTATAAAGCCCTATATGGCTTGGGACCAGGATACCTAAAGGAACGCTTTTTTCCCTATATGCCCTCCTGCCCCCTGAGATCAGCAGCAGAAGCCCTCCTCCGGGAACCCTCTGTGAAAGATGTTAGGAGACGGAGTACCTGGAGGAGGGCCTTCTCTGTGGTGGCACCCCGACTATGGAATGCACTCCCTAGAGAGGTTCACCTGGTTCTGTCATTATATATTTTTCAGTGCCAGGTCAAGACCTTTTTATTTGATCAATATTTTAATATGTATTAATTGGATTTTATTGTTTGTATTTTATTGGATTCTCAGCCAGTGTGGAATAGTTAATTTATTTTATTCTGATTAATTGTGTAAGCTATCCAGAGATGGAAGTAATGGATGGCATACAAATTTTATAAAAATGAATGAATGAATGAATGGGGGAAAACCATTCCTCTTTATACTACACTCTGTGGTACTACCCTTAGCTTCTGTTGCAAAGTTCTGAACCAGTGGGAGGTTAATAAGCAACTGAATAAAGTAAAGGAGATTCTTTTGAAGTGATTCCATAACCTGAGAATGTGGGCAGAGCCTGTTAAGGGCTCACAATAAAGGAAGGTTGGGCCTGATCGATAGATAGGCATGTGTCCACTCGATAGATAGGCATGTGTCCACTAGGCTCTCTATTGCCACAGCCCTACATTCCTGCTATTGCATCAGCACTAAGCCCTTGCATTTGAAACAACATTGACATGTGATTTCACCTCTAATCATAAGATGTAGCACCAAAACTCTACACTATTTTATATCAAAATAAGCTCTCACTCTGAACCAAGACCCAAACCCCATGTTATTGGCAACTGGCCTTAACAATAGCCTAATACTCATATTTACATGACGGAACACCATTTTTAGTAGAGGTAATCAGAAGCAGAGATTGTTCCATGCAATGTTCAGACTTAATCCTACCTGGACAACTATACGTAGTTCTTGAAATTATTACCCCACTCAAGTATACTGGTTTCTTCCCAACGTTGAATACTGCACCCCTCTGAATGAACTATGCTTTTGTGTCGTTTCAACTAAGATTTAAGCAGGAAATATTTCTGGCAGGTAGTGCCAGTCAGGTTTCTGTAAAATCAATTCTAGCAGGCACCTTAAGGATGACTGAGAAATGGTTTGTCTTAAATGTTTAGCAAGATGAACTCAGTCTAGCTTTGCATTGGCTCTGAAGCATGACAGACAGAACACTTCACTCGCTGGCTTCCATCCAGTTCAGCAACTGAATTTTTTGACTGTGTGTGTGTCAGAATCAGAACTTGACAGCAGCAAAGTAGCAATGCCCATTTTGGCATGTGTCTTACAGTGCTACACTGAAATGGTACTTGTTTCAAGATTAATCATTCTAACATGAGACCATGACCTAATCATGGGAACTAGGAAAATAAAATTGTGACTGAGTGATTAGCAGGGTACACTTTAGCAGTGCTCAGAGAGCAGCTCCCCACTCCCAGCCAGGCTACAACCACAATACTGGGAGGGCGAAGGAAGAATTAGGGCTAATTCTCGGGCTTGAGGATGCTAATGGGACTGCAACTATGTATCCAGTTCAAGTTCCTTGGGCAAAAGCAAGAGGGAGAGCCAGCTGATAGTAGAGGGAAAGCCCATTAATAATCAGGGATATTGATTTCTGAGACAGAGGGAAGGAAATGTGGGCAAACACGTACTTCACATGATGACTTTTACTACTACAGGCAGCCATAATTGTAAGGGACTAAAGAGAACTAAAGCCAGGAAAAGCCACTTTGCTATCATGTCCATCAAGAGTGAATTGCAAGAAAAGATGACATTTGGGATAGTTCAAAATTTTCCAATAAACTGAAGAAAAAATACCACTTTAAAGGGAACTGGTGTATTTAAACAGGGTTTTCAGTCATGTTGGTCCAATAAAATAAAAAGATGGAAATGCCAACAAGAAATACCTTTAGCATAAATCAAAATGTTACAAAGTAGTCAGCATGCTCTGTAGTACTCAAGTGAGATGCTACCTTGAGCAAAATCAGTCAAGCATGTGTGCACGGATGTGATTTGCAGGAATTGTTAAAAAAAACAATGTAGGCCATTGGGTAATTTCAAAGTTGCAGAAAATGCTGTTGCAGAATTACAACAGAAACTTTTCTTTCATTACTTCTAAAAATTCATCCAAGGGACAGGATTGCTGTGTGTGTGGGTGGGGGGTGTGGAGAGATGGGCCCCCTACAAGGATTATGCTTGTGCCCTGGGGGCATTCTGAAAAAGTGAAGTTTAACTCCTTCTGCACTCCAGGTTGTCTCCTTAAGGGCACTTTCCCTGTGGGGATTTAAATACCCCTGCATTTCAAACCTGGGGCGGGGTAGGGGGCACACTGAGCGGAGATTTTGAATGGGGGAAATGGTAGGTGAAGAAAGGATTGGGGATTCTAATGTATGCATTCTTCCTACATGCATTACTCACTAGACAGTTTCCTGATGTCTGGCTATTCAGTTATTTCATATTTTACCTAGCAAGTACAGAAAATATAATTCTGAATTCTGTGTCATACATGTGTCAAATATCTTTGTTTACTAGCTCTGTTATTTGAGCAAGGCATTATTTGTTTACTAGAAATGTTATATGAGCAACCCACTGCATTACTGGTATTCAGCAAAGCAAACTACCAGATCTATTCAACTGAGGCCTATTTTGAATACCTGATTACTCAGAGTCCAAACCAGGAATGTCATCTGTAATATTCAGAGCTGTTAAACACACACTTCGCAATAGTTCGCTGGGCAGAAATACTGACTTTCTGTTTTACTAAATGTCAGCTGTCTGAAGGGGAACCGTTGGGAGACCTAATGATCATGGCATCCCTCTAAAATGCTTCATCAAATTAACATGAGTTGATGTGTGCATACATATCTTGTCTCCTGACCCACTGGGGGGAAAGACTGATTTATACAAGTTCAAATGTTCACAGGCATGCACAGTCCTGAGAAGATAATTAAACACGATTTATTTATTCATTTCTTTATGTGGAATAGCTTTCAGGCAATATATAGTGAACAAAAGTGTGACATACTTTAAGAGCTCCAGTGTTATGGTTCCCCTGGGCTCTGCTTCCACACTCTTCCCCCAGAACTTTAGTTTAGGGTAAATTGAGCCATGAAAAATGAAGTCTTCGTTTAAGCCTTCTGAATAAAATGCACTGACAGGTGGATGATGACTGACCTGTTCGGAAATAAACCTAAAACCCAAATCCTCCCTGGAAATAAGAAAAGGTGAAGATCAGTATAAACAAGAGTCATACAGAAAGCAAATTTCACATTATTTGTTAGTAGAGCTAGGGCTCTTTGTCACTGGAGAAGACAATAATGCTGAGGAAAGCTAAAGGCAGAACAAGAATAGGAAGACCAAATATGAGTTGGACTGGCTCCATCAAGGAAGCCACAGCCACTCAAGTTTCCAAGAGCTGAGCAGGGCTGTCAAGTACAGAACGTTTTAGACCCTCTTCATCCATAGGATCACCATATGTAGGAGATGACTAGACAGCATGCAACAATAAAAACAACAGTGAATTGACTCTTTGAATATGGACTGTAAGCTCCAGCTGCAAAACCAGGTAAGCCCAATATGCCTAAACCAATCTATGTGTGGATATGTGGCTTCTGGAGACTAGGAGTACAAATCCCATCATCCCAGGAACTCATACAATAAGGCCCTAAAAGACAGCAAAGGTCCCACTAGTTGGAGGATTACAATATAGTTCATCAAGCTGACAGTCCTTGGTCTTCATAAGCATCAGTTTCTGCTTCAAGAACTATTTCTAAACACTTAAGTCGCTGGTCCAACATCATATCAGATGATCACAGAAAGATTTTGCTAACACATAAATTAGTTTACATTAAATAAAGACCAGACTAAATATATGTATCTCAATAAACTAATTTTGCCCAAGTCAGTAAGGACTAAGTGCCCAAGTTTGCATGACATAGCAGCTCATCATGGGTAATTAGCCATGGCTTGTTCCAAGGGTTGTTGAACCCATGAAAGATTGTTATGTCATCCAAACAAGGAGATCAACCCTACACTGGGTTGAAGCAGGTGAGCCACTTGGTAAGAGCAGTGAAAAGTCCCACTGCTAGTCTTGGCAATTTCACCTGTGCTCTCACCAGCGACAGCCCTCCACTGATGCTCAAGCAGCTCTTTGGAGTGACTGGGTTGCTACCTCTTTCTGGTGGGTGAGGGCTGCACATTTGTGCTTAAGTTTATTCCTGGTCTTTCACAAGAAGCACACCTATGAGACTGAAATGTGGAACTTTGGCCAAAATCCTGGTGTTTGCTGTGAAATTGCAAACCAAAAGGGTCACAACAAGGAGGGGGAGGCAAGACGGGTTCCACCACTCAGGACCACAAGCTGGAGTACTGAGGGCAAAGGAGTGAGTGAACAACCTGTGGTGAGCCTATCGTCTATCAAATGCCCCATGGGTTTTTCTGTGAACAACTCATTCAACATAGCTTATTTTGTAAGTGGGTTGCCATGCCATGTGAACTCAACCCCCCCCTTGCTTACAGCAAAAACAATGTTCCCATAACAATTGCATTCTTACCTGATTAATTCATATGTTTCTCCAAGGAGAGGGTTAAATGGTTTGCCAGTCCTCTCCCACTGAGAGGCCACAGCAGAAACAGCAAAAGCAGCAACAGCCTGCAAGACCCACAGAGATAAGGAGTCTTCAGGTAAAACAGAACAATCCAGAACAGAAAGTGACCACATAACCGCTTTCCATGTGTTGTAATCACTTTCCCTTTACAGCACAATTCTCAAAATACAAGGAAATCTTCCCTAAGCAGACACAACCCATTGCTAGTGGGGATGCAATCCTTTTCTGACTCTGCTGAGCACCATATTTGTATCACTTTCAGTGCTGTGTGTACAGCCAGGTCTGAACCCTGATTATGTCAACTAGCATGGCTGGGGATTAATAAAGCAGTAATCTTCTCCTTGAAGCCTCCAGAGGCTTTTTGAAGCTTATTAAGCAAGGTTCAAGATAAGACTTCCAGGGATATATATAAATTCACATAGATTTTACAAAGCTGTTACTTTTCCACCAATTAAGCCTTCTTGTAGAGCTGCCTGAACATGATGCCTCCTCATAATACTATTTCACAATCTTGCATTGATTGATAAAAACTAGCCATGAATAATGAAATAAGAGGAATGCCTCTCAGGGTACCCATATACATAGCTCTCTATGCTTCCATAGCTCTCTACAGCTAAGTAGTCATCTTAATGAGCACAGTCTGAGGGAAAGGGGAGGTAACTATCAGGCAGCAACAGAAAAAATGGAAAACATTACCTGCATTCTTTCTAGAGGGTCTGAATGACAGCATGCTTTATTAATGAGGTATGTGTGTTCCATATATTCTGTTATTCGTTGAAGGAAGCTTAGGGGTTCATTGAAGGCAATGGGCATGGTAATCTTAGATAGCTCCTAAATAATTCAAGAGGAAAAAAACATTAAATAGGAACATGGATATAAAATTTATCCAGCTATGAAAAATACGTAGAAGCATGGCAGTAATTATGTAACTGATATTAAATAAAAATTATTGCAAAGGGATGTTAGCTAACTAGTTGATGAATAGCCAACCCAGTAAAAATAAAACATTACCTGTTTGCATTATCACAAGAAAATCTCATTCTGCTGAAACTCTTAAGAAGTTGATGGTTCCCTTAAGGAAATGAAACTGAAAGTAATACCGTGCTTTTGGTTAGCAGTAGTAGACCTTCCCTTTCAATCAGTAGCTTCAGAAAAAAATGTGTTTTGTTTGTTTAAATCTGATACAAAATGACAGGAAAAAAAACCTCCAGAGACTTATTTTTAGAGAGCTGCTTTGCTGGTATCTGAACTTGAGCACATTTCGTATGTTCCAAGGATCAAATCTACATTATGGAAGTTCTGTAAACAGTTAGTGAGAGTAATGAAATAGTGAGTGATTGCTTAATTTCGCTTCTTGGAGAGCAATTGGTAGAGCGGGGTGGGGGCATAGGAAAGATAATCCAAATTCCTGTATCCAGAGTTGGAGACAGTGCCTCAAACTCAGAGCCGGGAATTCAAGCTTCTTCCCCTTGCAGCTGGTCAAAAATGAGTTTGTAGAGGGGAT